TTTCTTCGCTGTTTTATGCATACATTGTTTCCGATGATGAAGCGCTCACGTAACAGTGAGCGAATGAAGTAACAGAAAAAGTTCAGCGTATACATGTCACATGGTTTTACCGTGGTCGATTAGTCATTTGGTAAAGCATACATATAAACAAATGTGACGCTATAGATCTCCGGCGCCACAGTATAATATGCTATAGCGTTTGCAGTCATTTTCTACCGATATTTGACCGAATGAATTAAAAGAATGGTAACGTTGCAGACCATAGATTTTTTTTATTGTTATCATTTACCGCTAGCGTGCCTTAGTGTGCGGTTATGCGGAAGTCACGCAGAGTAACGCACACATAACGACACAAAACATGCTACCTAACACGGACACGCAAGCATGCACATGTGCGTGAAAAACAACACAACCATATGAACACGCATAAGTACAAACACAACCACTGACAGGCACGTATGGAAAGAAGCAAACGTATTGTGACGGGCGAGGCTGATGCCTGCAAATCTCGCAATGCTAGATTTGCCTTAAAACTACATCATCCTCATCATACACTCGTGAGCAGCATCGCTGGGACCAGTTGGTGCCGCAAATATATTTATTCTATCTATTTAGCCGCGGGTTGCAGGGTGAAATCGAGTTGTACTACCTTAGCATGCTTGACCGATGCATTGTGCTGACGCAATCCTACGCTGCGGAGCTGTACAAGTTTTTCTCTCTTTTAATCTCGCTGGTGTCGCTGACCCGCAGGTCGCGGCATCGAATCCCGGCCGCATTTCCGTTAGAGGCGAAAATTATTGAGGCCCGAGGGCTTACATTTAGGCGCTCATTAAAAAACACTAGGTGATCGGAATTTTCGGAGCCCTCCACTATGGCATCTCCCGTAATAATAATCATTATTATCTGGCCTGTGTCGTGGCCACAAGTTTATCATATTGTTTTCTTTTCTACTTACTTTTTTATATTTTTTGTAGCTAATTTTTTATCACCTTTTATTCTCTTTACCCAATTTTCCCAAGTTAGGGTAACTAACCGGTTTGAAGAAATTGCCAGCCCCTCTGTCTTGCCGTTTGCTGCTCTTCCTAACTTCCTTTGCTCAGAAGTGTGGCAGCTTGGGCTAGTTGGGTATGACATGACGATAGTTATAGCGCGAGAACAGAACGACGACACAGAGTCCTTCGTATCCTTCTTGTCTCTGTGTCGTCGTTCCGTTCTCGCGCTACAACTGTCATTCCTTTGCTCGCCACTGTTCGTGAAAACACTCTCAAATTATGACTGGTAGATCACCACTATTCTTCAAGATGTGTGTATATAACAGCTGTATCTTGTCGGTACTTAGCTGCGGAGCAGAAACCTGGAGACTTACAAAGAGGGTTCAGCTCAAATTGAGGACGACGCAGCGAGTGATGGAAAGAAAAATGGTAGGTGTAACCTTAAGAGACAAGAAGAGAGCAGATTGGATTAGGGAACAAACGGGGGTTAAGGATATCATAGCTGAAATCAAGAAGAAGAAATGGACATGGGCCGGGCATGTAGCGCGTAGACAGGATAACCGCTGGTCGTTAAGGGTAACAAACTGGATTCCCAGAGACGGCAAGCTGTACCGCTATCAAACAAGAATTGAATTGGGAGCTGCTTTCATCGCGTAGAAGAAAATTGCGATTAAAACTTTTATATCTAATATTTAATAATAAAACTGGAATCAATAAGGATATGTACTTACAGACGCCGTATTATTTGTCAAATCGAATTGATCATCCTTTTAAACTGAGGGAATACCGTCCCAGGACTAGAATTTTTGCAAATTCTTTTTTGTCAGAACAATACATGAGTGGAATGGGCTCACAAGTGTACAAGTGTCTGCTGTAAATGAAAATTTGTTTTTTTTTTTTCGAATCTGTAACCCCCCTGCTATAACGCCTTCGGGCGCTGCAGGTATACTTCGAATAAAGAATAAAGAAAGAATAAAGCGGGTTAGGGGGAGACAGAAGGTTAGGTGGGCAGATGAGATTGAGAAGTTTGCGGGTATAAATTGGCAGCAGCAAGCATAGGACCGGGTTAACTGGCGGAACATGGTAGAGGCCTTTGTCCTGCAGTGGACGTAGTCAGGCTGATGATGTTGATGATGTTCGTAAAAACGCACAACAAATAGAGAACCAGACGCGTCTACGAGCACGCAACGCCAACGCAGGCACGCGTGAGCACACGCACGTGCGTGCACGCGTTGATTTGTGACCGTGAAGGGTCACACGGCGAGCGTCGTGAATAATGGTCCGATCGGGCCTTCATCTGGAAAATGGTTGCGTCGCGTGCGGTGTCGTCGAGTCGGCGGTGTAATCCAGCAGACCCGATCGCGCGGAGGACTAACCTAAACGGACAACCGGTTCCATCCGGGACTTCCGGGCCGCGAATCCGTCCTAATCTCACCTCTACAGGACGGTGTGAGGAAGGGAAACGACGTGCGAATCTAACCTGGTCCTTCGCGAATTTTCCACCGGAAAGAAGAGACAAAGATGGCCCCCGCGCGCACGGCAGTGAGGGCGAAGCTTCCTCGATGGAGAGAGGTCCCTTTGGAGAGTTGCACGTGGGAAGACCGTCCGCTATATATGTTATAAGCAAGCAAGCAAGCAAGAAAGAAAAAAAAAAGAAAGAAAGAAAGAAAGAAAGAAAGAAAGAAAGAAAGAAAGAAAGAAAGAAAGAACTGCAGGAAAAATAAAGCTCCGGGAAGCGAAAAAAACTCGAAGATCGCGAAAAACAGGCGATTCGAGAGCACTCGCTCGCTTCCTCGCAACCGCTCAGGGTGTTTGCGAACGTCCACAGGCGTAATAGCCCATACACGTGGACCTCTTCTTCGGAGGCACGCGTTGAACTTCATGCAAGCCCCACGCCACGGTATGCGCTTATAACAGTACTTATCTCTCGTCGTATATATACATGTGCCGCCCGAAAATCGTTTCACGGTCGGCGGCCGTCCCGACACACACACACGGACCCGGAAGAAGCAGAACCCCGCAGTGGACTGTTTATACGATACGGCCCACCTGGGGATCGCTTATATCTCCGGCGCTAAACTGGCGACCCGAAGTATATAGAGAGGTGTCTACGGGAGGGGGAGGTAAGACAGCTATAACGTCAGTGGCGTATCTGTACTGAAGATTTTCTCGCTCTCTCTCTCGTTCATCGGACAGATCTCGCGGTCTTCACGTTCGGTGAGGCAGGGTATGTGCGTTGTTACATAGCCGCTTCTCTTAGCGCACGTGGGCATGGCCGCCGTTATCTGACGAGGTGGCGCTTCGATCGTGCTGATGTTCCTTTGAAAAGCGTGATGTGTGTGTGTGTGTGTGTGTGTGTGTGTGTGTGTGTGTGTGTGTGTGTGTGTGTGTGTGCGTGTGTGTGTGTGCGAGAGTGAGTGAGTGAGTGAGAGAGAAGAAGAGAGAGCTTACACTCCAATTGCGGCCTACCGAAAGAGATACGTTTACGTAGGAAGGGGAAAAAAACGAGAGGATAGCCCAACACGCGTCCACCACGTAACTGCGCTCACGCGTGCAGACATACAACAGCGCCATCGAACAATTAAACGTTCTCGACCAATGCGCTGTCTCTCAGAGGTCACGAGTTTGAGTCGATACTTTCGAGGGCAGAAAGATTTCACAGAGTGCTTCTCTCTACAAGGTCGGCTGCGTGACGTAATGTTCTCCCCACCGGGTAATTTCTTCCTCCATGCATACGCTAGAGGCCTAAGGGAAGAAGAGTGTTGAGTTGGTCGTGTCTCGCTCGGCGTGGCACGCGCAAGATAGCGTTTTCCTTCCGTTATCGGGATGATGATGATGATTCCTGCTGCGTATACGTGTCTGAGGCTCTCTTTTGTTTCTTTGGTTTTCATGGCGCCGGTGGGGGGGAGTGCTCTGGTGAGAGAGTGACCTTGAGCCGGATGGGAGGAACCGTGCGAAAAACGAGTGCGCCTGCTTTTACAGCACGCGACGTGCTCGACTGTCTTCTCTTGGTCTTTTTTTTTTCTTTTTCCCATAGCTTTTTTTTTTTAGAGTTATGCTTCGAGTTCACGGTCATACGGCGAAGACATATATAGTTGGAACAAGGCGCTCCTGTGTAGTAACGCAGTCCATGACTCAGCCTTACCGCTACCTTAATCTCAGAGCATCCGAGAGAGGGCACGTGTTAAACCCATTAAAATGTAGCTCTCTATACATCTTCCACGCACTCACCGTTAATCTTTGTTACAGCTTACCTGGCACCATCCGTTCTCATCGTTGGGAATCTTTCCGAGTGGGCCAACTGTGTCCTTTTGTGTGGTTTGACTCATATAGTTTTCCGGTTTCATACCTTACATGACAAAGGCGTAGTCAGAAGATTTTACGGCGAAGGCCTTAGATGTCTCAACCAACGCGAAAATTTACCGTCATCGTCAACGCGAGCGATGGGGAAAAAATAAACATCGCGTGATTACGTCACCCTATGATAGTCAAAATTTGTGACGTCACTGTGACGCTTCATATGGTGACGTCGTCGCACGAAAACGCCGTCGCTTGATCAAAGGTGGCGGCCGATCACAGAGGCAGTGCAAAACAAAACCAACTGCAGAAAGCATTTCAATGACTCCAATCTTGGAGGCCGTGCAAAATTGAGTTAAGTGAAGAAAGCTTTTTGAGGGGCGATTGAAGGATCAGTGTACGTCGACTGGCAAAAAGAAAAAGAAGAGGGCTTTTTGCCTTGCAGTCGTCTTAGCGGAATGCATGATCAACCCATGAGTCTTTTTCGAGAGTGGTTCAACTAACCTTTGTATGTGTTCGTGCGTGTGTTTCTATGCGTGTGTATACTACATGTATAAATGAAAAATGACAAACTTTGGATAAACCGGGGGATTGAACTCCCTCTACCGTAGGCCTATCTAGGCTGGTGGTATATAAGATATATGTATGCATACGAGTGCGGCTATTAAACAATGAAACGCTTCATACAACTGCTCTTCTCTTTGCCTGCAGACATCAACGAGTGTGAGATACCCGCGCTGGCAGCGTTGTGCGTGGAGAACGCCGAGTGCTGCAACCTGCCGGGACACTACGTCTGCAAGTGCCAGCGAGGCTTCACCGGCAACGCCACCGTGGCCTGCAACGGTGAGTGTTCACACGTGCGATTCGCGCGCGGTGTGCGTTGCGCGAAAGCGTGTGTTGTATACGCGAATACGCGTGCGAATCTGGTCCGAAAGCCGTACTCCTTATTTCGACCCTGTATGCAATGATGCACAAACGGTAATGTATAGCCACTATGACACATCCACTAATGCTATGCCCAATGTCAGTATTGGTTTAAGTCGGATCTTACGAAGAACTTTGTCGAGCAAGAGCTGAACGAGGAAGGCGAGGTTTCGACATTCTGGACGCGTCTGCTCAGCCAGACTCGGAAACTTGCCAGGGACCTGACGCGCAAATCAACAATACAAATAAAGAAGATGCACAGTATATATAGTACGCAAAAAAAAGAAAACGGTGATTGATTTTATCGTTCGAACGCAACATTGTCCAGTGGTGGTATGTTTATCGAGACTGACATATGCCTTATATATCTTATAAGTGCCAAAATGTCTCTGTACATCAACATCAGGGGGCATGACATTGTCAGAGACTACGAATTAGTTTCGGCGGTATCGAAATTCAAGCGATGAAGCAGGAAATCGAACCTGCACACCCCCAGCTTGACAGCTCGGCAACTTAGTGGCAATGTCACCAGGGTGAGTTTAACATACATGTATCACTATACTCTTACGGCACAAGTGGTAGATGTCGTGCATGTTTACCGCGTAGGTCGTCATATATATCGGACAGTTCTTGCGCATCTGTTGAACAATCAGGACACACGTGACACTTGCATCGAGGTGTCGTGCGACAGTGGCCACAGCTGGTCACAGGCTTCTCGCGAACGCTGACGGCGCCGAAGTGCAGGGCTATGCAGAGCGAGCCCTGAAGTGTTGCTCACCCCGCTGCAATTTTTCTCGCACGTGGTCAGGAGTCACGTACTTGTCTTCTCTCGCCTTGAAGAGGCAATCTCGGGGCAGGCAGCGGAAAAATAGCAAATATTAAGAAAACAAACCACTCAGACGAAGCGCGGGGTCTTTAGAGTGGCATGTAGGCGCCTTTATATACTCCGGAAGAATTTTCTGTCCTCCATTAAAGAACTCCCTCTATCTCTCTCTCTCCTCGATTTTTGTTATTTCGTGTTGTTTACTTGGAGATGCAGTACCAACTCAACCAGCGTACCGCCCTTCTGAAGAGCTCATCACAGTGTATAAGTTCGCGAGGTGCCGGCATGCTCCTCTACTTGGACCTCAGTAGAGTGCGACGTCCTAATAACGTCGTCAGTGCACCGGGGGTGGGGGGGTAGGCGTCTCACACCACTCCCAGTCCACTAGCTTCTTCGTTCAAGGGCACTTCGGCCGTGTCGACGAAGACTTGCACGGTCAGGCAGCGCGAACCTTGTAGGAAGTTCTCCGGCGCCGAGCCGTAGACAGTGATGGATGCACCCGACGCGCGTCCACGGGCTCGCACGTGCGACTATCTGCGCGCGAGTCATCCCACCCGCCCATCTATCAGCAGGACTTGACGGCGATCGAGGCACGCGCTTAATACACTCGGCTTTGCTGCGACGTGCGTACAAACACGGATACTGCACACCCTGCATGCCGAAGAATTCGGCACCTGAGAGTGTCGAAGCTGCGGAGGTGGCGAGGATTACGATGCACCTCCCGCAACGCCTTGAGCCGCCGCATAAAGGCATGCCGGTGAGCGAAGATATGTGGCGATATGTCTCCTGCCATCTCTCGCGCTCTCTCAAATTGCAATATAAATCGGTACGACATATGCAGGTTCGTTTCCCTCCGTGTTCTGTCGGACATTTCTTCTTCGTCGCTGTCGTTTATTCGTTAGCGGTGATAACAGTCCGGGGTGTTTCGTCCACCTTTCGCAAACGCACCTGCGTAGCATCGACATAATCATGTTTTCCCAGCAGAAGCTGCTGTTTTACCTGACACAAGATTTCAATCCTGCATGCAGTGATTCCCCAACGTTCGAGGCGTGGAGTTTCCTACCGAAATCTCCAGAGGGAATGCTGCAGCAACCTCAATCGTTCATATACAGGGAGAATTTAACGAGAAACTGTAGTCATCATACGCAGTTCCAGGAAGGCGATGAAATAAATAAGCCAAGAAAGACTCAAGTAATTTTGGTTCAGAACTCGATAGTTTGAGCCATCGTCACGCAGTTTGCCGTGTTCCCCTTCGCGTTGTCACCATACCAATCCCGGCGGACTTTTACGGGTCGGTTGTCGATCAGCGGTCGTACGGAGAAGATGGAACAAGACGTGGAACGTTATATACGAGGCAAACAACGAAACCCGTCGTCTGCTACACGAACGAGTGAAACACCAGACGGCCAGATGCGCATTCTTGAAACTCCCCTCTTGTCTTTTTTTCCATCTGTCGCTTTATTCTATCCATTTCTTTGTTTCTCGTGGGTCCCGTAACCTGCGCCGCCCACCGACCGAAGCGTCGTTTCGTTCTTCTTCGAAGAATGGCGCCATAAATATGGCCGAGTAAAGTGAAAGTGACAGCGTGCACATCCGTTTCGTTGTCGGTTACGTGAAGAGTAGCGCACCTGTGCAACCAACCAACCAACCAACCTCGTCTATATCATTCTGTCGTCTCCGCACGCAGACACCATCTTCTTCTTCTTCTTGCGTTTCTTCTTCGTTTTACGTGATTCCCTTCGGAAACGGCTTCTCGGAATTCACGCCGCGCGAACAAAGAACGCCGGAGAAGAAACCGAACCGTTGTCTACCACCCCTGCCCCTCGCGTCTGCTTCATTTTTTTTTTTATGTCTTATACCTGAAACCGCGCAGAAACTGCGTAACCGCATAGCTTCCCATAATTGAGGCGTGTACGTTTCCGACCATGCGATCGTTACTTTGTTCCTTCCCTCGGTGTCGGCTTTAAGCCATTACCGAAAGTACACACACATACATACAATAGGTGAGGCTATAAGTAAACCGTTGCATCGGTGACCTTGCTTATACTTCGAAGGATACGCAGACTATACGAAGCGTCTGTCTCACGTTTCTGACCGTCCGCTTGTACTTGCGGCGTCGTCTGCATCGAGCGTTTCTTTTTGTCGTCATTTAGACCGCCATATACTTTACGAAGCACGAGGATTGCAGTTTTCCTTTCTCCTTCTTTTCGCCAAGGTCGTGGAAGAAAAAAGAAAACGTTCTCGATTTTGAAGCGGGAATGCGGTACTACGAGACGAGGTGGACGTTGTGCTATCGAGTTTTTTTTTTTAAAAAAACGAAGTAACTTAAGAAACTACGCCTGCGCGCCCAAGAAGAAACGGCAACCGATCTTATCCTTTTTCCAAACTGTCCAGACGCGTCATTTCATTCTCACGCCTATGCTTACAGCTAACTCGCCCTGCCGGGGAATCGCGCTCACTTTTCGTGCCTTTCTCGAAGCGAGGCGTTTCATATTTCGAGCGCGTTTCGATCGCGTTCGAAACAGCTTATAGGCGAAATCGATTTTCCGCGAAGCAACATCACCGCCCGCGATGGCCAGAAAGCTTGGGAAAGTGAGACCTCCCCCGACGCCAAAAAGTACGCACTATAGTACGTACGTATGCATCATCGGATTCGTCACACTTTCGGTCCTTTCTCTCGCGCACAGACGCATCAACACAACTGTCTGTCTCGCTGTATTCGCATGCGCGAAGCGTACACACTCGAAATGCGCGGGGACGCATTTTGCGTGTGTGTTTTGCGTGTGTATAGTTTAACTTGTGTACGATTCACGTATGCATGCTTCACGTGTGTATGCTTCGCTTACACCGCACGCCGCGGACGGCAGCGTCGGATCACTCACCTCCAAACGCGTAGCGAATGCCCACCGCGACGCGCGCTTTGCGGCGTTGCGATGACGCGGCAGACCGAGAGATGGCGCTGACCCGAGCAGTTCCCGAGTGCCCGTACGGAAACGAATGAAAGAAAAAGAGACGAGAAAAAAATGTTGGAGGGGTGAGAAAACAATGCGCTTCGTGTAGCATATACGCTAGCTCCGTGCGTGTTTTGTTTGTTTGTTTGTTTGTTTGTTTCGTTTCTTCCGTGGAAGCACGTTACACAAAAAAACTTTCCTTTCAAACTCACACAAACATTGCTCACAAAGACAAACAAATCGTGCTCCTTGTGCAACGTAACCAAGAGCCATCCGCCAAAGCGAAGACCTCTGTGGCAAACTCTCACACAGACGTGGCGCTTTTATTATTATTATTATTCAATTGTTTGAGTGACTCTCTGAAGGAGAGAAAGAAATCACATGGAGAGATGCGCACTTGTGCTCTCAGGGCACGTCTCTTTCCTTCCTCTGAACGCGGATTTCACGGCGCGACGCCTAGAGATGGGATGATTTTATACGCTGTCGGTTCAAGCTCTTGTCCTCGCAAATCCCGCGCGCGTGTAATTGTCCGAGGATGAGGTTTTTTTTTTTCGGCTTTTGTGTACTTGTGCACCTACCGCCGCGTTGTCCTAATGGTTATGGCGTTTGAGTGCTGACTCCAAGGTCACGGGATCGAATCCCGGCCGCGAATGCCGCACTTCGATGGAGAAATGGTTATAAGAGGGAAAAGAAGAGAAAAGTGAGCCCCGTAACTGTCTGCATCAGGGTGGGACACCTCAACAGTAGCTCACAAGGAATATAGTTAGGAGGGATTAAAAGGATAGGATTAAAGGTATATATAGAGAGAGATGCGCTGGGACAGCGAGCGAGGACATATGAGGGGATAGGATAGATAGGAAAGATGGAAACATGGTCACTTGAGTCCGAGGATGGGCACAATTTGCGATAGCTCTTGTCGGTGGCAGGAGATGGAGACAAAAAAAAATGCTATATAGGGACCTGCGTGCTTAGATTTAGGCGCACGTTAAAAATAACCCCGGGTGGTCGCCATTTCTGGAGCCCTCCACTACGGCGTCTCTCATAATCATATCGCCGTTTAGGCGCGTAAAAACCCAGCGATTATTAATACTATTGTCATGCATCTACGTATGGTTGTCGAGTGGCCGGTATACTTGTCGCGAATCAGCTCTTTGGTGGCGTGTTCGTACACAACAAGATGTCATACTTCACCCATCGCTGACAAAACGTAGCTTTAACTTTCAATTTTCTTGTCCTTGTTCACCCTCTCTGGCAGACATTGACGAGTGCCAAGACCCGAACGCCTGCGGCCTGAACGCCCTCTGTCACAACGTACCGGGCAGCTACAAGTGCGTCTGCCCCGACGGATTCACCGGAGACCCCACGATCGAATGTCACGGTTGGTATCACTACATTAACATTGATTGATTGATTGATTCACTGATTGATTGATTGATTGATTGATTGATTGATTGATTGATTGACTGATTGATTGATGGCGATGACGATGCGCAGACGTCGACGAGTGCCGAAACGACCCGTGTGGCGCCAACTCCGTGTGCCACAACCTTCCCGGCGGCTTTGAGTGCGAGTGCCGGCCGGGTTACAAGCCCCTTCCGGGCCGTGCCCACCACGGATGCGTGGACGTGGACGAGTGCCTGGACCCGCAATTCCCCTGCGGAACGCGCGCGACGTGCGTCAACGCCCCCGGAAGTTTCTACTGCCAATGTCCGCCCGGATTCACCGGAAACCCAAAGATCGCCTGCCAGGGTATGCGTACAATACAAATTTCCGAGCAGCATTGCGCCTCACAGATTTAACGAACTGTCTCTGAAACGCCCTTAACAACTTCTGGAACTACCGTAGAACGCGAGCATTATCATTTTCTGGCGTTTTCGGTCTTTTCGATAGAATCAGTGACGTCAGCAGTAGGCTCACGTGACACAACGAGGAAATAAGCTCGCGAATTGTCCGTATTCAACGGATATCGATTGTGAATTGTCTCGTAAATGCGCTTTGCCAAGCAGTCGCACGCCTTTTCTATCTTTTTTACCCATATCTATAATGCGTAACCAGCTGATTTCACTTCAATTTTTTTTTTATTTTTCGTTTCCGACTGCGTAAGCGGAGATAACTGCACGCAGCCGGAAACACGGAATCACGATATCCTCGGCAGTTTCGAAAACTAAACCCCGTATTCTAGAACGTCCCTCCACTCAACGCTTCACCTTCACTTGAGAAAGCCGATGGGAGCGCCGTCTCTAGGAACCGCAAGTCACTGCATATCAACGATAATCTGTTGCAATTCTTGAGTAGCGCAGTGTCATTTTCAGCCGAGCGGTGGCGCAGTGCTCAACTCTGTCAAGTGATGGGTGGGAGTCAAGTCGAGGAGCGATTGTGAATACGGGGGTATATCTTGGTTTGTTCTGGAACAGACCAACATACCCGTACGCGAGGTGACCTTAGACTCGTGGCTTTACCCCTGTGCGACTCGTATTCAGGAAGAAATTTCGAACCGCTGCATTGCTCGACTCGACTTTCAATAGCCCCTCTGCTTCATTCAACACGTTCAAGAATGCACGCGGACGCAACTGTCTACCGCTAAGGCGCCTTCTTCACGCTCGGTAGCAGACGACGCTGTTGTGTGCGTCTGTGTGTCCATCGTGGCAGACGTGCCCGGTGCCTTGTATACGCTCAAGGCTGTCGTACACACTTGTTGCGTGTCGTGAAGGAGGCGTCGTTGCCCCTAACAATGGGAGGCGCACGCATAACGAACCCCGCGTGCCAATTGGGAAAGTCGGAAACACAAAGAAAGCCGCGTAAGGCGAATCCCTCTCGCGTTAATTGGAGCCGCCGACCCGCGCGAGGCCAGGCGCGACACCCGAGGAGCGCGGCCGAAAGCGAAATCGCGTGTGAAGTTGCCGCCATTGTTTTGTCGCACGCAGTCTGCCAAGGATTTGACGCGAGCCGTGCCGCGTCGGTCGCTTCGGTGCCGCGTCGGTTCGCACCGTTTTCTCGCCTTTCGTTCGTCTAGTCATTGCTACGCGGTGTCATTGGCTGACACCGCGTAGTGGCGTAAGCGGAATTTATTTATTTTCCGAGTGGGGTGGTGGGGTATGTGTAAGGATAGGAAGAGGTGCTACTAGCCTTTGTGTATGTTCGTACGTGTGTTCGTATGTATGCGTGTAGATATAGATAAACGCGAAATCGAAAATACATATTTTTTAAAGTGTCAAGGGGGCGGGGGGGATGTTTGACCCATCATCCTCCATCTTGGCTACACAAAATACCGCGTGCACAGGGCTCACAAGAAGTCACGTGCCGATTTCCGACTGTGAATTGCCTGTACATTACGTAGCGTGAATGCTTCTAAACTTTTTGCACCGTAGCGGTCGTGTGCGTGGGCAGAGGCGAAGCCTCCGTGAGAATCTTGACTATGATTACAGCTGCAGGGTGGCTGACTGGATTCCCAGAAAAGACAAGCGGGTGAGGGAGAGACAGGAAGTTAGGTGGCCAGATGAGGTTATAGAGAAGTTTGCAGGTGTAAAGTGGCAGCAGCAAGCGCAGGAGCGAGCTGGCTGGCAGAACATGGGAGAGGCATGCAGTGGGCGTAGTCAGGCTGATGATGACGATGATGATGATTATGATGATGATGATGTTCATTAGGATGATGATGATGATGATGATGATGATGATGATGATGTCATTTACTCTGGGATCGGCTCACGCGGTTGTGACAGTCGAGAGAACTCACGCGCCAACTATAGGCTGAACCAATCCTCGGGATGTGGAGAGGTGGAGCCATGGGATTTTCTTTGTTGAAAAAAAAGCACCCACGACATTTGAGATGCGAGTTCCTTTAAGAAACAAAAAAAAGGGGAGGGAGGCAAGTAAGGAAGAACTTGTGCGTTATGTTCTCACCATCTTTGAGGGCAAGTAGCGCTGCCTTCGGTGCCCCCACTTCTGAGCGGGTATATATATGTGCTGACTGGGTGTTGCCATTACTGCACTGCAGACATCAACGAGTGCCCGCATGCCTGCGGCGCCAACACGGACTGCACCAACACGGAGGGCAGCTACTTCTGTCGCTGCAAGCTGGGATACATCGGCGAGGCACAGCTGTCGGCCGGTTGTCACGGTGAGCTCTATACGTAAGCGCACAGGTGTGGGCACGCGCGTAAAATAGAGAGAAGTGTGGAGATATCTCGCTGTTCTTACCCCACGAAAAATACTCCTCGAGGATGCCCACTTTGTCCAATGTTGTGATTGACTAGCGTATGATTTTTTTCATTTTATTTTATTTTAAGTTCTCTTATTACATGAAAATACACAACACTGGTTAGACGCATAGCCACTGGCTAGTAGGGGGTCTAAATAAATATGCATTTAATGGAACAGATTGTGTTAACAAAGCAGATATTTTATAAGTACACTTCAATCATACAAAAAAAGAAAAAAATCGAAACAAAATATAAGAAGGTGCAGTATCTTGCAGCATTGTTCCATGCAAACAACGGATTGTGTGTATACAATACATCAAATACATAAAAGTACGTATACCATGTCAAGTATGATTTTGTTAGACATATAATCTATACATAACGAAGTGGAGATTACAACGAAGTGTGTGTTAGTGTACCTGTTCATTTTTCTGCAGAAAGTCATCGGTTGTAGTAAAAATGTTTTCTGCGGCCACCTGACCAGCTTCCACATACACGAAAGTATATTACGCTAGAATTATTTGCAAGATACAATTTTTCGCCGATCAGTGTACATAACATGTGAGTAGCAGAGGCAACCGTCCAACAAAAAAAAAATTAAAACATTGTGCGATTTCAACCACAGGTTGCCCTAAATCAAAACCACCTACTTTTTTTTTTTTCTACGCCACGATGAGAACTGGCGTGCGTATATTATCGGCACGCTCGCCAACAAACGCCATCGTATAATGTCCCTCTCTCGAAGATGTGAAAAATGAACTGTACAAGCTGCCCCACCCGAACTTTTGCCTACTTTGCGGTCCGCAGACTTGGACGAGTGTTCAAGGCCAACCGCTTGCGGCCTGAACGCGGTCTGCCTGAACGACGTGGGTTCGTACCACTGCGCCTGCAAGGAGGGCTACTCCGGAGACCCAAGGATTCAGTGCCTCGGTACGTACGCTCCCGTTCTTGAGAACGTTGCTTGCCTCCTGAGCTGCTCGTCCCGAGGAGGGTTTCCGTGCAAACGCACCGACGAGGACACACACATGCGTCGTCTTTCATCCCGTCTCATTGTCAGTGCGTTTGACCGCAAACCTGCCTTACGATACTTATGTTCGCCCGCTGCGGTGCACCGTTGCTTATTTCGGATTGCGCTAAAGTGTCTGCGCCTACTTTTTTTTCCTCTCTCCATCTTTCTCTAATTCAGACGTGGACGAGTGTGCCCAGAATCCCTGCGCCATCGGAAGCCTGTGCTACAACAGTCCCGGAAGCTACCGCTGCGAGTGTCCCAAGGGTTACACCGGAAACGCCTACCAGTCGTGCGAGAGGGGTGAGTGAGAGTGTATATACAGACGTCTTTCCAGCTTTCTGTGTCTAACCATTTCTATACCCGGCCTGCATCTCGTGAGAGCATTCTAGATAGACTAGAATCGGATGTCTCGTGCAACCTCTTCAAACGGCATCGCAATTTCTTAGTGAGACGTATTTTCGAAGCTTTGTTGTGTTTATTCCGGCGTTATGTCGCGTTAAGTGGAATATCGGTTGAGGTCCATTTGACTGTCGTACGCTGCTTTTATAAGATAAAGAATACTTAGCCGTCTAGAGTGGTACTGAGGTAAAGTCCCGCATTTCCGACGTTTAGCCGTCGAACCGGCGAGTTGGCCACGTGGTACACGTTTCTCCCACGTCACGACGCCTTTCGTGACATGTGGTTTATGTCTATTTCGTGAGCTCTGCGTCCAGTTAAAGTGTCCGTACTCCTGACAGGCCACTAAAAAACGTAATGTCTCTTTTCTTATTTGATGTTTGTATCCTTTTTTTTAATTGCTCCCTTACTGATTAACGTCTTCTCACACTCGATCGTACCTTTTAAGCGCGCCTTCACAGCCATTGAGTCAAGTACCAGCCCTGTGCTAGAATAGTTGTGTACAGCAGGAGGAAAGGAAACATCAGGATGGCGATGGTCGGTTCTCTCTATTACTGTACAGCCACCTTTACGACCGTAAATGGCTGCACTCGCGTTCTTTTCATTTCTCGCGTCGTTGTTTTTTTTTTCTTATGCTTTCGTGCATGCAATCCGCAGACATCGTTGGCGTGGAGTGCACGACGTTCCACGACTGCACGGACAATGCCGAGTGCGTCAACAACTTCTGCCAGTGCAAGAAAGGATACCAGGTGTCGCCCAACCAGAAGGAGTGTATCGGTGAGCAAATGTCCCGTTTATGTTTGCTTACATTTTTTTTGTCATTGTTCAGCTATCGAAAGTTCATGTTTGATTAGGCAAGCCGTAGACTGTATACGATATGCCGATGCGCCAGTGAGACCGTCGTATTCATCACAGGGGAAACAAAAAAAAGAGGAAGAAAAGAAGCTATCGATGCAGCTACTAGTGTGAGTTTTCCAAAAAAAGTAAAGTTGGCCATGTTTTCAAAACGTTCTTGCGAAGTAATGGCCAAGTAGTCAATGTGGCTTGAGGCATTAGCTAAAATTTCCTTCCCGTGTCACTCACGAAACGATACTCGGCCCAGACGCGTCAGTGAGGTCGCCAAGTTGTTTGTTTTACCCGCACTAGTTATTGCCGTTCAAAAAAAAAAAGGAAATTATAAGGGAATGACATTTTATCGTGTAGTCTGCTATTTTGGGTGAAGATAATTCACGAAACTCCAAAACAAGCATGCATAAGACTAATGTCACACCGTGGTTCATAAAGCCCTGCTGAGTATTTCGTAATGCCGCTACCTGGTACCGTGTCGGCTAACGTATTCCAGGTGACCTCGCGAAGTTGCGCCGGCCTGCACGAAAGCGTATTGACTCGCGGTACAGCGCGCAACGTGTCGCCGCTCTGCTGCGCAAATGTCGAAATAACGGCCTTTTCGCGTACTTACCGCTCGTCAAATGTCTCTTCACCGTTTGACGTAAGTACAACAAAGAAAGCCCAACTACAAGGACGCGAATCTGTTTATGGAATTTATAGAGTGCGAACAAGTGGAGTGAAAATATTATACTCCTGTTTCACGAATTTTTACTGTAAAACAGCTGCGTTGTGTGGCCTCTTACTATCATATTCTTGCTGTATACTGTATATGCGGCCACTACCAAGTAACAACTCCTGTTTCGAGGGTGCGTTGGGAAATTGCAATGGTGACCGAAAATATCGTAGCGTTTCACCTAAATATCGCATAGTAAACAATAAAGTTATCTTTTAGGCTATTACTAAAGTTATGTCTATAGGTTCTATTGACGACATTCGGCGTTTATTTATTTATTTTCGGTAGCTTACTACTTTTCTCAATCAACCATTGCAGTAGATAACGGCAAGCTGGTTTCACTGCAATATTACTAATGCTGCGGCGAAGCCTACACGAGCTGTCGGCAGTGAGAACTATTCCAAACACATGGCCTTGAGGGTGAGGACAGTGCAAAAGTATTCATCAGTTACATGCCTTGACTTTGCTTTCTTTTTTTTTGGGGGGGGGGGGGGCGAGGGGCATATTTTAAAATATTTATCTCTGCGTACGTGTGCTGCCGGAATCTGCGAATGCACATTCAGCCAGTACACCCACGCTGACGTCACAAACATTCGCATCGTTGGTAGAGGTAATAGTAACCTCCTTCTCATTGCGGCGCCAACTTCTCTACCTTTATACTTTTTTTTCAGATCGAAACGAGTGCCTGTCTCGTGGCACTTGTGGCCGCAACGCGGCCTGCGTCAACACCGAGGGCGGGTTCCTGTGTCAGTGCAAGCCAGGGATTCGAGAAGATACACGCGTCTCCGCAGAGCCGCTGTCGAGGTGCGTATCTTGCAGAGCAGATAAACCCCCTACATACCGGCGGGTTTCATTGTCAACCTGATACTTCGAAGCGGCGACACGCTGACAGATTTAGTCTCGGACTAACCCGCAGATGTCAACGAGTGTCTGACCAATCCCTGTGGCAAGAACGCCAAGTGCGCCAACACGGACGGCAGCTACCGCTGCTACTGCCCCGAACACCTCATCGGCAACCCCAAGGAGGCGTGTGTGTGTGAGTGTGCACATTCTGCTATTTGCGTGCAGTAGGTCGCGGGGATCACTTCTACGGAACGTTGCATTGCGACTTGTGCGCGAAAGTGAACGAGATGAGTTTTCACGTTGTCGTCTCGCGCGTTCGTATTGCTGGTGAACTGAATCGAGGTTTATATTCCATTTACTGCTTCCTTGTATCCAATATTTACTCCCTCCATTTCCCTTACTCCCTCCTCGTATCCACTCTACTCCCCACATTGTACCTCGTTTACTCTCTCCATTTCATTTGCTCCTCTTCGCATCGAACTTACACCCTCCTTTTATCTCATTTACTCCTTCCTTGGACTATTCATAGCGCCCTGCGACATGGTCGAGTGCGGTCGCCACGCCACCTGCCAGGCCAACGGCAAGGAGGCGGCCTGCGTCTGCGACGTCGGCTTCACCTTCAACCCGTCTAACATACGCGCTGGATGCATAGGTGAGTGTACATAGATGAAAATTAGCGTGCGCTTGCAACATGGACACGCGCGAAATACACGTGCCTTCCTGCAGCTCTCGAAGACCTAAGTATAGAAAATTCCATGGGAGCTGCGAACTATCCCGACGAACCCTGACGGTACATCTATTCAATGAGCATGGTGCATACGGGATCTGAAATGTTCGGGCTAGTAGTTCGTCAGAAACAACAGTCCGGCCGGCGTTATCGAAGTGGCCGTATTCTTGTGAAGCCAGGACAGTGAAAATGTGCACTTGATATCGATCTGCTTATCTCCAGAGTATTCAAAGAGTATCGCGAATTGTCATTTGAACTCCTACTAACCTGCGCGGGTTCCCGCTGAAAAACACTTCATCGACAATAATCGTTCAGTTTTTCGTGGTGAACACTTCCGAAAGGAGGTGCTTTCTGGTGGGAGGGTTCTCTCATGATCTGGGACGCAGGACTACGGTTAGCTTTTACATCAGTCACTCTAAGAGCTATGTGTTTGTTGTATTTGCACCATATTGCATTGCACTGCACCATGTTCTGTGGCGCTGTGACTGCGTTGTATAAGCTAAGAAGATGGAGAGATTGACACGACGTGGTGCCGTTATCGTCACTGTTCTACCATCTACGCTGCTTAACTGTGTGTGATAAGGGGACACCACAAACTGTACAGACAGTTGCACACCACCGAGTGTCCCTATCCTTCTGCAGACGTGGACGAGTGCAGCGTTCACCAGGGCCCCTCTGGTCTGTGCGGCCAAGGGGCGCTGTGCAGCAACACCCCGGGCAGCTACCGGTGCTCTTGCCCGCCCGGTTTCACCGGCGACCCGTTCCGATTCTGCGAGGACGTCAACGAGTGCGACAGGCTCCTGGGACCCAGCGGTCTCTGCGGACAAGGCGCGCTCTGCGCCAACACCTGGGAAGCTTCACCTGCTCCTGCCCTCCGGGTTACTCTGGCAACGGACGCGTGCGCTGTCACGGTCAGTGCGCATGCGCGTTTAATCTCCTTGCGACGCAATGTCCACATTCGTCGCTGCTGCTTGCTACTTTCAGTTCTTTGTACTATAGTGACCACGAAATGAAATCGAACCTTCTTTAGTAGTCAACACATTGCTGACCAAACCTCAATGTGCCACAAATATAGTCAGGTTCCTTCGAAGTAGGCACTACGAAGTTCAACTTTTATTCGACGTACTACATTTCAGGTTGATGCCATGCCAAAAAAAAAAAAATAATTTTTCTATGTTCAAAGTGAATACAACCAAGAACAATTTACTGCATGCATATTGGGTCCACAATTTCATTCCTTTAGTGTAAAAATAAAACGTCTGAACGATGGACACTTAAATACTTAGCCTCACGCTAATCATGATTAATCACCAGAAACTCGGCAAAAGCAGCACACCACTTCAGTTGTTTCTTAAAAAACACGATATCGGGTGCCTTGGAATTATGTTCCTAGAATTAGACACATTAACAGACAGTCCGTCATGATTAAGATATTTATATTTGTAGGCCGCACTAAGCATGCAGCTTCCGCGATTCAAAAATCTAAAGCGCTCATTGTTCTCGTTATGTTGTAGTGGCTATAATGTAGACCAGTCTTGGCTCGTCCGACGTTTTCTAATAGTTTCTCTCTCTTGTTTTTCTTTTAGTCTGCATTGCGAGAAAGCTCTAAAAAAATTGCCAAAGGTCACGGGCGTTTTTTGAACGCTTCAACTTGGCGCCAGTGAAAGCGAAGGGGCTTACGGCGTTTTCGCAATAACAGCGCTCGAGGGCTGACATCTAATCGTACCGCGAGTACTTGGGTTATCTTCAGGAGCATCTTCACGCACTGGGGCTGGCAGTTTAATGCAGAAAGGAGGATGTGAACTCATCACTGTATATTTGCTAATGGCCTAACTGACAATTGGTGCACAATGTCTAAGCAGTGATGTGAAAACGCCGTTCTTGCTAACGGAAAGTCCCCGTACAATCCGATCCCGTAATTTGCCAATGAGTTTTGCAAGCGAGCTTCTCCACACGGCCAATATGCTGTGTGGTGAAGTTTACTTGCAAAAATTGTTTTGTTATTTTTTATGTTTAACATTACTTTTGTTCGTTTAATGTGTTTCTAATTTATTTCTTGTTGTATCACGCTTTCTAAATTGGCGTATTATGTTTTTTTTTTGTAAATGAAATAATGGTTTTATCTCGCGCTCTGTTGATGGGGAAATACGTAAAATCGACTGCAAACACTGTGCCTTCCGCAGCACGCAGTTAACATGGCGGCGCACAGTCGCTGTTTCGTCCCGGCGCTTGAGTGGCATTTGTGTTCGTTTGGCAGTGTAAAACGAGCAACGGTCGCTTCTAAGTGGCCATGTGTGCGGTGCTGTGTTACTTGGACCAATGACTGTTCTTGTAAGAAATTGGGATTACAGTTACGAATCGTAGCATTCGTGTCCTTTAAGCGTTGCTATGGTGGCTAGAATTACCGTTGCATAAGTTTGTTGCCAGACTTTGGGGTGGTTGTTGCCAGACTGTTGCTAAATTTGGCGGAAAATTTTTCTTTTGTAGTTGTGGCTTCTCCGTAAGAGTTTGGTGCTATCCGCGGTGCATTTCGCGAGTCCAGGCGTACATAGCTGTAGCATATTCGACATACCCCAATTAACCAGCCTTAGAACGCTTATTCATCACATGTATATACGAGTCCGAACGATATGTCTTGTGCTGACACAGCTAGGGGAAGCGTAGCGTCCCCCGTCGTAGCGCGCGGTCGACGCGACACGATCAGCTGAGAGGAAAAAAAAAGAAAAGTAAGGGGGAGGGGGCAGCGCATCACCTCCTGCGACTCTATTCAGTTTTCCCCGTCATCCCTAATACTGAGACGCGATATCTTAATCGCACAGCTGCGCACACAGCAAGAGAACGCGACTCGACTTCTGTAATGGACGGTTCATTCCGTTAATTAAAGGGCCTCTTAATTGCGCAGCAGCGCCGCGCTCGACTTCTGCTAGGCGCGGTTTATTCCGTTAATTAAATTGGCCTCCTAATTGCACGGCAGCCCCACACTCGACTTCTGCTAGGCGCGGTTCATTCCGTAAATAAAACGAATTCTCTAATGCGCGGTTCATTCCGTTAATTAAAACGGAATTAAAACGGCCTCTTAATTACACGGCAGCGCCGCGCTCGATTTCTGCTAGGCTCGGTTCATTCCGTTAATTAAAAGGGCCACCGTCGCTCATGCACTCGCAAAATGCACCGCGGGTAGCACCAAACTCTTACGGAGAAGCCACAACTACAAAAAAACATTTTCAGCCAAATTTAGCGGCAGTCTGGCAACAACCATCCTTCCAGTCTGGCAACCATTTATGCAACGCCAAAAGGAACCTTGCCCTTCAGTTTCGGTTGTCTGCTTTTGGCGGGCTCATTCGTGGTACAACGCCATTGTAGAAGTTGAAGTTGAAGTTGAAGTTGAAATTTTATTTCACCACAACGATACACCGTGATTTACACAAACGAGAAACAAAATTGTGGCATGGAAAGTAGGAAAAAAGCTGCGCTATAGCAGCTTGACTAGCCCCACCTCCCATTTGTACAAGGCAACAGAAACAATGGCACACTAAACTCCATACGGTGCTCACGTATGATTGAAAGAAAAAAGAAAAGAAAATAACATTCTAGTGGTTGTTTATGAAGTACAGAATAGATGCACTCTTGGATGTTTACAAACAAACAATTATTGGGAAAAAAGGCAACCAAAATAAGACGCTATAACAGAAAGGGGTACACTTAAAATTTCATGCATTTACAAGTACTGGGTGCAATTTTTCTGGGTTTATAGCTCCTTATACAAACAGGTTTAATATATCACTACTTGAAAGGAGACGCAATTGGAGACGACGTGAGAATGTCGGCCTTGTATCAGATCGTGTTGCGTTGTGGATCCTGTTATGTTAGTTGTTGCGCCAGCACTCAATTTTGTGAGTGATTTGTCTATAGCGATGCTCGGCATAGCACAGAGGAGTCATAAAAGGGGCTGGTTTAATATAGTGGGTTTTCGTTTGCTGTGGTTGACGAACAAAATATGCATTTCTTTCCCAGCAAGGAATACAAGCGTTTTAGTGCGATTTCGCGAACTGTTGCTATATAGTAATCCTTTGAACGCGTAATGTGCAGATATCAACGAGTGCGCCCAGACGTTTGGACCGAACGGCAAATGTGGCATATCTGCGGTCTGCACAAACACACCCGGGAGTTACCATTGCAGGTGCCCGCCGGGAACATCGGGAGACCCTACTGTCCATTGTAAGCTACTGTGTGCTGTCAGCCATCGCAAAGCGTGTATTTTTGCTCAGGATAGGTTTTGTCAAGGTATAAGCGTGACATTTAAAACAGTTGTGCACATTAGTTTGTGAATAGAGCAATGGCTAGCAAGTGAGAGCGAGATCGTTCGCATGGTCATTCACTGTATCAAATTGCTTTGGTTTCCTCATCCCCTACTACCTTCTTGTCATATTATTTCTCTGTGGCAACACTGTTTTTGTAACCACGAAAAGGTTGCTCATTCTCTGCTTGTAAGGTTGGGGCAGTCTGTCCAACCCTTCCTGCCTCCTCTCCCCACCTGTCAAAATATTACAAGGCATCTTATGTATACACGCATATGTGCAGGCGCCAATTTTTTTTAGCGTGAATGCACGAGCATCGACCACCGAGACTAAAAGTGCCTGTTCCGGGCTTCCTAGCAGCCCTTGCCGGAACGGCATGGCAGAAGAGAACTGCACAGGACTGTTCGTAGCGCACGTGCAATAATATCGTTCATTTCACCACCGTGTTTTCAACGCCGCTTATCGACTGGCTGAATGACACTGGTGCGTTCGGGTTTTAAAGAATTGGGCGACTGCATATATAGGAGTATCAGAACCCACCCGACAAAATAAACTCCTGGCTATGCCCCCATCTGGTATCTTGACTCATTATCCCAATTTGTTCTCAGTTCTTTGTTTTTGTAGTTCTTACATTAAAAAACTACTTTGTCATGGGCATTAACTTTGTGCACGTGGTATACGTCAGTGTACTTGAAAGAAAGGAATGCATTTGATTAGGGTACCAGGTCAAACTTGTCTAAGAAAGCAGTACTCGAGTGTTCCGTTTTTTTTTTTTTTACTTCTTTCAGGTGTCCAAGTTGTCCAATGCGATAAAGACGATGCCTGCCCCGGCCACGCTGTCTGCAGGGACCACCAGTGCTACTGTCCATCGCCCAACATTGGAAACGAGTGCCGACGTACGTTGCAGTAAAAGTTCCTTCTCCCTAATACTTTGAAACACTTTGGCATACTGTTTTCGTACTCAGGTTCTCTCCTTTGGTCTCATTCACACAGATCCCTGTGAAGACATCTTTTGCGGCGCGCACGCGAAATGCCAGCTTGACCATGCAGGCCAGCCTATCTGCGTTTGCGCTCACGGTTTCACCGGCCAAAGCAACAGTCTTCCTGGTTGTGTTGGTAAGCAGGTGTTGCTTCCTTTGTTGCAGCTGCTACTAAAGCACCTAGGTGGCCTGCCTTAGCGTCATGGTGGCTGTAGTGTTGTCCTGCTGAGCGTGAAGTCAGGAGTTTGGTTCCCACCGACTGTTGGTCACGTGGTAATGGCGATTTATCATAACACGGCCTTTTGGATTCAAGCTTATATTTATTTAATTCCCACCCTGCATCTTTAATGCCCCACGTGTTGCATTGTGATGTTAGAACTCGTCACATAATGATAGGGAAAAAATAATCTGCTTATATGGTAGGATATTTTATTTCTTTGATGACATCCCAGCTTCTTAGTATTGGTACTAAAGCTAGTTCATGCTGATTTACTGGGAAGTATCACAGAAGCACTCACCCCACTTTTGCTGACAACTTATTTAATTTAGATATAGGTTCTTGTCATTCCGTAGCAGCAAAAACCAAGATGGTGGCCAAAGAAAAGCTGCAAGGCAGCATTAGGGTGGCTACAGAATCAAAGAAACCATGTTTATTTTGATATTGTAAATGATGAGGTACTCTAATACCTACTCATAGTCACTGAACCCATCGAATAACTCCTTTGAGTCGGCGCAAAAATGGAGCATGTAGGGCTTTGAAAAGCTTGGCTGGTAGGTTGTCTTTTGTTTCAATGAGCTGCCATTAACCAGGTCACAAATTTTCTTGGTGCAGACATTGATGAATGTGCTGGAACCCAGCCCTGTGGCCAAGGTGCCCTCTGCCGCAACTTGCCCGGAAGGTTCGAGTGTGTGTGCCCACATGGATATGAAGGTGACCCCTTCAGGGGATGCTTGGCAAAAGGTGCGGCGATTTAATGGTTATCGCAATTCCAACTGTAGTTTCCTGCTCGCCATAACTGTCTCCCACGTGTTTATTGGAAGACATGGCTTTGCATGAAATTCTCATTATGTTGACAAATATCTTGAAATTGTAATCGAGGTTTACTGGTGGCACTCGTATTTCTGCAGAACAACAAATCATCCACGGCTGCTCAACGGCACGTCCGTGCCCTCCGCATGAGGAATGCATATCGGTCGACGGACGTAGCCAGTGTGTGTGCCGGCGAGGCTTTACATACGACACGTCGATTGCTAGATGCAGGGGTAAGTGATATTGATACTGAGTATGTGCAAATGTCACAATCTTTAAAGTTCACAATGAACAACTAGGAGGGAGAGAATGCTGAAGCTAGAATTATATACATCATTTATCACTTATTGTCGGTGAAACTGCAGCAAGATCTAGGAGGTCAGTCACTGTATAGAGACTGACTTCATATATATCACCCTCTTTTCCTTGTTTACAAGACACAATTGACAATACTAGACTCGGTCAACAAGCGTTTGATGCTTTTGCTGACAATGCGATGAACACTGAATCACCTTGGCTTAAGTCAGTATTAACTTTTTCTTGCCCCCACTGGCCGTGGAGACAATTGTGTAGAGTGCCTCTTCATTTCAAGTAAAAAAAAAAAACTGTCATAGTCACATTCAGCATAGCATTTCTTGCAACATGTAAGTACTGTCACATAAAAAGATTGGTCAGCTTGAACTTGACCCTACAATTGCGAGAAACCTTGTTCTCTTTTGATGCTATTTCCAAGCACTTATCCTCCTTGGAGTATTGTCATTTGATTTTTAAATCAAGTGAATTGTGGAAGATTTGAAGTACTAGTGGGGACGTGAAGCAGACAGACCACATGAAGAAAACAGGTCGGGTGCCAAATATGTTTAGTCCATTTAATATGTCAAATCAGACAACCTGACTAGAGCTTAGCTTTTTGTTTTAATGAATGCTGTTTTGAAACATTTCACTTGCAGATATCAACGAGTGTTCTGAGTTCAAGTCCAGCTCGCCTTGTGGCGCGAGTGCCTTCTGCATGAACCTGGAGGGCAGCTACTTGTGCCAGTGCCCGCGCGGCCACGTTGGTGACCCGTACACATCCTGCTACCCGGAGGAGATCGATTGCCAAAAGGACAGTCAGTGCCCCGGAAACACCGTCTGCGTCAAGGACCGCTACCAGAAGGGAGTGTGCGGCTGCAAGCATCCCTTTGTTCGGGAGGGAGAGTACTGCATCAGTAAGCACGCAGTCCTTTTAAATTCGGTGCTCCATGCTTACTTACAGTGCTTAGATTCCTTTACATAGTAATTCCTTTAACCCTTGAAACAAAACATATCCCAGATCGCCTTGCCTTGAGTTACACTAAAATCAAGGAAACGTTCATATTTGTGACCCATTCATGCTTCACATTCAATATTAATCTCTTACAAGTGGCCATCCTAATTCATTTTTCTTTCTATTCTTAATTAGTTAATTTGCTCGTTATTATGTTCAAGTATTATTAAATTTTGTCCCTATATTAGTAATAAGTAATATCCTTTCCTCTGCTCAGCAGAGCTTCTGCGCATACTTTACTTTACCATTAGTGGGCTTCAATATTTTATTCTACTGTAAAATCAGAACATTAGGCTTGAAGAATTCATGTACAAATGTACACGAAATTGATGTCCATCGTTAATAAGTATGTTCCTTTACAATTCACACACGTGTGCAGAGCTTCTTTATTTTTTTCTATGACTGTGGCTACTCTGAACTATTGTGGTGCCGTTGTAAAAACAGGAGTGCTCAGATAGCGTCAATTTGAACGTAGTGCACATGCGATGTTCTTCATTCTGACAAGAACTTCGCTCAACTTGTCACTGTTGCTATGCCAAAGATGAACGAACAAAAGTATTTATCATTTCTTTTTCTCCCACAGTGGTCAGTCGAAACTGCTCGACCACAAACCCGTGCCCCGAGAACCAGGAATGCGTTTTCACCGGACCGAGTCACGGCTTTTGCATCTGCCCCAAGGGATACACTCTCGAGGTCACTGGGGTCTGTCGAAGTGAGTCGCAATTGCATCAACGACGCTATCCCTATCACGTCTTCACTAGAAGGTACTGTGCAGCTGACAGTTTCGTGTTGTGCTTCCAGATATCAATGAATGTGAAGAAATCAGCGAGTATTCCCCATGTGGGGCTAATGCTCAGTGCCGCGATGCATTGGGAACATACCAATGCCTCTGCGCACCAGGATATACTGGAAATCCTCGACAAGGCTGCTCTCCCATTCGTAAGTTTTTCTCGTCCTTTTGTTATATCAATTCTTGTGAAAGTGATCTTGAATGCTGTCATCGATGCAGTTATTAGAAGACACATTCAGCTATCTTTGAAAATCTTGGCAGGCTCGGTATGCGTTCTGTGTGCTCCAAAGCCACGCCAGAGAGCACTCAAGATGATAGTCGTGAAGTATGAATAAGCACTCGTCAGTGAGCAGCTTACTAGACTGACATCACTGCACCACTCACACAACCGTAGACATAGAGATTCCGTAATTTCCGTTTGTATGCCCGACAATTATCTTTCTTGCCTTGCATAGTGAAGCTTTTGGCTTATCAAAACGCCTTGTCAGTCAACTGTTGTCTGTGGAAGCTTCCCTTCAGTTGATTCAAGTGTTTCAGCCTCATCAGCTTGACTGTGGTACACAATTTCGCCTTTCTCCTTGCTTAATTCTGTGTGCAGCATTTGCATATTGTGAGCACATCTATTGCAATTTTTTTATGGCCATAAAACATATACTAGTGGTACGTTTGCCTAGTACTTCAACAGCGTTTTCACAATTCTGTCTGTGTTCAGGCATTCGCTGCAGGAACGACCCAGACTGTCCATCGAACGAGAAGTGTGTTCGCGGGCAGTGCCAGTGTTTACCTCCATACATTCTGGAAGGTGACACTTGCAAAGGTGAGCTTTGTCACTGTACCCATCTTTTTATTTTATACCTAAAACAGTTTGTTTTTGTGCTGTAAGTCATCAACAACAGCACCTATGGAATGATACGTAGGAATCGCCAACATGTAATCACTGAAGATGATGACCCCATCCGTACCATAAATGGGCAGAGCTCATGCACAAATTTCTCGTTGAAATGATGAAAAAGAGCTGGGCCATTTTTGTTCAAAAGTCTGTATTACGGAGTGGCACTAAAGGTGTTGATGCGTGAAACTCTGAGTTAGGCAGATGAAAAACCACAAAAAAGACGGGATGTCTTTATTGGGTGCCATGTTGCACCGAGCTGCCAATACAGATCTCTCTTGCGTTGCAGATCCTTGTGCTTGGATTCAGTGTGGCCAGTATGCAACGTGTGCCATCACGCCATCAGGGCCGCAGTGCCAGTGTAACCCTGGTTGCACCGGTAACCCACAGACCGGATGTTGGGGTAAGCTCGGTGTCAATGACATGATATTTGCCTTCAGTGGAGTTTACTTGAAAGTAGTACTGACCTGTGATGAACATTTTCCTCATATGCCATTCTGGTGCCGAAAACAGGAAATAAAAGCAAAAAAATGAACCATACATATGGTTTATTAATGTTGCAAAAAAAGAGTTATTGGCGAGTAATTTGTGATATATTTATTTATTGACAGTGTGGCACATGGATTAGCTAATTAGGTACCAACCAAACTCACTATCACTCGGTTTATTTTTTTCGAGCCCGTCACTGGATTCCAAAATTTAACCAGATGTGTCAACTGGAGTCACTAGAGATGGAAAAGTGCTCTTTTAAGTTTTTTAACTTCTGCATACAATTTTTTTCCTGCTTAATTTTCCTTCACGAGAACCCAAGCACATTATTCTTCTCTCGGCTTTGTTTTTTCTTTTCGCAGACGTGAACGAATGTACGTCGAACCTTCCGATCGACCCGAACGGCCCTTGTGGAGTCGGAGCCATTTGCATCAATGTCATTGGTGGTTTCCATTGCGAGTGCCCGCCAGGAACCACGGGCGACCCAGTTCGGAGTTGGATGTACGTCAAATTGGTTTGCCTGCGGCTCGCTATGGCCATGTCATAACTGCATGGCAGTGTTGTGACGTTGCTATGTGTCTGTGGTGTGATCCTGTCACACCACTGACAGCGGTGTGACGTGCTCACAACCACATGACAATGTTGTGATCATAGTTCTATGTTCAGTGTTTTAACCGATTCGCACCATTGACAGTGGTGTGATAAGCTCACAACCGCCTGACAATGTGGCGAGCATTTCTTACTGTCTTGCCGTGTAGTTTTGACCACATTCCAAGTCTTGCTAAAACGATGGAATCTTTCTTTTTTGTTTTGGACAGGCCAAGGATCTGCTGCTTGCAGGTCTGACGACCAGTGCCCTCGCAACGCTGTCTGTGAAGCAAAAGGAGCCACTTGCTTTGGCAAGTTATTTCATATATTTTTATGTTACGGTTAATTTTAATGCATATTGCTTCCTCACTTTAGTAAATGCCCTATTGTGGCTGTGAGTGCAATATTTATAATTTTAACAGTAAATATGTCTGTACCAAGACAAACAGGTTGCTTTAATGCGAAACTCCGGGTTGTTGCGCTTTGGATGTGATGTTCTTGTTTTCCATTCTCTTGTAAAATTTGCAGCGCTGCTTATTCCATTAAGATGTTCCACCTAGCCCCAACACTAGCTTTAATGTGCTCACCACTCAGAAACCATGTTATTCTGAAAGATGTTGGCTCTCTGTTGTCGTCCTTCACTCTTTAGATCCTTGTGTTACATCAGAGTGTGGTCCAAACGCTTATTGTGAGCCAAAAGACCACAAACCAACGTGCTGGTGCCGGACCCGGCTACGAAGGCGATCCCTACGACCTTGAGCAGGGTTGCCAATCACGTGAGTCCTAGCACTACACAATAATTCATTTTCGGTTTGCTTGCGTCTCTCTGTATAATATTATTGTGTGTGGTAAAGCGAAGACTACAGTGAAGACTAAAAAGTTTCAGGCCTTCAGTAGTTGTTATTTGATAGAGAGCTGCGTGTAGTGCTTCTGCTTGCATATGTCTAAGATTTGGCTGTCTTCAAAATTCCGTCTTATTGGAACAATCATAAGGTGCATCAAACTAGACATCCTCATGTTGTATACCCAAGTCGCAATGCATGTTGGTGGGCACCTCTGCAGAATAATGCCTTTACCTCGGCCATCGCGAATACTGCTGGGGAAGTAAACACAGTATGTCACTTCATAAAACTCCTCTGGTTGTATACATTTGCTCAAGCATGGCTGCGTATTCATGCACGTTCATGTTATAAGTCATGTATCTGTTCTCTATCATACCTAATGCAACATTAAGTACATAGATATTTGAGTGAGAACTGATGTTCTTGTAAAATTTCTGCTACATTTCTATAATAGTAGAATGCCAACTCCAATTCTGTGTTTACACAGCAAGACATGTGCATAACTTCTCGGTTATGACTTTTTACCCATCTTGCACTTGCATTTTTTAAATTGGTGTACTGTGGACATTTAACACCGCCTGTGGAGCAAAATCAGAGTTGAAATTCATTGTGTCTTCAAGAATAATCGCCCAACGTACCTTCTCGCTTCTGTTCCCCTCAGCGTGCTCCAAGGTCTGGTGTGGCACCAACGCTCACTGCATCGTTAACTCCAGAAATGAAGGCGTGTGTAAATGCTTCGAAGGCTTCCGTGGAAATCCATGGGAAGGAGGAGAATGCTCACCTGGTATGCAAGTCATCATTTTTAGTCAGTCATTCAGTTCGATCAGTTTGTTTTATTAAACCATTAAGTGTTCAGTTCGCATACAAAAGTTTAGAGAGTTTAGGTTTCTCAGAAGTACAGTTTCCAAGCACTTTGCAGCCGCAGCCAGGAAGGCTGTAAAGCTTTGTGCCGTTGACATATACTGGTAGAGGAGATAAGTAAAAATTATAGGCCATGTGCCAAATCTACAGCAATGATAGGCTTTCTGTACAGTTCTGCTGCCCATAAACTTGTAATGGAAACTGTAGACAATACAGAGTGTAAGGGAAGAAGGTAGCCACTGAGAACCACTTAATACTTGATGATTGCTCTTTCATTATTTTGCCTTGCATCACATCAAAGAATAAAAGAGAAGCCTGCGTAATGGTCTCTGGCTATTCAAACCCAAAGCTTTATTATTTTCTTGGCCACAGCTGCCGCATTTCTCGTGGAAGCGAAAATGCTTGGGGCCCGGGTGCTTAGATTTAGCTGCATCTTAAAGAACCCCAGTTAGTTGCTGCACTCCGGCGCCTCTCATAATAATGTGGCGGTTTCGGGACGTTAAATTTGAACAATTATTATTAATACTATTTTCTTCTTTTTAATTGTGGAAATTATTACTTCGTGCTGAACATGGGAGCGAAATTGCTTTTAGTCTAGTTTAACGTGTAATGTCTTTCTCGTGCTTGCAATGTTATCCTTTTCTTTTGCACCATCATAACAGTGTGTAGAGGCTACTGTTGCGAACTGATTTGATGGGATTTCCTGATTGTTTCCTGAAGAAGAATGGTTAACATCCTTCTGCTTGTCTGGGGCATTGGCAGTCGTAAAAATCACTTAATTATGTGTGCAATTAGTTAAGGTATCTTTTTTTTATGTGCAGATTCGCACTGTTCAGACTCAAGACCCTGCCCCAAAGGCCAGGAGTGTGCTGGCGGCTATTGCATAGGTTTGTTAACTCTCAAACATTAACATTTTTCTCTCTCTCTTAATCGAATAATCAGTTGGTAAAAATTGTATCCGGCAAACTTTTTTTCTCCCTCAGATCGATGCGAGAACGTTCAGTGCGGCATCGGAGCACGCTGTGACGAACAGACCGGCAGCTGCGTCTGCCTGCCATACTTTTTGGGCAACTCGGAGACCATGTGTGTTCCACGTAAGCAAGCTTTTTACAAAGTTGCTTATTGTAGAGAGTTCAGACGAGGAACTTTACTGGAGAAGGTTAGCAAAACGTTTACTGTGGTTGTTTGCTCTCCCACAGCTGTGCTGCCACCTACGTGCACTCCGGGATGTGGAGTTGGTGCACACTGCATGTATGCCATACCCAACAAGTGCGTCTGCAACCCCGGGCTCTATGGAAATCCATACACGGGCTGCAGTAAGTGTTGCTGTGGACCAGATCTAAAGTGTTCAAGACGGCATGCTCATAGGGAGTTGTAGCGCTCGTAGTACAAGTATTTCAGTTCAGATTAACTTGTAGCACTTCAGTGTTCTGCAAAGTGTACCTATTTGTCTCAAGTAATTTCCATCCATCAAGGGCAAATTTCATATGACTGAAATGCAGCCAAACCACGTTGACGAATATTCAGAGAAAAATGTGTGAATAAGCTTACCAAATCGGCTCACTGGCTATGGCTTCCTGTTTCCGGGCACCACGTCACAGTTTCGATCACTGGTTGTGGCAGACATGGGAAAATGCAAGAACGCTTGTGTATAATTAAATTAAGGTGCACTTTGAATTTAGCAGCTCGGGAAGTTATTGAACCAGCTTTAAGTAGCTGTATACTCTAAAAGATGCACTTCATTCCAATCTGTGCACGTATTTCTGTGCATGCATAACCCGTCCTGCTGGCAACATCAAATGTTTTTTTCCAGCGCAAGAGAAGCCACGCTGCACTGCCACCACTTGCGGCAGCAACGCCCATTGTCATGAAACGGCCGACAAGGTGGAATGTCGCTGCCCGGCAGGACTGCAAGGAAATCCCTTCACGCGATGCAACGGTAAGCACACTGCAATTCCTGTAATTCCTGCAATAATGAATAAATAGTACGGTACTTGTAGTGCCTCTGATCCAACTCTTTCTTCTGCTTGCATGGCTCAGCAGAAGGAGGTTAATGTCCTTATCATCCACAGGCTGCGGGTTGGCGTTAGACCATAGCCTCCTATATTTTTTTTTGCCTGCTGAATGAGCGCGAAACACCCGTCATCTATGGCGGCGCCACCTACGTAGGTTTAAGGGTCTTTGTACTTGGCCTTTAAGATCAGCAACTTTGGGGTTTGCTAATTTCAGAGGCTATGCTTTGTATTGAAGGGGTTACCTGCTGAATGAGTGTGAAACGCCCATCATTTATGGTGGTGTCACTTGTGTAAGGTTAATTATAATTAATTATAATTACTTTTACACTTTTTGTAAGCTTTATTATGTTATTTTTGTTGCATATAAGCTCCAAAAACGTAAAAACTTATTTGAAGACAACCCTACTTAAGTAGTGCCACCACCGCAGTTCCGACAACGGCCGCTTCCCAAGTGACCACCGATAATCTGGCAGGCAAGGGAAATCTAGGAGGCTGTGGTTAGACTGATATCAGCGAAGGCGTACATAAGGTTCCTCTTCAAGAAGAGCAAAAATTCATCAGAGCGCCGCCTCCCCTTATTAAGAAGTATGAGGCAAACATTGCGTGCCCCCCCCCCCCCCCTCTCCTATAAGTTACTAGTGGAGACGGCCAGCCCCCTGCCCCCTTCATGCGCACGCCTATAGATATAAGGTTTATTAGATTTAGCATAAATGTAGAATAATGTTTGATGCAATAATGTGCAAGTTCAGTACCATTGCTCCGGATTCGCACAGCTTGGAAAGAAGTGGTATTGCGGACTTCATCATCGAGAGGCTGACGGTTAGGCTTATAAACTTTAGGACCAAGCTGGCTTATTGTTAGTACATAGTTGTTTTTCTGGATTTCAACGACTAACAAGCATTACGTGAGGCTTAAGTATTAGTGGAGTATATTCTTTGGAGTTAGTCCAACTCCCAAGAGGTTCCTACTTAGGAGCTGGCTTCAGTTAAGCTTTTTGTTTTTGAGAAATGCTTTGAGAAAGTCACAAATGCAGTACAACTGCTGGTTGTGTCTCAGTAAGTGTTTTTTATATCTTCTTGTTGGTTAAATATAAGTGGCCAATTTCTTTTTATGCAATCTTAGTCGCTGATCTGTAAATACTATAACAATAGCAGCAGCATTCACACTGTACCACATCCTTTTTTGTGGTTTGTGCAGGTTCTTGTCATGAATCATAGGCCATGACCGCGGGAAATAGTGGCATTTCAAAACTACAATAGTCCACTTGTAACTCTTTCAGACATCAATGAATGCCTTGGTACCGGAAGTGTCTGTGGCACCGACGCCAGCTGTGTCAACACCTTTGGAAGCTTCAAATGCGTCTGTCCAGATGGAATGATCGGAAATCCACTGTTTGCTTGCAGTAAGTCTGTGTGCTTGCTTGCTTATTGGTTTATTTCTTTCACGTTTGAGTGATAATTGCTAGGGAGTATGGCAGGAAGTAATCTGGCAAAGTTTTCGCTTAGTCATGGAAAGATTCCAGTAAATATTTTCAGTTCAGCAATAATTGTTTGATTGCCCTCAACCAACGCTTGAAACATGCCAAAAGCACAGTTTTTCGAAACATTTGTTGCCTAAAGTGGGTTCAGCTTTGAGCTGCATATTCAATTCACTTGCTAGCAAGTTTCAGCATAAACTCAGTTCTAGCACAATAAGTGCCTTGTTGAGTTTGTCATACATGATGTGCCCCTGGGAAGTTGAAATCAATTCTTAAAAATGAGGTCATGGCAACTTGTCTCATTTACAACATGGAACACTGTTCTTTCATGCTGCTGTTTTGTGTGATTCAAGATGTTTGTAGGGTACGTACATCTTGAAAAGCTGCGGCATTCCACCAGCACATACGAGAACCCGAGTGATTAATTCCGCGTCTCGCTGTTAATCGATGCAGCTCCTCGGGGAGCGGACGTTGTGATACCCGGTGGAGGTGGTGGTGACGTGCGTCCACCTCCAGTGCTCCCTGATGGAAAGCCGCCCATTGTCACGACTTTCACTCCTCCCATCCCACCATTTGGGTGCAAAACGGATCACGACTGCGGGCCTCTCAGTGTTTGCGTGCCTGGAATCGACAACCGCCGACACTGCATCCGTGAGTTGGCAATGCTCTGGAGAAAATTGTGTGTGCAGTAACTCATTGTGGCATAGCATAGTCACCTGCATCTCTCTCTCCCACTTCCCTGCACCCCAGTGAGCCTTAGCATAGCAAAGGCACACTCGAGGCCAACCTCTCCTCTTTTTTCTTCGTTGCATAATCTGCCTCTTCTTTCTGCTGCATGCATGACTCGCAGAGTGATTATTCGCCTCTTAACGCAACTCCAGTAGCTAAGTGGCTTTAGTTATTTACTCCTAGAAGTGATTGAGCTGATGGCTTTGTTTCTAAGTATTTTACAGTGTTGTCAGGATATTAAGTAGCTGAAAATAATGTATGCTAAGGTATAAGCCTTTAAATTCATATTCCTCGTAATTTATTAATGCAGAAATTTATCAATCATACGACGAAATACACAGAATAGGGAATTCTTTAGTGACATCCTTGTGACCTTGTGACATCCACGTAAATTACAGAAAAACTGTGTGTGTAAACAGCTTAGCTAGCAGCTGCTTTATTTGAGTATGCTTTTCATAATTTTTGCCCTGGCACTATCTAGAAACCACTACCTTGCAATCTTCAAATGTGCTGTTTACCTCTTAGTTTGTTTTATACTAGTACATTTTTAAACCGCTGCCACCCTTTTCCTCCAATAGACTTGAGCAGCCTCTCACAACCTCTGTAACACAAATTGCATCTATTATATTATTTACTTAACTACAGATGTTTATAAATCATTCACTGACTGGAAAGGACACAAAAAAAGTTATGCTTCCAAATCACTTTTCGAGTGCAGACTCTGTTACTTTGAATTTTATAAAGATACTATTTTGTGGCTTTGGTTCTGAACGACTGCTGAATTATTGGTTCTCAGGTCCCTGCGAAGACAGGGTGTGCGGACCCAACGCGGCCTGTACAGTGGAAGAGAGGGTCGGTGTCTGCCAGTGCGTACAGGGATTCCAAGGTGACCCTGGTGACTTGGAAATTGGTTGCACACCACCAAGAGGCAAGTTTATGTCTGGAACAAATGCCGCCATGAACATTGTATCAATAGTGAGGGGACTGACAGCAGAGTCATTGTTTTCTCAATTCAGGCCAGCCTGTTTCACAAATTTTCTATGGCACAAGCCTTCACTTGACAACCTTGACTCCGTGAAATTTGATGTGTTCTCTGTGCTACTTGTAATGTTTGGTGTGTCAGGGTTTTAGACCTAAGACATTGGCAACACGTCCGTGAGGTCCCCGATTGCATCAAGGGTGCCGGGCTTACAGTTAATCCCAAGCAAACCCTCAGTAGTCAGGTTTATCAGGCCTAAACCTCAGCAACCACTTACACCAACAGCACACTCACACATGTACTATGAATCTGTCCTCGCCTTGCCCTGAGGGCATTACCTATTTCTCCATCATGGATGGATGTCCTCACAGGTGAACTCATGCACAGTGTACCAGTTTGATGTGAGATGGAGCCTCATGCATTCGCTCCAGATGAGTTTTGCACATAGCAAGAACTTTCAGCTAAGGCCTGCGAGTTTATAAAAATGCAGCTTGTTTACTTGTGAGTTGGGCGCATTTAGCAGGGTTAGGTTTCCCGGTATAAGTTCAGTCCAAGCAAACATTTCCAAGTTGTAACAATGTGTTCCACTCTCTTTTGTCAAACAGCTGGAACCGAATGTGAAACTGATGACGGTTGCAATCTTAACTCAGCCTGCGTGGTCAGCCAAGACAACACCCGCAAGTGCCAAGGTATGGTTTTCGCTGCACCCGCCTGATTCTTTGTCTTTAGCCACAGGTTTGGGATACCGAGAAGCAGAGACAGCTAAGCAGCTACGTTGGTATCGATTCATCATTTTTGAAGTTTAAAAGCTTGTTATACCGGCTTATATGCTCCAAGTATAGTAAATTTTAAAACATAACATGTTTTACAGGTTGTCACTTGCATTCTGCCGAAAGTCGAATGCTGCGACTATTCAAAGTTGCTTCCACTTCCTTTGAACCAAAAAGATTGGCATTTGCACAGGCCTTGTTTCAATTAATAAAATATATCGTGCAGGTTAGTTAAGGCATGACTAATATGCCCATGTTTCTTATAATATGCAATATGTACTATCCTAATTCAATTTGAAATCATTCAGCCAAATCACTATTCACTTAAAATTTAAAATCCACTATTCGAACAAGCCTACTCATTAATATAACTCCTGCTAATAACATTTAAATTGAGATTGATGCATACGTTTGAATTCTTGGTTGTTGTTTACCTGGTTCGTTTCAACCATAATCAAAGCAAGTTTGTGCTCTAAGTGTGCACAGTTGGCAGGAATGCCTCTGGTAGCACTAGTTACAAGGTAACTATACACCTAAAACTAGTGGCTGAAAGCATCAGCATGCCAGAACATTTTCCAACAAAGCCTTAAAGAGTGCTATATATGCAAAGCAAAACAACATGCGTGTGTTTTGTCACTGATTCGTAGTGGAGATTCTGTCAGTTTATATCAGCCTTAACTCAAGGTTAATTTTGATTATGTTTTTCTCACTTAATTACGCTGTACACCATGGTGATAAAATGCCTTTTGCCACTTTCAGCATTTTTGCTAGCTAAAGCTCATTCAAGCACTGTTCGTGTGCCATACTTAATATGATTGAAACTAAACATGGATTGTCTGTTCAACACCTTTACTGTCTTATTATTATTCATTACTGCCTATGTGTTTTATTTTATAATATGGTTTTCCATTTTCTTTATTTCTTTACAGATGTTTGCATCAACACGCAGTGTGGCCCGAATGCTGTATGCCACGCCATTAGCCACCGAGCAAACTGTATTTGCAAGGATTCCTACTACGGCGATCCCAACGATCTTATTCGTGGCTGCACAAGTAAGTTGTCTTGAAACACGTGCAAACTAATGGACTTTTTGTGCACGGTGTCATCTCTTCGAGATGTAAAGCGGCTATGCTCTCTAGAGCCACGGAATTACCGGCAGAGTGGACAGAACGCTCCATGTTAACCAATTATTCCTGCTTTCTTGCAGCTAAACCGCAACACGAATGCTTGGAAAACAAAGACTGTGGGGAGCGTTACGAGTGCAAGCTCGGCACCAAGGGAGTCAAACAGTGCAGAGACGTCTGCGAAGACAAGACCTGCGGCAAGAATGCAGTTTGCTTGGGAGAGCACCACAAAGCCATCTGCGAATGTCTTCCGGGATACATTTATGACGGCACGGGCTGCCAGGTGCCTGACGATTGCGCCATTGACCAGGACTGCCTCGAACACGAGGCCTGTCGCCACCAGTCCGGAGGAAACAAATGCGTCGACGTCTGCTTACGGCATGCTTGCGGTCCAAACGCTAGGTGTGTGGGACAGAAGCACGTTCCAACATGCATCTGCCGAGAGTCCTTCTTGGGAAACCCGAACGACCGTGTCAGAGGCTGTCAGCCGCTGCTCGATGTCTGTTTCCAGGATGCCGATTGTGCAGAGAGCGACCGCTGCCTTCCCGATTCGAGAGGCATCAAGAACTGCACCCGAACTTGCATCAAGACCCGCTGCGGCCCCAATGCGCACTGCATTGGCAGGCTTCACAGGCCTGTCTGCGAGTGTCGAGAAGGTTACAACGGCAATCCAGGTGATCTCTCGCAAGGCTGCACGCCCATACCTCGTGACCGTTGCCACAGCAACCTCGACTGCAAGGGGTATGAGGTTTGCAAAATCACTCCTGTTGGAATCAAGGACTGCATCGAACTTTGTCTCGATTATGAATGTGGGCCGAATGCAAACTGCATTGCCATGGATCACCTGGCAGCTTGCGAATGTCTCCCAGGATTTGCTGGAAATCCCCACGACCTGCGGAGGGGATGCATGCGACACTTGTGTGAGCACGACAACGACTGTCCTTGACTCGAACGTATGCTTGTTGACGCGTGGTGGCGTCAGGAACTGCACCGATCCGTGCTGGGACAGACGCTGTGGGCCGAATGCCGATTGCATCACGGTACACCACAAGGCCACTTGTGAATGCAGGCCTGGCTTCGAAGGTCTTGCCGATGACCTTCGAGAGGGCTGCACGCCCATTCCAAAGTGTCGAACGAGCAGTGACTGCCGGGACGACGAGGTTTGTGCCGTTGACCGCAACGGCATCAAGAGTTGCCTTCAAGGCTGTACCACTACCTTGTGCGGACAAAACAGTGTTTGCAGAACCGAGAATCACATAACCATCTGCCAGTGTCGCGAGAACTTTGTTGGAGACCCATACAACCGTGAGACCGGATGCTACGCCCAACCTGAGCGATGCTACAGAGACAACGATTGCCCTTCCATTGCTGTCTGCAAGAGAGTATTCGATGGCAAGAACGATTGTTACGATGCCTGTGAAGGCCATAGTTGTGCTCAGGGTGCTGTTTGCCAGGCGGTGAATCACAGACCAACTTGTATTTGCAAGCCAGGCCTCGTCGGTGATCCCCTGTTGGGTGGCTGCCACATTCCGGATGAATGCCAGGTTGACGAGGACTGCAGGGAAGATCTCATTTGTCGACCAGATACAACAAACCTCAGGAAATGTGTGTCTGTGTGCATCTATGAGAAGTGTGCGCCAAATGCTTACTGTACAGGTGTGCGTCACAAGGCTCAATGCATCTGCCCCCCTGGTACTCAGGGAGATCCTTACAATCCCCGCATAGCTTGCTTGCCAACAGCAGCCTGTCACTGAAGGCTGCACCTCTGACGACGAATGCGCCTCTCACTGAAGTGTGCCTTCACGGTAAGTGCACCGACGCTTGCGAAAAGAAACAGTGTGGTCCCAATGCAGTCTGCCGGGTGCACAACCACCGGCCATCTTGCCACTGTCTGCAAGACTACAAGGGCGATCCTGACAACCCAATAAATGGATGTCGGCCAAAGGACGAGTGCCAGATTGACGAAGACTGCAAAAGGCTGACAGACGTTTGTCGGACCGACAACACGGGCAGCAAGAGGTGTTTCGACGCTTGCCAGTTCAACAAGTGCGGGCCAAACAGTCTCTGCGTTCCAAGACAGCACTCTTACGAATGCCAGTGTCAACACGGCTTCGTCAGAGACCAGGAGAACGTGCTGGGCTGTGTCGAACGAGAACACGACGAATGTCGCAACCACACTGGTTGCCCGACTACGGCCTGCCTGCATTCCCAACACCATTGGCGTGATGAAATGTGCTGAAGTTTGCATCAGTTTCAGCTGCACACCCGATGCAGACTGCATTGCGTTCAACCACAGAGGTCGTTGCACGTGCCGAGAGGGCTACACTGGAGATCCCAACAGCAGAGGAGGCTGTCAGAAGATTCCCGAGCCAGAGTGCATTAACCATGCTGACTGCCCCCACCCCAACGAGGTTTGCCAATTTGACGAAGCTTATGGTGAACGCAGATGCCAGGATGGCTGTAAGTTCCTCAAGTGCGCACCTCGGGCTGTGTGCGTTGTCGACAACCATTTGCCCAAGTGTACATGTCCAAATGGCCTCTACATTGGTGACCCTTACGACCAGCGTGAAGGGTGCAAACAGGTGGAGTGCCTCAAAGACGAAGACTGCCACATAACCAAAGCCTGCTTTCCAAACTTTTACTGCGAAGACCCTTGTGTAGGATGGCTGCGGAGTCAACGCTGGCTGCGTGGCTCAGAATCACCAGCGTATTTGTCACTGCCGCCCTGGTTACACGGGTGATGCCTTGGTTCGGTGTGAAGAGATCCACTACTGTGATTCCAACCCTTGCCACTCTTCGGCAAAGTGCATCGATGTGCCCAGTGGCTACGAGTGCGTCTGCACGAACGGCTTCATTGGAGATCCATACCGCCAGGGCTGTCGCCACCCCAACTCTTGTCCTCACGGTAACGGGGACTGTCCTAGTCATCTTGCTTGCTACCCCGACCGTCTTGGTCAACCGATGTGCCAAAACCCCTGCGACCATTTCAAGTGTGGCTTGAACACTGTCTGTCGGGCCGAAGGCCATGCTGCTACTTGCGAATGCCAAACACACTTCCGGGGAGATCCGGCTGTTGGATGCAGTCGTGAGTCTGTTGTATGCCTGAGTGACCATGACTGTGCGTCGGGCTATGCTTGTGTCGATGAGCAGTGCCGTCTCGTCTGCACTCGTGAAAGTGACTGTGCTGCTGGTGAGAAATGCATCAACAGCCGATGTGTGCAACCATGTTTCTCTCACATTGATTGCCCCCCAAAAGAAGCCTGCCTCAGTGCTGGTTACTGCCAAGTTGGTTGCCGGAAGAACAGCGACTGCCAGCACGATGAAACCTGTTCGCAGAACCGCTGCCAGAATCCGTGTGAGATCAAGGGCTTGTGTGGCCCCAATGCCATCTGCAAGGTCAGCAACCATGAAGCCAACTGCTACTGTCCAGATGGCCTTACTGGAAATCCGACGCCCATCATTGGCTGCAAGAGGCCGGTAGTTACATGCACGGGATCCTGTCCTAAGGGCCTGTCGTGCATAGAGAACAGGTGTCGAGCCGTCTGCAGTGGTTGCATCATTGGAGAAGCCTGCGTCAATGACTTCTGCATGGGTAAGTTTATTGAATTCTAGGCTGTTTCATAACTTGTGACTGTCTTCAGCGTGGTAGTACTCAGCTGTTTACTTGGATGATGAACTGCATTCATGAAATTTCTGTTTCTTGCATTGAGTATAGACAGCATTGCTTTCTTAGCGTTTCCTGAGCCCCTAGCTTAGTTTTCCCCCAAAAGAAAACTGAGACTTGACCATAGCACATTCTACAATGCACTATATTACACGCAGTAGTATCCCAAATAGTAGTACTTGCAATGTAGGAAATTACGACTGCCCCCAAGCATGAAGTTTGGGACAGAGAAGCCATTTATGTGAGTTTAATGTTCAATGAGGGTATCAAAATTACAATTGGAAAATTGTGCCAAGTCCATCAAAGTTAGTGTAGTGTCAAGTACAGTGTGCCTTCATATAGCTGTTCTGTATTATTTCTAATGACAAGTTATAATAATGAATTCATAAAGGGACAATGCCAAGCTCAGGGTACTGTTTACAAAGGCCATATAATTCAAGTTATTTCAAGAGCAGGCTGTGTGTATAAAAACACTTGGCACCTTTTTTTTTTATGCCTTTACATTGTATGTATGTGAACAATAAGAAAAATGTTTAAATCCCTCTCTTCATTCGCAGCCGCATGTTCTGGCGACAGTGACTGCCCAGCTGGAGAACTCTGCATTCACGGCTACTGCCAGGTCGGCTGTCGATCGGACAGTGACTGCCAGGTGTACCAACTCTGCTCACTTAATCACTGTTCCTGCAAACCAGGCTTCCACACAGTAGAACATGGCTGCGAAGGTAACTTAATTGTTCTTTCCTATGCGATCCGAACAACACGGTAAGCATAGCCAATGGTGGCCTAATACTGTGTCACAGAGGCCCCACACTGCCATATGTTGGTCCTACATTGGCTTTGCTTGCAGTGGTACTTGATATTTGTGCACATAATATAGGTCCGCTTAGGGAAACAGTACTACGACTGGGACAGCCAACCACTGAATCGCTTCTGTATGAAAATGTTAATTTGTTTAACTCTTGTCATGTTGCGAGTTATTGGTGCCTTTTTCCATGAGGAGCAACATTTCTAATGATGCCTCCAAAAGCCAGTGCTGGAGTCGTTATAAACCCTGTTATTTTAGGACACAGTTATTCTTGTTATGTAAAGTAATTAGCAACCACAGCTTCATAGAAGCATTTACTGGCTTCTAATGCTAGTCAAATAATTTCCTAGGACATAACAGTAAGCACATGTCGTCTTGTTTGTCCTCTCCCTTCTGTTCAGACATTGATGAGTGCCTAAACAACCCGTGCCATTCCACCGGCATCTGCGAGAACACCATTGGCAGCTTCGTTTGCCGCTGTCCTGAAGGATTCATCGGAGATGGGTTCTCGGGTTGCACGAACCCTGGCGAATGTCCACGAGGCGATTCGGATTGTCCGCTGAATGCAGCCTGTGACCAGAATGGCGTGACTAAGTGCATCAGTATGTTGCTCGTTCATTACGTTGTAATTGTCACATTAAAGCATGTGGGGCTATACATTTATCCTTAATCAAAGGTCATAGCAAGCAATTTAATTACACGGACATGTTCACTGAATTGTGGGTTGCAATCGAAAGCAAGCCGTCTGTAACAACTCACTTCTAATGAGCTGTCAGTTCACCTTATGAGCTGTCACGATCTGGTCTTATGATGAGTGACTCTCTCAGCAACGTAGTGTTTTCTTCTAAATTGTGCAACTTTTTAGCTCATAGTGATCACTAAAGAGCTAACTGCTGTTGGTGTGAATGCTAAGTTGCAGTTTCTTTTTTGCTTGCCCTTCACAGACTTAGGTTGACAAAGTGTTTTCTGTATTCCCAGATCCTTGCGAAGAAGAGCCTTGTGGACCAAATGCGGCCTGCACAGTGGTGAATCACAAGAGGCAGTGTGTTTGTCCTCGAAGTGCCCTGTACACGGGTGATCCTTATGACAAGAACAGGGGCTGTGTTCAAGGTACAGTGTATTCAACTGGAAGGCCTTTTCCGTCTGGCAATATTCGTCGGCTGTTGGCTTCTGTCGATCTGGTCAAATTAACCTTCGTCTTCATGCTGATCTGTCTAGAGGTTTCAATGGATGCCTGATAACTTCTTAATGCGCTGCCTTTGATACTGATGTTAAATAACTGTATTATGACCAAGATTTGCTAGTCTTACTGGTATCTGATCATTGTAAGCTATCTTTACTTATATTTATGGCTTATAGCATGTATAGTTTAACATATGCAGATCGTATTATTAACGGACATCAACCAAAGATTGCTGCCTAGTTTTATCTTTTCTGTAGATGCTTCTTGCTTTTTAAAACAGAAGAAATCTTCAATACATACTATCGATTTCAGTGAAATGTTATTTTCTGAGCTGTGCAGATATATCAGTAATAGTATATAATGGCGCTACTATACCGTCATTGTTCTATAATTTTTATACCTCAGTCTATGGACCATCAACATGGCTGCTTTAATTGCAAGTTAACCACTGAGAACATGTGCAGTATATCATTAATGAGGTGCCTAATGCTTAGCAAATAAATACCATTTTCTTCATTTTAATCCCCGTTTTTACAGTGGACTGCCTGCATGACACCGACTGCCCAGTGAACCAGGAATGTGTTCATTTCGTTTGCGAAAGTAAGTGGAATGAAGACTGCGCTATGTAATAGCATGTCGTGCCTTGGCGCTGCTTTCAATATCGATACGGCTGTAGTGTTGCTCATAACGAACACGTGTTTCTTTGCAGGCCCTTGTGACAGGGTACAGTGCGGACCCCACGGCACCTGTACCGTCAAGGACCGCCAGGCTTTCTGTGAATGCAAGTTAGGATACGAGAACAACGGACGACTCGTTTGCGTTGGTAAGGCCACCCATAATAAATATCACAAGTTGCATAAGCTGTACTTCTGCATGTTGTTACGATGCAGCCTCCTACACTGCCCCAGTTTGCAAGAATATAACGCGAGACTTTTTTGTACTATCACTTTGCTAAGCATGGCCTTGTGCGCTACTATGTTGTCAGAAGAGAGGTATGACTGACTTGCGAGGTATTTTATTTCTATATTCACCCTCCGGTGCACCATAGCTTAGTGACTCGGCAACTAAGTATTATAGGAAGGCCAGCATCTTGGGATCGTGATACGAATATTGATGCATTGGAAAGAGTTCTGTGAAAGTAGAGTGGAGTGATGAGAAAACTGTATGATGGGATTGAATATTCTGGAGATATATACAGGATACATGTGCATGTCATATATGGTCTACAGACATACCTAATATAACTGAGTTTCCTGTCATATTATGTATGCCGAAAGTATTTGGTCTGAAGCCTAGGGTTTGTAACTGGTCACTTGTGTCAGAACTACATTTCTTCTTTGGGGGGAGGGGGGAAGTTAACTAAAAGGGTGCCTTGCAGGCACGTGTGGCCATGGATATATAACGCTGTAGTGATATGCTTGTAATGAACTGTTAAACCGAGTGTCTGCAGGCATTTATACATTCAAAACACTTTCTTGCTCTCATTTTGTTTAGATACTGATGAATGTAAACAGCACCCATGCCACCTACACTGCCATATGTGAAAACAGTCCAGGAAGCTACATCTGTCGATGCCCCAGCAATTTGATTGGCGATGCCTACGGGAAGCAGGGAAGCGTCGGATGTGAGTTTGACACTGTTTGCTTTACGTCATTTTTAAGCATCTTTTGTGTTTTACGAAAGCTGCTCACAGAGCTATATTTAACCTAACCTGACTAAACATTTATTTTAATTTTCTTTGCAGGTCATGATCCAAACATTTGCTACAATGGAAATGCTGATTGCCCTCCAACATCTGCATGTATTGACATCAATGGGACACCCTATTGCAGAGGTTTGTAATAGTGTTTCAAGAAGATGGAGAAAGACTTTGCATTGCGTTTGTGTTTTGACTCTTATACTGATAACGTTAGCACGATCTAATACAGTAAATTTGTCATCATTGTTTTTCTGTGCTACTTTTCTTTTCTCAATGTCCTCTTTTCTCTCTCACAAATTTTAGACTTGTGCGAAGACCCAACGACGTGTGGCATCAATGCCAACTGTAGCACTGTTAACCACAGAGCTGTGTGCACGTGTCGTCCTGGCTATACAGGCAATGCAAAGCACCGCTGTGAACTGGGTGAGCGTTTGTTGCTTAACTTACTCACAATAAACACAAATACGTTTCAGTATTATTCAACCTGTGACGTCCTCTCACAATACGATCAAAACCAGTGCTTCATTTATTTCTTATGACAGTAATCCTGAGAACAAACTACTGAACACTAATTACACAAAGAAAGAAGCAAGTGGTTTGCAAAATTGTTCAATGTCACGTTTATTTTAAATCGCCATTTCTCTCCCTCTCTCTTCTCATGGTAACCTTGCAGTGGAATGCACGCGGGATGAAGAGTGCCGCAGCACTGATATCTGCATTCGAAACAAATGTGTTGGTAAGTTTCATGTGCAATGTGGCATCGCCAACATAATACTGCTCACGTTCATGTTTTCACCCGAACGTTCAGAGTTGAGACGTGTATTGCATGCCTTTCTCGACTGGGTGTCCGCAACTCGTTTGAAAACCCACATGCCCTCTGTGAATCACTTTTTACGCTTATTTCATAGATTCCTGCCAGAGCAATGCCAAATGTGGCGTGAACACCATCTGCATCTCTCAAGACCACCAGGCAATCTGTAGGTGCCGGGACGGTTTCCGTGGCAACCCCAGCACGGGATGCATAAGTGAGTGCGGCCGTCCACTAATAAGGATTGATACTTGAGTAAATGGTCGCATGTATATGCACTCAAACCTCATTATAACAAATTTGCATCTTATATGAAGATAAGTTCGTTATATCCGAAAATTCATTATAAAGGTGTATTCCTAACACTATATCTAGCCCCTGAACTCACCTTTTTAATATCGCAATATTATTTTATCGCCCTTTTGCTGTTCGAGTGATTACAACTTCTCAGAGTTTTGCTATTTGCTCCTTTTTATTACAGAAAATATTCCCTGCTCGAGTGATGACGGATGCCCGATCGGAGAGTTCTGTTACAAGGGGCTCTGCAGAGGTATGTTTGTAGACATTATCAGAATATAGCACTGCGAAGTAGTTTCATAACGATTCAGTTGACTCAGCATGGTGCTTTTATTTATCTGTTTTCTCCCTGTGCCCATGTGAAGAGGAGGTATCACATTTTCGATACTTGAAGACTTTAAGCAGCTGTCGCCCTAATTAATGACTATGACTTCTTGTTTTATTTGTGCCGACCTTATTTAGCAAAGGGCTGAGTAACATACTAGATTCCTTTACTTGTGAGCACGTGTGGCCCAGCTTTTCTTTACTGAAACCACAACCTTCCTTCCAGTTTATTGCCAGTCAGACAGAGAGTGTGGCAGCAACGAAATCTGTGAAGACGGTAGATGCCGAGGTAAGCACATGGCATTTTGGATGGTGTTGTTTAAAAAAAATAAAAACAGTGAATTTTGTTCTTGAGGAATCGGTAATCGTCAGAAAATATCAATGGAAACATTCTCAGTGCATGACTGCCATCATTTTTTCAGAAATTTGCCGATCCAACAGCGACTGTCCTGACCAGTTCCGATGCGTTACTGGAAACTGTGAACCAGGTTGGTTCAAGGATCATTTGCACAGATCGTTCTGTTCATATTAAATTGCTGAGGATGGAATATCAAGCCAATGCATTTTTTTCTTATCTTTTTTTCAGTTGACAGATGCTTCACCAACACCGAATGTAGTGAAAACCAAATTTGCAGATCAAGCGAAAGAGGTTACGACACTTGTGGAGGTGAGTGAAAAATACAAAAAAGCTGGCGCCCATAACTAAACCTTATCGTGCAGTAAAGTAAAATGAAAAGTGCTTCTTCTAATCCAAAAGAAGTTTTCACTCTTATCTTTCTCGCATCGCATTTTAGGCCACTTAAGCTCTATTGCCCTATCCTCTCTCCTGATGCACGGCTTTTATATAAGTTGCATTTTACTTCACAACACATTAGTGGAGAAAATAATTTTACTTGTAAATGAGTCTTTCACATTGCTTCTTGATCATAAATAGTTGAATTTTGAGCTGTCAGGTGCCAAGTTTTCCTTCTGGAGTTAACGTTTGAACACTACATTTTTAAATAATGTGATGCCATTGCTGACTGGCAAATTGCTAAACTATGGGCACTCATTCAACCATGTTTGGGGCCCATTTCAGATCCGTGTGAGAACATCCTCTGCGGTAGAAATGCCATCTGCATCTCGAACAAGCACAGTGCCATTTGCCAGTGTCTGGAAGGATATGTTGGCGATCCTCTCGATCAAAGGCAGGGCTGCATCAAAGGTGCGAAGTATTTCCTTATTCTGTTCTCTCCTAGGTTGTAGCATGTAAGTGCACTGACACTTGGACTGAAGTTGACGGCTTCAACTGCATAATAATTAAAATTAAACGCGATTTTCTTATGTGCAACTTCATCACATGCGTGACTCGCGTGTTTCTGTCTATTCACAGCCGACTGCTTCAAACACGAGGACTGTCCAACGAGCAGGATCTGTGACGAGCACAAGTGTGTTGGTAAGTGTGTTAATCTCTTGAGAATTACTAATTTTGAACTGTAATGACGAGGATTTCATGAAGAAAGGCACAATTGGATCAGAGAACATTTAATGTTTTTGTATTAAACTAGGCTAGGCCACTCTAGACTACCTAACCTAAGTTTTGCTACAGTAAATGGATCTTGTGGTGTTTTTGCTTGTAAAAAATTAAGTTCGGTCACACATTACAGCAAGAGCCATTTACACCCCTGTGATATGAAATACACAAAGAATAGCCAAATAGTAATGCAGAAGTTCAGTATGTGGACACAGATAAATGCTCATGTGAAAACACGAAGGAACTTCAGCACCTGCAGGAAAGGACCACACAGAGGCTATCTCTAACAAAAAAAAAGGGCAAATTAAGGAGAATTATTTACATTGAAGTGTAAATCATAAATAGAATAGGTCTGACTTTCAACAACATTTGCCTAACCAGCAGTGTACTATAGCAGTATAGGAAATCAATCATTCTTCAACTCGAGACAATATCTTCTTCTCCCTAGATCCATGCATAATGAGGCGTGGCTGTGGAGCCAACGCCGTCTGTGAAGCGAGAAACCATGCTGCCATCTGCCGCTGTCGGGACGGCTATGAAGGCGATCCGGTGTCTGGCTGCCAGCTGATTGACTACTGTCTGAAGCAGAACCCTTGCCACCCGACGGCGATTTGCAAGAACAAATTCGGTGGAGCCACGTGCGAGTGTCCGCCGGAAAGGCACATTGGGAACCCCAACAGAGCACCAGGATGTGAGTTTTCCTAAGATACTGTTGTACAAGTGTGGATGCTTCAGATAAGCACCTTTCTCACCTTTAGTAGTAGGAGCGAAAAAGAAATTAGTGTGTTTTGTAATAATAGTGCTGGGTGTTGATTGATTTTCTTTCTCATTTCTTTCCTGCTAAAAGGCCGACACCCGAACGAGTGTCCCAACGGAGATTCAGACTGCCCGCCAACTGCAGCTTGTCTCTCTGATGGAGGTGGACCACCCATGTGCAAGAGTGAGTGCTCATTCATGGCAATGTTTCGCACAAACGACCCCCCCGTAATTTACTGAACCAGCGAAGGGACGTTTCTTCAGCTTATACCCAGTAATTTGTAAGGCTTTGACGGAAATAGGATAGCTCTGCACCTCTCAAGGTTTATCTTATGTGTTTTCAGTACAATTCAGATGCGCACAGGTGCTTTGAATTGACCATTTTCGGCTACAGGGTTTTCTTGTTTGCCAATCTTGAAATTTGTCATGGTGTAAACATAAAAGAATGCCGGAAATGTACATTAAAGCAGCACCAGGTTATTCTTGCTTCGAGTATAAAATCACCCCGCCGCGGTGGTCTAGTGGCTAAGGTACTCGGCTGCTCGCCCGCAGGTCGCAGGATCGAATCCTGGCAGCGGCAGCTGCATTTTCGATGGAGGCGAAAATGCTGTAGGCCCGCGTGCTCAGATTTGGTTGCATGTTAAAGAACCTCAGGTGGTCAAAATTTCCTGAGCCCTCCACTACGGCATCTCTCATAATCATATGGTGGTTTTGGGACGTTAAACCCCACATATCTGTCTATCGAGTAGAGAATCAAGTTTTGTGTGCGTCTCTTTCATTTCTGCATTTTCTACAGATTTAGTTTGCTTATAATTAGGCGACTCTTTATACTTCTATGTTAAGGCAGAATTACACTCCCCTAATCGAACCACTTTGCAGCCAACTCAGTTGTTTATGAATCTATGTGGTAGCCAAGTTGAAGCTTTGACACCGGACCTACATGCAGGTCCTTGTGGCCTCCCTAACACCTGTGGTCCCGACGCCATCTGTCGGGTGGAGAACCACAGACCCAACTGCTTCTGTCCTCATGGTTTCACTGGGCAGCCCTACAACAACCTTCAGGGATGTGTTCGAAGTGAGTGCTTTCTTAAGCTACCCTGACACTCTCGGTCTTCATTCATACAGTCATCCTGATTCGAAACCGGTGCTATTAAAGCGACAATTTTTCATGTCACCATCACAGCACTGGAGTCTGTGTCATGAGACGGCATTTTTCTTGCTGCTTCCTCTTCGAAAATGAGCCACTGCCAGTGTTAAAGCACTGGCCATTGTCACCAGTACATCATTTTTAGGAAAAATCGGCGGGATATTCACTCGCCGAAAGTCATAATGGGTGCCGGTGAAGCAACGGTGTTGTGATGGAGTGTTCAATGGCTGTGCAAATCGGGCTTTCCCATTTGGCAACAGCTTGGCATAATAAGGGCAGCATGAAAGACGTCACAAAAAGAACAACACCTCAGGCACTAAGTGTGTCCCTTCTTCTCTGTTGTGCTCATGTTACCATGACTTACCACTTTCAGTTCTAAATCTTCGTCCTCCATTACCCCATATCACTTACATGATGTTCATATTCTCCAGTTCCTCCATTCTGTGACGACGACAGGGCATGCCCAGCACCCATGGTTTGCGAGAAACGCCGGTGCAGACGTGAGTTTATAATTTTATGTCAGCACTTTTTCTCGAGACCTTGAGAATGAGTTTGTGCACTGAAATATATTATTGTACACGTGGGTCAAAGTCTGAAAGTTCAAAGAGTTCACAAGTTCATTTAAACGTGTCACAGTTTAAACATGACACAGAAGCTTCATCTTACCATTTCTTCAGTGATAAATACTACAGTACTATTTCTCTGCTTGCATAATAGAGGCACTCTGTTCCCATGTCTCTCACTGTTCTTTGTCTTGTGGCTTTTTGATACCCTCACTATAAAAAAAAACATTTTTAAGAAGACGAGCATTAGTTTTGTCAATAGCAGTGTGTAATTAAAGCATGGCTTCAGTTATTTCATTGTGCAAGTTGATTCAGTCACAAATGCCACATGTAGGACCTGGAAATGTCATGGTTGTTATAAAACAAACCAATTGCATTCTTCGTGTACATAGATAGAGAAAGAAGCTTTCATTGCATCTTGCATTTTGCAAAGCTTATGCAGCGGTATTGTCATAGCATTGGCCTAGTTTCAATAGCATGATTGATGGTGCGTAACTATGACACGGTCCTTTTTTTTTTTTTTGGTGCCTGCAAAAGTTCCACTATAGTATCTTTATCTGCGTCTATTTTTTTGATTTCTTGTGTCTTTCCAGCTCCCTGCTCAAAGAGGGACGAATGTGCAGCCCGTGAGCTTTGTGTCGATGGCCACTGCATCCAAGGCTGTTTACAAGACAAGGACTGTCTTGACAAAGAAATTTGTTTGGACCGAAATTGCATTGGTGAGCGATTTGTGCATTATAAAAAGCTTTCTGTCTTTCTTCAATTATAAAAACAAAAACAAAAAAATATTTAGTGAAGAGTCAAGATCATCAAGTGTAAAAAAAACTTTTTTACGTCTTTCAGTCGGTTGCCGAAAGGATGAAGACTGCCGTTACAATGAAGCTTGCGTTCTGAACAGCTGCAAGAGTAAGAATATTATCTCGTTGTACATTTTTGTCTCGGTGACACAGCTTATTACTGCACTTTTTTAGATATTTATTAAAAGTTAATTAAGTTCAGTAGTCCTTCATGCAGACAATGACAATGCAAAAAGATACCTTTTTAGGATGTTCATAAATAAGCATTGCATGTCTGACAGCGTATGAGATCATTTTTCCACATCAGTGCGGAAGCTGTCTATTTCTATATATGATTTGCTTTTCTTACTGTAAGGTATTGTTGTTTTTCCAGCTCCAATATTTATAAAAGTAAGTAAATTATGTCAGTGGAACTAATCTGGACATTTTAAACAGTGCGTGAGGCGATATTTCATAAGTAGTCTCTCTCTACTGCTTCCTGTCTGAAAAGAGAGAGTGATCATCTACAAGCTTGCTTGAAACATCTACGTTCGAGCAGCTTGTTCGGTATTCTCGTTGCAATGTTTGCATGCTCGTAAGCATGTTCGATTCTGGCCCACAGATCCCTGCGACAGTCCAACGGCCTGCGGTACTAATGCCGAGTGCCAAGTGATCAACCACCGTACAGAATGCCACTGCCCAAACAGATTCACAGGAAACCCCCACATCTCATGCCAACGCGGTAAGTGTTCGCTTACACCATTAACTGGGCACCTGGCCATTTTTTCAACCTGCCAGATTACAACTAAGAAGTATGCTGGTTGCCAGTTATGTTAGCACGTAACATCAAAATTCTGAGGATGGCAGTATAGTCGTAAACACCATTGCATGCATATTTCACATTTTTGTGGTACCAGTAATCTTGCTTACAGGGTCATTATTGCTGCAAGAGTGTAAAAGAACGTTATGTGGTACCTGTTCACACAATTTCAAGATTGGAAGCTGCACATTTTCCAAGTGTATCTCTCTGACTGGGCTCAGTAAATTAGAGCTCACACCTCATCAAATATAGCTTTTTTAAGTGTACTTGTTTAAAAGCCAAACTGGTCTTTTTCATTGCAAATGACAACAAATGGCTCATTGCTCATTGTCAGCTCTAGGCACCAGATGAACTCTGAAATTCTGGGTATTATTTATCACATTTTTATTGGTAATGCCTATCGCCTAGGGACTTACCAATGTTTTTTGCTTGAAGAGCTGACAACATTGATCACATCAATTCTAGTCACACCAATAAGATCATGCATTTACTTTGATAATGTGCATGATTTTAATTTTGTTTAATAGTTAGCATATAAATCAGTTAACATATAAAATAGACTGCACTTGACAGTATCGGATAAACTCTGATCTTGTACGTTTGGTCTCCCAGTGTCGTCCTCATGTCGAACTACGAGCGACTGTGGCGGATACAACTATGCCTGCGTTGAAACAAGGTGTAGAGGTGAGCTGTACGGCCACTAGTGCATGGACCTGCGATACCGTTCACTTTAATTTGGTGAAGTCCAACTCTGGCAACATTCTTTCTCTAACTTTTCAGTGGAGTGCTCGTCCGACGGTGACTGCGCGTACGGAGAACGCTGCTTCAATGAGAACTGCTATGGTAAGAAGATTACTTCGTGCAGTTTTGTCACTTCAGCACCGCCTAAGCAAAGTTTGGGCGAAAAGAAAATTTTTTTTGCGCTCTCATAAATTGATTGTAGCATTTACTACCTAGTCACTTTATTAAAACCACGAGACTGCCTCTGCAGCAAAGCTGCGGATGAAAGTAGCGATTGTCGAAGTAACTCCTTATGTTTTTTCTATTCTTCTAGCCCTCTGCCGATCGGACAATGAGTGCCAGGAGGGAGAGGTGTGCATCTCAAACAGATGTCAGAGTAAGCTTTGCTTGACATTATCTCCATTTTAAAGACTGATTTTCATGTGCCTTATACTGATTTCAGTTCGATCTTTATTGTGTATCCCAGTGCTTTTTTTGTATTTATTCATCTGTGTGTAACTCCAATCTGTATTGCTTCCCTTTTTTTTTTTCACTTTAGTTGGATGCCGCACTAACGAGCAGTGCTTGGACCATCTTGCCTGCGTCAGTAACCAGTGCAGAGGTAAGCTTAGTGTTAAATTAACTTTTATCTTAGTAGAAAATGTTTGGATAATAAAATATCAGGTTCACTTGAATGGAAATAAATTCTGGAAATACAGGCTTCAAATATATCTGATTTAAGAGAAACTATTTCAGTAATACTGAATAAAAATGTTGTGTAAATCCTGGTGTTGGTCAGTGCACACATTTCTCTGTGGAAGTTAATTATGCTGAACAGCTTGCAATGATTAATAATCATGTGGCTTGCCGTGAAAAATTTATTCACTTTGAAAGTAGTATGGCCAAAGTGGCACATCTGTAACTTAGTACGAGTGCTTGTTAGTACTCGGCACTTGTTTTATCGTATGTGTTACAGCTTTCACACTACAGAATTCCCTTTTTGTTTACACACCATCTATTTAAGCTCTGGTATATGTTTTAATTTTCCTGTATTGTTACATTTTCTTTCTGATCTTCTTTTTTTTCTCCTGAACTCGAATTTTGCAGATCCATGTGAAGGCAGTGCCACCTGTGGCCCCAATGCAGAGTGCAAAGTGGTGAACCACCGTGTCGTGTGCAGCTGCCCGGCCGATTTCATTGGCCGTCCTCATGCCAACGTAGCTTGTGTGCGAAAGCCAGTGCGTTGTACGCACAATCAGGAGTGCACCCCAGGACACATCTGCTACTTAGGGTACTGTAGAGGTGAGTGCCGTAACGTGAACACAAGAGTACTGGCACCAAAACATACGGAGTATATAATTTAGGATCCAAAAGTCATGGCAGTGGCGAAGGTCTCCAACAGGCAACAGTGTAACTACAATAGGGATAATATAAGTTTGCACATAATTACAGAGACCTAATTCTTTCCACGATTTGCCCGTGTCGTTTTGTTGATGAAATTCAATCACCCTCGAGGAGGCAGATGTTCGTGAAAATATGGAAGTTAGAAAAGATTAAAAATTCTTTAACATTAATAAATGTCACTGATGCCAATGTTTCAACTCGCGATCTTGTCTTCTGTTAAAGATGGAGCCTTGAAGAAAAGACCCTTTGTCAAAACATTCGCTTGAGCAACATCCCACACATGAATATTAATGAAATTAAAGGGTCATTCCTATATAGGTAATACATATGCTCAAAACACAATTAGGCTATCGAGACTTTCATTAACTTGAGTATTGGCAATAAGCTTATATGAACTTTCGAAATAAACACAGTGGTGCAAGTGGATTGCCAACATGTGCGCTTACTGATCTTTAGCGCGTGTTGTGTGCTTGACAGTTGAGAATAAGTCCGCATCTCGTGCATTCATTACAGTGTCGTGCAGCAGCAACCAGGACTGTGCCTTGAATGAAAGGTGCGTGGAAAACCGGTGCCATGTTCAGTGCCATCGAGACCGTGAGTGCTTTGACTGGGAGATCTGCGAGCACAACTTCTGCAAAGGTGGGTACACCGACTGAGCCAGTGGTTATTGGTTTTGCCAGACACATTGCATTTCTTTTTATTGAGTGTTTAGTGTAGTACATAGAAATTGATTACGAAAAATGACTGATTCACTTTCTTTGTTCTGCCACTATCACTCTCACAAACTTTCAGTTGGTTGCCGTGCCGATACCGATTGCCCCGCCGACCAGTCTTGCATCAAGAACCATTGCATCAGTAAGTGTCTCTCTAGAAGTTGCCATGGCAGACAAATGAAGTCATGTTGTAGTATGAAAACTCCCTGTTCAGATGTGCGGTTTTCAATGTCTTGTACACCGTGACACATTACTGCTAGTACAAGCTAAGTTTGTCTTGACATGGTTGTAAAGTCACGGACGCTATTCCAGATCCCTGTGAGGCACCCACAGCATGTGGAACGAATGCCTTGTGTTCAGTTCGAACCCACCAGGAGATCTGCAGCTGCCCACCTGGCCTCGTTGGAGACGCACATCTGGAATGTGTCAGAGGTTTGCAGTTTTGGATTCTCTTGTTCCTTCATGGGATGTTTCAGAAAAGCGAGAAATATTTTTTTTTCTGTTGTGGTAAAAAAATAGTTTCTCAATTCAAGTGTTTCATGAAATGACAAATTAAGCTCACCTGCAATGTCTATATGCCATTTTTCTTTTGAAGAGGAGCGTTTAAAGCCTAGGGGACTAAAATTTAGGTTAATTTATTTAAGAGATAAGAATATGGAAGTGTGGATTAGAGGATTTGATGTTTGTGGATGCGTGATAGCCGTGAATAAAAGCTGGAGGAGAGATTTGTGGGTCGTGTGGTACTATGTAGATGAGGTGATGGTGGTCTGTTATTACACAGAGGAAGTGTCACTGAAAAAAAAAAAATGTAGAGTTTAGGGCTGTGCAGCAGTAGTAAGATTAGGAAATGTGCAGGTGTACAATTGGTTTCATTTGCACCTAATATGCTGCGGTCTCACATTGCATTTCCAATGATCATTAAAACTGAAGTACCCCCAAATCCAGTGGGCTTATCAACCTCCTTCTCTGATTTCACAAGATACAGCTAGCAAGGCTCACTTCCATTGCTTTCAGTTTACATTGAAAGTGCACTTGTGGGCTGGTTATTACAGAGCACTGCAGTATATAATTGGAGTTCTCAAAAGAAACACCTTTACTCTACCGTGAACTTATAAATATGTCACAGCCATAATGTTGTTCCATTGCATTGTATAGCGCAACTGTTAGCACAGAGAAACGTGCATGCATTGATGGGAAATACTACTAGCACACAACTGCAATGCTGCGCTTGGCTTGTCTTTCAGAATCAAAGGAATGCCATGCAAATGATGAGTGTGGCCTCGGAGGTTATTGTGAGGCCACTATTTGTAGAGGTAAGGCGTCAGCAAGCATGGAAGCATTCACGTCAACGCTTTAGTACTTGCAGTTTGGATAAAGTGCCGATTTTTCACTCTCTTGTTTTCTTCGTTGTCATCCAGTTGCATGCAGCAGCGACAATGAGTGCTTCAACAACGAACGCTGCGTTGAAGAGAGGTGCAGCTGTGAGTACTAGATTTCACATGTCAACTAATGCTCTCAGCGACTGTACGTTGTTTAATTTTTAGCACCGATATCTTACTCATATTCATTTCATTCTGCCGTTCCCTCTTTCGTTTTAGTGATTTGTACGACTGATACATTGTGCCCGCGGAACCACATTTGCGAAAGAGGATTGTGCCTTCGTGAGTATCATGCATAGGACGTGGTTCCTCATCGAATCCTGTGCCTTGGATTCCTATAGGCGATTGATGGCTAAATTGTTTTTCTTTGTTTTTTAACTCAACAGCTGGGTGCCGGTCGGATGCCGATTGTCCGGCCACAGAGACCTGCATCAATCGTCAATGCATGAGTGAGTTCCTGTTCCCTGCATGGGCGAAATGTACCACATTTTCATGCTTATTACTCATATTATGAGTTCGAGATGGTTGAACATGATGTGTAAGTGTGAGCTAAGCAATTTTGCCTTTAGCGGAGCATGTCTTCATGTTCTTGTCTTCACTGCCAAGGGGTTCGTGTGCTAAACAAGCTTTAAATTTTTCTTTGCTGCTTTTCTGTTCAGTATCAAATAAGATAGGCCTGAGCAAATGCCGCTTTCCTCTTCTTTCCATCTTAGTCATCTAAATGACGTACCATATTTTCTCGCATTCAACCCGTACCAAAGAAAAACGAAAAAATCTGTTTAGAAAGGGGTGCTACTGGTTACAGGGACGGGTAATATGCGAGAAAATATGGTATGTTTTTAGGTACTAATCGTTTTTGATAGGGCTCGGCTTCACCGCAACTTTATAGTGACGTGCGTGCCTGCTGCCTGTCTGTCTACATTCTTATCTCCACTGCTAAGTGACCTGCATGTTAACTAGCATTACTCTTTTCTCTGCTGATTTTCAACCCAGTAATAAATAAAGAAAATTTCATTAAATGCCATTTGGCTCTGCTTTCTATAGCACCTAAATGAAGTACATTTCCAAGTACTGATTGTCTATGATGGCTCTAAGTGTCACCGCGACTTTTTAGTGACGTGTGTATGCGTTCTCCCTGAATGCAGACCCTTGTGCAAGCCCTACGGCATGTGGACCCAACGCTCAATGCCAACCTGTGAACCACCGTGCGTACTGCACTTGTCGCTCGGGCTACACTGGCGATCCCCAAGTGGAATGCTCCAAGGTGGAGTGTGTGATTGATGCCGACTGTGGTGTCGGAATGATCTGCCAGAACTACAGGTGCCTTGGTAAGTGTGTTTGTTGTGTGTAGTACTCGTTGTCTCGCGCCTCGCAAGGTTATGGAACTTTCAAGTAATTATGCACCCTAAGCCATATAAAAAAGTATTGTAGACTGGTAATACCATAGTTAGCATAAGCTTACATTCAGAGCTCTTACCTTGCATGAAGTGACGAGATGTATACTTAGTTGCAAAAGGAAATGACTGGAGCCAATGTTTGGCATGGGGACTTATTGAAATGTTGATTCTATCAAAATTTTCGTCCAATGATGTCTAGTCACTTCAGGCCTTGATCTTTCAGACTAGTTTGTATGAAATACTTTAGAACGTGATGATCTGGTAAGTAAGCGCTTATCACTTGCTCTTTGTGTGGAAAAATAGGCACATATAAATTATTTATTTACAAAAACTCGAAACCTTTTGCCACCTCTTCAATAACTCTTTATTGTTATAGTTTGTGGCTTTTAGCACAAAAGCTTTCAGATTGCTCTGCCAACTACTGGGACTAACCTACAGTGACGCAAATGATTTGACACCTGCAAGACAACACTGGCATGACAAACTTTAAACAATACGTAGTCCAGCATGTACAAAAGGCATACATCAAGATAATCCACTTTCGCGTCAGCGTAATGTGTTTCATCACATTCCTCCTCTTCCAGAGGGCTGCCGGTCAGACGCGAGCTGCCCAGACGACAAGACATGTATCAGTCGCCAGTGTCAGAACCCGTGCCAGTTTGTTGGAGCGTGCGGCTTGAACGCTCTGTGCAAGACGGTCAACCACCGTCTTACGTGCACGTGCCCGCCGCAGACTCTGGGCGACCCGTACACCGAGTGCTTGACAGGTTAGTGCACAGACCAGCACTCAAATGCATGACTAACAGCAGTCATGCTAGACTCTCATTGCGTGTACCAGTCCACAAAAGAAAATATTTGTTAAGCACCAAAAAAATTAATCCCACTGTTGAAACCATGGATACGGTCATTTTAAAACTTGGAGATGTAGCAAAACCCAGCTGATTATCATGACATAACCTGCCTCATTAATATAACTGTGCAATTAAATACCTTAATTTCCTTTTGTTTCAGACCCTGACATTTGCAGCCGGGAACATGACTGTGGTCCGGAGAGGACTTGCGATAATGGAAGATGCATAAGTGAGTGAACAGCATTAGTTGCGCATGTTGTGATCGAACTTCTTGCAATAACTCTGCTTTCGTGGGCATTTTGCACTCCAAAATGAGCTCGTGAGCAACTGCTTATGAAGGGCTATCTACCAGCTTTTTTTTTCTGTATGTGCACATGCATGCCAATCATGATTTTCTTCTTTCCTCTCATTTAGCCAAAGTCGAGTGCACCACTGATGAAGAATGTGCCCTTGGAAAAGTCTGCGAATCGCATCGGTGCTTCGGTAAGGGACAGTTTGCTTCTTTAAACGACGTCCACTTTCTATACTGCGTAAATATAAACCTAGCAAGATGCTGCTGAATGGCCTTTAGTTAAATCATTTGCATCAGCAGTCAGTTAAAAAAGATTATTTCATATGTCACAATATAAATTTTCTCAAATTCCACATTTATTAAAGGCGTATTTTTCATCGGAACAGCAACTAAACACGGGAACTCTTGACAGACTGACCTTTTATTTTTTTTCTGAATGTCTAGTTTATTCATCGTGCAGGTTATAGTGAATAAAAACTTCAGTCACATTCACTGCAATTTATTTTATTTTTAGTTCTCTATATATTGCATTTTAGTTGTGGTTGGGCATTGTCAGTCAATGTAATACCATGCTCTTTTTGTTATAATTAAATCTGTTGTCTCCTGTGCCACCTTCAGATGGTTGCCGTGGCGACCACAACTGCCCTATCAACCAGGGCTGCTATCAGGGCCAATGCCAGAATCCATGCAGCGTTCGTGGAGCCTGTGGTATTCACGCTGACTGCGTTCCCGAACATCATCGTCCACGTTGTTTCTGCCCAGCCGGTTTCAACGGCAATCCTCAGTTTGAATGCAAGAAGAGTAAGCAGAAAAATTTCATTCTTGTATTCCACTCATGGCAGTGCAAATTGTGTCGCTGCCAGTTCATCTTTAATTAATTGTATGAAGTTCTTGTTTTCATAGGTTCTCATGTGTGTCTCTTCTCACGGTGTATATTTACGCACTGCATAGCTATTCTTGTGCCTGATAACAGATGTGAAATTAACTAGAAATCTCTGAAGAACGGGCTGCTGCGCATCATCAATAGATCAAGTAACCCTGTACAGGCCTGCTCTGTGAAATGAATTTTGAGCATCTATTGCGTCTTCTCCCAGCCCGAGTTCTAGATCGAAATGCCTAGCGATGTCGACATAATCATGGCAACGTCCCTGTCAGCAGGAGTTTAATGGAAGGAATAACATGACAATGACATAGTCGTGTTCAGTGTGTGCAGAGATGGATTATGTGTTAGCAGATAGGGCGCTGTACATAAGAAGAGTGTATTCAGTCAGCAAAATTGAAATACTTTTGTCAGTAGTGTGCGCTGGTAGTTGTTCTAACTTCTTTATTTTTACCTTATTTGCAGGTCAAGGATGCCGTGTGAACGAAGACTGTTTGCCTGGTTTGATCTGCCTTCGTGGCCAGTGCTCGCGTGAGTTTGAAGTTTAACCTTACGAAAATTAAATGCACAGCCTTGCCGTGAAGTTGTGCACCTTAGATCTAAGCCACTGTGGAGGCTGAGTGACACCCTCTTACAGCGTTACATCTGTCTCTTTACAGCCTCAGACTTCTGTGCATCTGACAATGACTGCAATAGAGGGGAGATCTGCGACAACACTAGATGCGTTGGTAAGAATCGCCAACCACTATTACTAAGTGAATCAACAAAGTGTTTCTTTTTAGCATTTCTTATGTAAATGATATCTGTGCGTGTAACATGGCCACAGGTATCACAGTGCTTTGATGATTTAAGGAGCTCATATACGTATCTGGTTAACGGGTGGCATGTGCAAAGCCTAACATAGACACATTTTTATATTATATATGTTTGCAGCTAATTCAGGGTAAAAAAACAGCTAGTTACTGGAAGAGGATAGCAGATTAAACGATCAGGTCTTGGGACACTCTTTCAAATGCAGTTCTTTTTATGGATTGAGCATTGCACCTTTTTATGTCTTCCTAACACTAATAGCTTTGACAAACTTACTAGCAAGACAGTTGGCTAACATTTTATTTATCGTGCAAGAAATGTTAATGAGCTACCTAGCTGACGTATGAGCGTTGTTCTGTGTTTTCCATTTCTAGCCGGGTGCCGTACGCACAGCGACTGCGATTTCTTCCTGGAATGCCGAGACAAGTTGTGCCAGGATCCTTGCAAGCCAGGCGTCTGCGGTGTCAATGCACACTGCCAACCCATCAGCCACTCTGCCGAGTGCCGTTGCCCGCCAAACTTTGAAGGCGATGCCAAGGTTCATTGCAGGGAAGGTCAGTGTCCTCACTTATTTACTTGTTGTTTCCTATTGATAAAATATTGTGGTTGCTATTAGTTGATGCTTACCATTACATGTTTCATCAACATTGCATCTATATTCTTGCCATGACTAATCATGAATTACTGCATGTGAAGGAACATATGACTGAAATGACTCGAAAACTTTTCTTTCTGTTCTTCCTTCTACGTGCAGTGTCAGTCGAGTGCCACACAGACAAAGACTGTGGACTAGAGAAGATTTGCATCAGCAACCGCTGCATCGGTAAGACGGCACCTTTATTACAGTGTGTATTCGTAATGTGTACTTTTATCATGGTCTAGTAGATGTCTCAGAAGTGGCTTTTTTACACCTAAAACTTTTGCTTAAGGATGCCTAAGATTCTGGTACTATATGTAAAGACTGTTCTACTCATAACCACTTCCTTGTTTTCTGGCACAAGGTTACCTGCCATGTAGATGCTGCAGGGGTCATATCGTCATCACATTGCTCACTTAGGGACTAGCATGATGGCAAGATGATCACTGTAGCGTTACCAGTTCTGAAGTTGCACTTCGGCAACAGAACCCTCGTGAGCGCAGGCCTAAATGTGAATCTTGAAACAACTGAATGTTCCGCATAAGCACTTGAGAAAAAAAAAAAATGCTGTTCGCATTTTGCAGCTCAGAATTTTACTACTTATTTTTTCTTAGTTGGCTGTCGCATAGACGAGCACTGTCCGTACGACAAGGCCTGCGTGGAGGGTGCCTGCCGCAACCCATGCTACCAGCGTGGCAGCTGCGGTATCAATGCCCTGTGCCGACCACAAAACCACCGAGCTACGTGCACTTGCCCGAGGGACAAAGAGGGCGACCCCAGAGTCCACTGCACAGTGCCGCCACCAACAACATCCGTGGTGCGTGTTGAATGCAGCACCGATGAGCCCTGTGCGGAGGGATACATCTGCCGCAACAGCATCTGCATTCGTAAGTGTCGCATGAGCAAAGCTTCAACATTGCCTCTTTATTTCACTTTCAAGGAATGCACGAGTCTAACCCACCACGCTGTTTTGCAGGCTATGATATTCCATTGCAAAGCTAGAGCTTGCAAGCTCGGTTTGAGCTATTGTGGCTGCAATTCAGCGGAAGTGAACGGCATTAATTCTTATATCTAGATTTAAAAGCAGGCTGCAAATAACTTCAGGTGGTTAAAATTAATGCAGAGCAATTAGCAAAAGAATCCCTCATAGCATAAATGTTGCTTTGCAATTACAAACAGTGACGGATGGGTGAACTAATCAGTCAGGATGCAAATACACGTAGCAGTGGAAGAACTCAACTACAGTCGCCGACCGATTTTTCGGACCTGGCGGGGACCGAAAAAAAGTACGAAAAATCGAACAGTCCGAAAAATTCGTTTTCGCCAAAAACCTGAAGTTTATTGCATCAGGCAGGTTTAAAAAACTCCTTGATGCTGCCTTGCCCCAAACGACGCTTGGAGGCAATTTGGTTTGCCCGTATTTGCGCCAAGGTGACATCGTCGCCGTAAACGCTCGACAAAATTGTCACCGCGTTGTCGTCATCCGAGCCGCTCTCCGGCTCCGGGACAACCTGGCCAAGAATTTCGTCGTCAGTGGCCTCTGCGCACGAAACAATGTCATCGTCCGCACGAGTGAAGTCTTTAAATGTCATTGTGGCAGGTAGAGAATCCTTCTTTCGCCTCCTCCCCGTGCGATGTGATGACGATAGTGCTGACCGAAGACGAAAAAACGGCATCCGTCACCGCGTCTTTTAAAAAGCAAACACGGCCTCCGAAACTTAAAATATGGCGTGCGCATTCCAATCTCGGAGGCAGGAAAGGCATCTGAAGACCAAGTTTAGCCAAGCCGACGGAAAATCCAACATGGCGGCGTTCACAATGGCTTGAGGCGTGGCACAAAACGAGCGATTTAGTCCGAAAAATCGAATTTTCAGGGGCAAATTCGCCCGAAAAAAATCGGTCGAAACAATGCATTAGCTCTATGGATCCCTGACGGTGCATTTATGAAGTCCGAAGTATCCAACAAGTCCGAATTTTTGTAGTCCGGAAAATCGGTCGGCGGCTGTATAAAATTTGCACACTATATCAGCAAGAAAGCAACCTAAACATAGTTATAATTTTGGGATGTTTTGACAATTTCGCAAAATTTGAGAAGTTTTCTCAAAAGCTCGACTGTTGCCTAAGTTAGTTAAGACGTGGTAGACATAAACAAAGACCATATAGCATCTGTACTGTCTCACCTGTGTCTCGGGCTATTTTTGATTTGATTTGAGTGTCACTGTTCTTAAAATAAGATTCACATTAAATATAGAATTTAAGACCTGAGCTTGCTGTGTGACAGGTCTGAAAGCCACTGTTTGTCGTTTATTCTTCGCATTTACACCTCTACAGAGTTCTTAACTTTTGCCATGGGCAGCTAAAAATCAACCATTCTATTCGGTGTTCTGCTAACCTTTTCACATAATAAAAAGCCAAACATCATGTTTCGATTAAGCAGCGCCTTGATAAGTGGTTTTATGTGCTGTCTATCATACCTAATTCCTTCTGTCGACGGACTTCACTTTCCAGTTGACGGCTGCTCCACCGATTCAGCTTGCAATCCTGGAGAGATTTGTGAACGGAGAAAATGTGTCGGTAAGCCTCTTCTCAAACCCTATGCATCTCATCAGATGCACGAGCGTGTGTTTATAGAAGCTGCAGTCAAAGTGTTGTGCATGTAAACGAAACATGTGATGCAATATTTTTTTTTTTCAGTTGGTTGCCGCAGCGACTCCGACTGCACCTTTGACAAGGCCTGCGTAAATACTCAGTGTGTCAACCCTTGCATCATTCAAAACTCCTGCGGCCGGCACACCAACTGTCGCCCGGTCGTTCACCGACCACATTGTACTTGCAAGCCTGGTTACGAGGGCAACCCATATGACTTCTGCAACAAGAGTAAGTGCTTAAAGAAAGCCAGACATCTTGTAGAACACATTGCAGTGTGAATACATGCCTCGTTTTGTCTCCCCTGAGCAAGTCAGTCTCATTCCTCTTCAATGTGTTCTCTCTGTGCAGTTGAATACAGGCCACCACCAGAATGCCTACATGACCGTGACTGCTATGTCGGCAAGATTTGTGAGACACACAACTGCGTCGGTAAGTGGAGGCTCTAACATGCATCGCAAACTAAAACAAGGCCACACCAAGTGCAGGTAGTCTTATCAAATGTCCCGCTAATGCTCTGTTCACGAACCTATGTACCATCCAAAATAAGAGAGAGAACACAGTGTCATAGTTGCTTCCTTTGGTAGACAAGTGTTGAGGTGTTGCCCTTTCTCAGATTGACTCGTGTTCACTCAGTGGCTGTGACATTCTGCTTCCGAACATGAGGTCATTGGTTTGAATCCCAGTGATAGCAGCTTCAGTACAAAAAATGTAGGCTCGTGCGAATATTCAAATGCTTTGAATATTCAGACGAATAATGCTGTGTTCGAATTTGCTTCAAATTGAATTTAATTTATTGAAAATTTCAAATTATTCTGAACGAATAAATGGATTTATATTAATCTGCATGATTATCTTGCTGAAAAAATGGTTTCGCTGCAGTGGAGCGGCGGGAAGTCGTGAAAGCACTTATTCAAATGTATATTAGTTCTCATGTAACCTTCCTGTGAATGTGGTTTCACTGTAGTAAAGTTGTGGTAAGCCATAAAAACCCATATTCAGGGCAAATCTGCTCTGCCGCGAAACTTCACTTTAAAGTTAAATGGAGATCTCGATTCATTTTTGGCATTTGCATGGGCCTTGTTTCAATTTTTTTTTAATATTGTTCAAGTTGATTAGTTCATGACAAATATGCCCACTTTTTTTCTTATAATATGCGATATATATACTATTCGAACTCGATTAGAAATTATTTAACCAAAATTACTATTCACTTCAAGTTCCCCTTGAACCTAAAATTCACTATTCACAAAAGCCTGCAAAATTGCTATTGCTCATTTAAATATAGGAGCATGCTAAATAACCCCAGGTGGTTTAAATTTGTTCAGAAACAAACACAGCATTACTCTAGAGTATATTACTTGCATTGGGAGTTTAAAGTTAATTTTTGTATACATTGTCTTGTTAAGGGGAAGCCGTCGAATTCGATTTACAGGCCTGTGTGCTTCAGTTAATTGGTGTGCCGTTTCTTGCAGTGTGGGCAGCGTGTAAAGCTTGGCACATCTCACAGAGTCTGATGTCAATGGCCGTGCTGCAAGCTAATCCTTGCATTGCTTTTCTTTCTCACGTGTGTTTAAACAGAGGGATGCCGCAGCGATGCTAACTGTCCCTTCGACCAAGCCTGCATCGGGCGGCAGTGCCGTGACCCGTGCACTCCGGGCATCTGTGGCAAGAACGCCAGGTGCCTCCCAGTCAGTCACAAGCCAATCTGCGCGTGTCCGTCAGGACTCAGTGGCGATCCCAACATTGAATGCACTGTGTGTAAGTGCATCTTTTTTTTTTCTCTCTCCATTCAGCAACAAAGCTTCAAGTGAGGCCCGTTGGTAATTGATGTCATGCAGTTTACCCAGGCTAGGCTTGTTCCAGCACGGGAGGCAAAAATAGTTCTTGGTTCTGAGCCTCAAAGTTCAAAGCAAAAATTATTTCATATTTTTAATTTCGGGTGATACTAAAGCGTTTACATGCCTTCACATCGACCGCTAGTTGTCGAAGTTAGCCGTTCTACATGTAAACAGCCCCCGAAAAAGTTCCTTTGTATGGCTCTGCTTAGCCTGCTTGACCTTCGTCATCACTTGGATCTGATGAACCCTCATACACTTTAATGCATTTTATTGCACCATTTCTCAATCCATTGATCCTTCTTTTCGCATTCTGTAACTGAACCCTTGATACATATTGCTAGTTGCAGTGAATGATCGCTACTGTCATTCCAATATCCTTCTTTCAGAGGGGGTACTGTTTCTTGCAATGCTTAGTGTGCCTATTTTGTTTGACAGGTTAGACAGTAGTGATGCATAGGTTTACGTGAAGACGCATAACACTGTGGCAGTAATTTATACTTTTACTGGTGTTTGAATGAGTATATGTTCTGCTGCTTTTTACGTTTCTGCGAGGTGTGCCTCTTTGAACCGTGTCACCAAATCGCAGTAAATCACTCCGTATTTTGCCCGATTTCAGCTCGACAGGAATTCTGCTTCCACTGATAGTGACTGCCCCATTGGCCGAATCTGCGAGAAGGGAGCCTGCTGTCGATGCCTGTCGCACTGACGATGCCTGCGCCTACGACAAAGCGTGTATTCGCAACCGCTTGTCAGAATCCCTGCAGTTTTGCTGGTGTCTGCGGCATTAACGCCGACTGTCGTGCAGCAAACCATCGCCCTATCTGCTTCTGCCTGCCAGGCCTGACCGGAGATCCCAAGATTCATTGTGCCGAAGGCAAGTTGTCCACTGAATTACATCATTCTGAAAACTTGCCTGCAATGTCCTTGTTTCAAATTAGCTTGTGCCATTATATCTGGGTACCGACATTCCCAGTAACTTGGATGATATCAGTGAGATAATTGCATTATCAGACATAATTTTTTTTTTTTTCATGACCTATGTATTGCTTCTCATTATTGGTGAGCTTTTGTAGTATTTAGCGCGATCTGAGCATGTTGCTCCTTCTTTGTTTTCTTGCTGATCTATTTTATTGTTTGTTCAGTGTCGCGCTACAGATTAGGCAGGTATGAAAGCTCAAAAATTGTAGTCACTAATATAAAGTGCTCAGGAGATTCACCGTTTCAAGTAACAAGGGCTAGCATTCTTAAAAGTGATACTTAGTCTTAGTGAAGGTTAAGATAATATGATTTAGCCAAAGCTGTACTTGATGTTTTCTGACTAACATGGTACAAACAATAATAAACAAGCAGTTGAACAACCGTAAGCTTTTCTGCGTTCTGATAAAAGAGAATGAAAATTGCACCATACGTGCCTGGTACTGACTGAAGAAGCCTAATTGGGCTCATCGCAGCGACGACAACTCACAAGCGGGACACGTTTGAGAAGTCTTACCTGCAATAGCAATAGAATGTCATTGATGCCCTTTGGAGTTTGTGTGTACTGACAAGCATATATCAGTGGCACAGTTAGCACCATGTGTTTTCCCTGGAATTGCTATCAAAGTAGCATCATAAGCAAAAACCAATGTTTGCACACTGTTGTTGAATATTCAGTATTTGTTGTAAATGAGGAGTGGAATCGATAAGTGTAAGCGACCAGGTATTGTGCTTATATTGATGTTATTTTTATGCTACCAGAAGGTTATTTTCACTTCCTCTTTATAATGTTTCAATAGCATGTTCATCATTACTTGAGTTCATTTTTTCTTAGGTCAGTTTGCTCTCTCTTTCAGTGAGGGAAGAAGGCTTGCAAGCGTGACAGTGAGTGCACCTTTGGTGAGATCTGCGAGGAGGGCTGCTGCATTGGTGAGTTTGTGCATTGTCTTGCATCACTGTACTCTCGAACACTAGCATAAGCATTAGCTTTATTTCATACATCTAATAGGCTGCTTTTCTAGTACTAACATGCTAAATTTATGCTCTAGTCAATTTTATCGCATTCAACCACGGATATGGCTCTTTCTAAGATTAAGCTGTCGCTATGGTGACAACTTGACATCGTGAGATCTCTAGTCATCTTCATTTTTATTTATGCACTTTATATCAAATCACACTGTTCTCTCAACTACACTCTCTTGTAATGTAGGCTAGATATTTTGATGATGCTTTGAACGTGTTGACTTAGCCCACCTAAGTCCTTTTCCAGAGCACGAAACGGTACAACGTCATATCTTTGCGTTTACAGATGGTTGCCGCACGGACGACCAGTGCTTACCCACTCAGTCGTGCCACCACAGCAAGTGCGAGAACCTCTGCCACATTCCCGGAACCTGTGGCATCAATGCACTCTGTGTCATTGCCGCTCATCGGCCAGTCTGTTCCTGCGAGAGAGGATTCATCGGTGATCCAAAGATTGAATGCAGGCAGGGTACGTGCATCTCAGCCTTTATACTTATACTGCGTTGCTCTTTCCGAATGGCCTTTTAGAGATTTCCTTTGAATGCACCCAGAGTATGGAGTTCATAGGCACAGTACTATGTGCCACAATGTAGCACTTTGTAAAGTAGATAGAAATATACAACGATTTAGAACACTGGTGGAAACCGATGCAGCTCTTGCCACCTATGTCTACGGAATATCACTTAGCTCAGCGCTTTGCTTAACACTTCTCTCAGTCCTACTCTCAAACTTTGCTTTGTGTCTATGTTCAATTGCATCATACTTTATGATAGCGTATGACAATGCAAGTGATCAAAATATCATTCTTAAATCTCTCTGGCGGTGACATCTAAACACGCAAGCTGTCTGCTACTGCAAAATCTTCAAATCAGACTTACTAGAGTTGCTGAAAGCTTCATATTATTGTCTTCATAGCACTTCTGTCATTAATTAATGAAAAACTTTTCTATTTACAGTTCCAGTGGAGCCCTTGAAAGAATGTCACGCGGACACCGACTGTGCCCTTCGACACGTGTGTGAGGGCCACAAGTGTATCTGTAAGTACATGTTCTGTTCATTACCATCAGTTCTGCTCTCTTTTTTTTTTTTAATGCGAACTACCCGAATATAAACTTGACAAGTTAAATGTTTCAAAACAACCAGCAAAAATTTGTTATGAATTGATAGTTATAGCTGTGCGTTTCTTTGTAATGCAGTTTTTAGAAGTCGAACCAGGAATGCCACAGCAACCAACGCTTTTATGAGCGGGGCTCTTGCCTTTGTCAGGGCAGCTGCTGTTTATTATCAGTATCTTTATGTTTACGCTTAATGTATTGAGAAGTGGGTGAGGAGGAAAATAAGCTACTGTTTTACGTTTTCTTGTCGACAATTCGATCTTGCTTGCTGGCTCTCCGGCGTGGGCTGCATGTAGACGCTAAAGCCACACAATTATGACCAGTTCTTGTCTTTACACCTTGATCTCTGTGTGCTGATATAATGTATTGACATCAGTGTGTGTTGTGTGGTACAGCAGACGGTTGCAGGTCCGATGAAAGGTGTACGGCCGATGAAGCCTGCATTAATGGCATCTGTCAGAACCCGTGCGGTGTTTATGGAGCGTGCGGTCGTAATGCCCTCTGCCGCCCCATCAACCATCACGCCGATTGCTCGTGCCTGCCAGGTCATCGTGGCAACCCTAACGTGGTCTGCTTCAGAGGTAAGTCTCAGTCTCACTGATTTGTCATCATAGGACAGCTAATTTTGAACGTTTTGAAACATCCTTTAATTTTACGTCTCCATAATATTGTACTAGATGCGTTTGGGTTGTGTTAATGTTTGCCTGTTGATGGACTGTACTTTATTGCGAATATAGTTTGCATGTGTCATGTGACCTGAGTAATGGTGCAAAAAGAGAAATGCGAGCAAGAAAAGGAATCGAGCTCACCAAACTCTTGTCCAGGTAGCAAGAATTGTCGCATTGGTCTTGTCGCGACATACTGCAGTTAAAGCATGCACCTTTGCAACCATCTGTAGACTGAAATATGATATAACTGATTGATCAGTATTACTGGTACAAGCGGACTATAAAATAAATAAATTACATCACAGTGTTTTCTTCCATGCGATTTATATCTGTACCTTATTTGTTTGTCTCCAGATGAACCAAAGCCTGAATGTACAAGAGACAACTGAATGTTTACATGGATTCATCTGTGACAACAATCGCTGCATAGGCAAGTACCTTTCTTATTGTTGTTATAGTTAGTGCACAGTCTTTTTTTTTTCTTTATGGCTGAGTTTAATGAAATGGGAAGTGCTGAAAAATATGGTTATGTTCAAGGAAAATTAAAGCATTGAGTTAAAACCAAACACTCGCGAGAGCACTGTCACGCTTGTATAACAAGGAAAGAAATTTCTGTGCATATGCAGATTTATAAAGAACTCGATTGGAGGGCATGTGACAGAGAATAGTTAATGGGGATAGTGGAGATAAGTCTGAAGACATTTCAGTGTGTGAAAGGGCATATTATTGGGATTCATCGAACATTAACCCAAAGTTTTTGCACAATCCTAATATGTGTTGCAAACATTTAAGAAAAGTTTTGTCGTGCACTGGGGATTAAGCTTTGCACGAACATTTTTTCAGGGTCAGTTGCAGTACCATCAGGACCTAACTAGGAGGCTATCATTTTGTAGGATGACACCAAATTGGTCAACCAGTAGAAACGCAGGGACACAGAATGTCGAATGAATGTCCGGGGACTATCTGTGGTAGCGCTGCTGAGCAGCTTACCCGAACTCAAGTCGGTTGCCTGTTGTCATGTTGCACGCATGGGCACACATACACGTGCACATACACACGCGGCTAGGCGAGCACTCTGTGCAACTGAGTGACCTGTTCCACTGTGTGACGCTGCTGCCTTGTTCTGCTTGCAGAGGGCTGTCGTCATGACAACAACTGCCCTGACGAGAAAGCCTGCGTCAATGGCCAGTGCCACTACGTGTGCAGCCTGCCAAACATCTGCGGTGTTAACGCGGACTGCCAGCCACGCAATCATCGCGCGTTCTGCTCGTGTCCGTCACGCTTCCAAGGCGATCCACAGATAGAGTGCAAAGAGAGTGAGTTGGGTTTCATTTCGTTGTCATAACCTTCTTATTCTTTGCTTTGTTTAACCATTACGTTCAAGGGAACTGTCACAAATTATTTGCTGTAAAATTGAGTGGTCTGGCTTCTCCAGGGGTTACTTAAATAAATAAGACAGAGAAATGAATTAAGGTGGACTGAAAAACATTCTTTTTGTCTGTGGGATCCAAAATTTCCAACCTTTGAGTTATGTGTAGGATGCTGTACCAATTGAGCTGTGACGAAAGATGTTTCCCTGCCCACTTCATTTAGTATTTCTGTATAGTTAATTTCTATACTCCTGTTCTTCAGCTGCACATAGCTATTTTTCAACACTTGTACATCTTTAGTAACATTGTGATGCCTAACAAATCAACGTAACTGTGTTCAAATTATGCAGCTATGTAAAGCTGTTGCTTGGAACATTGCTTATTTGGTCTAAGGTAATGCTCTGGTATAGTTGTGACACAATTACTTCCACTTTTGCTTTAATGCCAATGAAAAACTTGCTAACACAATAGCCAGAACTTTTTATGTAACTGGAGCTTGTGTTTGTTGGCCTTTCTCATGTTTTGTCTCATTGAAATATTTTTTTTCTTGCTTTTCAGTTCGAGAGCCAGGCCCCTGCTTTCAGGACAATGACTGTGCTGTTGGAAGCATTTGCAGCTTTGGCAACTGCATTCGTAAGTGCTTAACTGGTTTACTTTGTTAATCGTGCAGATAGGCAGCGTTCTTCTAGGTCAAAGCTGTAATTAGGTTGTACGCTGTTGCTCATTGCAAGTTTGTACAGGAAGCGTAAAGCATATTGCATGTGTAATTATATATTCCCTGAATTTAACTTGGTTCCACCTTTTGATCTTAGTTATTGTCGACCAATTGTCAAGTAATACCAGAAAGAAGTAAGGCTGGCATCAGCTATAGTTCACGACACTGTGATACAGTTGGTACATTTAATTTTTAATTGCCTTAAGTGCCAAAAGTTTAATTTGTCTGTAATCTATTATCAAACACTATTAGCTTGCTGAAGTGCAATACTCAGGAAACAGGGATAAGAATTTGCTAATGGAAATTTTTTCATCTCTGACAAAAGTGTACATTAGATTTTAACAGGTTCTGTGAAGAAACTGTGGGAGCATACTTTAAAAAAAATAACTTAAGCTTAATACACCGTTACTATTGTTTTCTAGAAGGTAATACAACCCATTCTGCTGTTTAAACCTATCTTTTGTTAATCATCAGAAACTGTCAAACAACCGATAACTAAGGTTCAGCATTTACAGATATTCTTTTTTTTTTTTTTCGCCTTAGCAGGATATTGATGCTGAATGTGCCTTCTGCATGTTTGCCAACCTTGTCATTTCTTCCTCCACACTTTTCAGCCGGCTGTCGTAACAATGAAAACTGCCCGTTCCTGGAAGTGTGCATCCGGAGTGTTTGCCAGGATCCTTGCCGCGTTTATGGGGCCTGCGGCATCAACGCCGTTTGCAAGGCCATCAACCACGACCGAGTCTGTGCCTGTCTTCCCGACCACACTGGAGACCCAAAACACCACTGTGTTAAAGGTTAGCATCCCATGTGGCCCTCGCCTACCTTTGGAAAAATTCGTACGGTGTGCGACATACTAACTTCATGTCGGAGTTCATCAGATACTGCCAATCGATACATACTTGTGGATCAGAAATATCAAAAATGAAAAAGCTTCATTTCTAGCTGAATTAGTGAAGTGGATATCTTTCTAGCTTGAAAGACATAGGGTTCAATAATTCTTTTCGAAGTGGGTGAATATCCAGCTAAAATTTCGTCAGTTCCCGGCTGAAATTCGACCAAATGCCAGCTGGATATTCATCAACATTGCGCTCATTTATAGTGCTATATAGTTACCAAAATAAAAATATTTACAGCTGGAAAAGCTCAATAATACAGCTGAGAGTGGAACTTCGTTTCATCTGGCATGTGTAAAGAGCTAACGTAAATATAGTAGTTTATGTCTACATTTGCATGCACAAACTTCTTCACGTAGATAGTGTGCCTCTCCTAGTGTTACATACTGTTTCCCATTTTGAGCATCTGTTAAGAAGTTATTCAAACAAGCCAACTAGCCCCTTAAATGTTCTCATTAATATGAAAATGCTTGTCACAAATGTTATCAGTACTTCAAGGTGCGATTTTTTTCTGAATGTCAAGCAAACTCTCTCCTGGGGCAGCCTGTACTAATACAGTTTTTATCTTGTGCTTTTGCTACAGTGTTACCTCCGCCAGAGTGCACAAGAGACGACGACTGCTATTCTGGCCGCATCTGTGAGCTTTCCCATTGCAGAGGTAAGTGCGAAGACTTTTTCGGCCTGCGAACAATGAGAATAAGAGGTTCTGTAGAAATTTTCTTGTTTTTCTTATGCAGTAACCGCATGAATGCGGCGGAACAAAGTTCGCAGTCTGGACAAATTTCAGTGTTCTAAACAAGATCTAAATCGGACTGAAGAATTAAAGTACGCGAAATGCTAGCTGCAAAAACACTGCATCACACTTAGTGGTCTTTCTATGCTCTTCCATGCCAACACTGTTTGGCTAGATAGGGTTGAAAATGTGCGTAGAAACATTGTTTGTTTAGGAGCTGTTTTTCTTTTTTTTTTTTTCACACACAATATATCATAACTGCAATACTACTTCTGCCTCCAAAGATATTCCGTTTCTTCTGTTGGTCCTAAGTGAAAGTCGTAGATCAAAAGCAGCGCATTATATAACTGTTCCAGTCTAGCCCTATCTAGCTGACTGATTAATCTACAATTTGGCTGACTCGTTTGTGAAGATCGACTTGTCAAATTCAAATACCTAACCTGATTAGTGGTGACATTTTTTCTGTAATTTTAAAATAAATTTGACTGATCACATGTGCACAAGGCTAGTTTGCTTGTAGGCCCTCATCAACACTGAGATGTAAAACTGCAGACCTCATATTCTGTTTTAGTTCTGCCAGCTTTAATGTGTGCCTTGTCTTCAAAGCTGGTTATTGAAGTTTTGGCGGTTGCTTGACCCTTCAGTGGGCTGCCGAGCTGACACCAACTGCCCGCCGGACCTCTCCTGCATTGATGGACAGTGCCAGAACCCTTGCCAGCGCAGTGGCGTGTGCGGCCGAGACGCTCGCTGCTCTGCGATCAACCACAGAGAACTTTGCTCCTGTGAACATGGCTACACAGGCAACCCTGTCGTGGCTTGTGAAAAAGGTGATGCCAAACACCAGTGAACACCTTGTTATGCTCATTTTAGTAATTGTTATATGATCTGACTTTGTTATGTAAACACTTGTACTAACGAGCTATGCAATAACAATGGAAACTGCTAATTTCGTGGCAGTTCCTTCATTATGGAGAGCCAATGGGTTTTCTTGTGTTGTGAGCTGACTAGAAAAATGGGGGACGCTTGTTATGAGCTAATGCTACCCCTTCAATAAGCTCTTGATGTTATTGGTGTCACTGGTCTCAGTTTCTTTTTACTTGCTACTACCTGATTTCATGGTTTTAGGCAGCTTGAAAGATAAGCAAACATGTGTAATAGACAACCACAACTACTCATAGCTGTCTGTATTTCCCGTTGTTTCCCGTTGTGATACATTTATAGCACTACTTTAGTGTGCATCTAGAGTTACGATGTAAACTTACCTGACGGCCTCCTGCCTGCATTATTTATGCACACCTTGACCTCTATGCCATCTGTTAGCTACTCCTTATGAAGTAACTAAAACAGAAATGTTGTGAGCACTTAATGCTGATCACTTCAAGACTATCAGCTGAAAACAAAGTATGTTGCACATTGTGACTATGTTATAATTGCGGTAGGCTTAAACTGATCATGACCTCAGATCAGTTACAGCTTGCCACTGCCACAGTAGTTTACTCAACTAATAACTACCGTATACATTCACAATCTTCTTTACTATTCTTCATAATTTCTCCTCATTCAATCAACATAGAAAGGCCTTCCTCCTTACGTATTTTATATTTTCTCACTTCAGTCTCTCTGAGAGAAGCATATTGGCAGGGTTTCATCAACAGATTTTTTTGCAAGTCAGGTTAGCGATGTGGTTCTGCTGTTTGAGTACGGCAAAAGAACATACAAGCAAGCCTGAGTTACAATACTACTACTGCAATAACGAATAATCATTATATACGTGAGCTTGGGTTTCTGTAATGTGGTTTCTCTTCACCATTTAATTTGAGCCGATTTTGTTAAATAAATGTTAAAAGTCCTAATTACATCTGCTGCTGCTTTATATCTCTTTAAAAAAGAAAATTGATGTCTTATGGCTGAAAAATATTGCAAGGCAGACTATGGCATTGACCAGCCATTTAGCAGTCATACCAACTTACTATGCATGATTCACTTTTAATATATTTTTCAGTTCCTGATGACTCGTGCAGAAGAGATGAAGATTGTGGATTCGGACAAATCTGTGTATCCTACAAATGCGTTGGTAAGCGAACGACACTTATGTACAACAACACTTACAACTAACGCAATTATGCGAGCAAGTAGTGCTTTTGATATTGCAATAAAAAAAGAGTGCAAGTCACATGCGAGGAAAAACGCAAGATGAATATCAGTGTGACGAAGTAGGGTTCCGGCAGAATTCAGAGTCATAGCTGTTCTCTCGTGGTTGGCTAAAGTTTATTAACAAACATATCTGTAGCACCGATAAACAATTTGCCTCCGTATCAGTGACTGAGCATTCTGAAGCTTTTGTCTACTATAGTTCCGTCAGTCAGGCGCCATGATTATACATGATGCGCAAGGTTTTTCACTCGTTGCTTATGCTTCATTTTCTCGCAATTTCCAGAGGGTTGCCGCAATGACAACAACTGCCCGTTCGACAAGGTGTGTATCAACGGACATTGCCAGGACCCGTGCAGCCTTGGAGGCATTTGTGGCATCAACACCCAGTGCCGAGCTCTTCACCATGAGGCATCGTGTGAATGCTTGCCAGGTTATACTGGAAACTCCAAGGAACGCTGCAGCTTGAGTAAGTATGCGTGCTTACTGAACAGTAGTGTAGAGATATGCGCTGCTCTTTGCTGACTGGATTTTGTTGGACTTCCTGTTGAAGAGTTCTGTTCAGCTTTATGTTATGCTTAACGTGGTCTCTGGGTTAGGTACGTTTGCACATACCTTTTTTATTATTATTACAGGCAGCCCTTGTAGTGTAACTTTCTTTTTGCTAATCAACATTGCTTGAAGTGCTGTTATTGTATCTTATTATTGGTCATGCCTTGAAGAAAAAAACTGCATGTGTAAATAACCTTGATTGTGCAAGTTCTTACATGTAGGCAGTTTTAATAGTAAGATATCTATCTATTCCCTTGTGTGGGATAGATACGTTATCGCGTCCTGCCTTTCGCGGTACATGCAACACCGTTTCTCTGTTGCGGATTTAATTGGTGCTATTATGACCCTGAAGCGGTTAAAGCAGTTTATTTTGTAAGACGACATATCTTGATCGTGGCACTCAGTCAGATATACTATAAGCATTACAGTACAATGTATGCGTGAATTTGTCATTTACACTAATGTGCACTGTGCAGTTGTAAAATGTCTTTGCACTTGTGTGTTTTCCTGGCAGTTCCCCTTCCTGAATGCACCGAAGACCATCACTGTGGAACTGGATACGTGTGTGTGAACTCTAAATGCAAAGGTAAGTGAATCTAATAACTTGCTATGTAATTTGGACTGTAATTGCACCAAGGAACTGAAGGGGTGTTACCAAAGCATACAACACTTCGAAGATTTGTTTGTGATTGGACCTCCTGTAAAACCTACGTCTCCTAGCTAGTTTGCTTGCATTCCACTGTAGTAAACTACAGTTGTTGCAACATTTTACCTTTGAAGACTATAACTAAGAGCCTGTGGCAACTCCTACAGAGCACTGCTAGAGCAGTTGTATTTTTGTATTACATGACATATTTGCAATATTCACTTGGTTTCGTATGATTAGATCTCCCATTGTGTCCTAATAATGATCGTGATCCATTGCATTGAAGAGGTTGCTGCCATCCCTGCCTCCTTGCACAAAGGGTTAAAAGCAGGAATGCTCCATTGCGCAGCATTAAAAACTTGAGGTGGTCAAAATTGATCTAGAGTCGTCAGAGATGGCATCCCCCGTAGCTCCGTTGTCGTATACTTGGAAATAGTCACCAGTCATGGAGCTTTGCAGTGCCGGAAAGTGCAGCTCTTATGTAGTCCCCATCTTTTTCTTTAGGAAGTCAACTCTTATTAACACAGTACTTGCCTCTAGTGTTCTCTAACGGCTTTCTTTTTATTTTTTTCTAGATATCAACGAGTGTCTACATGGCCGTGGCCCGTGCGCGCATGGAGCTACGTGTACAAACTTGCCTGGCAGCTACAAGTGCAGCTGTCCCAACAACCTGGTGGGCGACCCCTACCACGGACGCTGCCGACAGCGTATCCAAGGCTGCACACGTGACACCGACTGCAAGGACAGTGAAGCATGCAACACTCTGACAGAGCAGTGTTACGGTACGTCCTGTAGCTTTCGCTTGGCCACATGTTTGAGTTATTTGTGTGCAAAATCAGATTAGCACATTGTAAAAGAGATTGTGAGTTCCTCTGACATACAGGTAGAGGGTTTTGTTACTTGAGCAGTAATAATTATAACAGTTGTGTTACGACAGCTTTTCTGAAACTATAAATTGATGGGGGAAGCTCACAGGGGTCAGTAAAGACATGGAAAAGATAAGTGTCATCATCACTTGAACCGTCATCGTGCAGTGCTTAGAAATTCTCATCAGTTTATGCCTCGGCAGGTCACAAGATTCATTGATCCAGTGACGCTGTCATGAGTTCAATCTCTAGCCAATGTGGCCGTAATGCAATGATCATGAAACACAAAAATACTTGTGCAATGAACTTTTGTACATTCTTCAGCTCTGGGTTCAGTCGGTTCAAGATTTTTTTAAGGAACTTTGGGCATTTGTTATTGATGTAGAGCCCGCCACTGTGACATCTTTTATAATATGTGTGTTGCTTTGAAATTATGGAATCAATCAACTAAACAACTATTCGGTCTTTATGGATCAGACAGCGTGACCTTCACTTTGAAGGCTAGCTCAATGAAGTATATGTGTTCTGGCAGGTGACATATCCTGCTCTTGAAGCTTTATTTCTAAACATGGCATAGATGTTGACGTACTTGCTGCCATTTCTTGCCTTGCAATGCAGATGCTTGTCTCAAGCCAGGTGTGTGTGGTCGGTCAGCCGACTGCCGGGGCGTCAACCACCGGCCTGAGTGCTTCTGCCCGAGCGGGCTTCGAGGAAACCCCTACGTCGAGTGCACTATTTGTGAGTTGTGCAGTCTCGGCAATACTGAGTCTTAGATTCCTTCCCAATGCCCTTATGTACAGTGCAAATATGCATCATAGTCATGCTAATGTTTTGGCATAGCGCTGCAACATTGGTGGTACTAGTAATGCACCTGCTAAGCAACAGGTCAAAGGTTCGACTCCTTGTCTTTACAGCTGCCTTTTTATAAAATTCAAATGAAAGAACACCTGTGTACTTGGATTGAGGTGCACGTTAAGAAACCCAAAGTCAACACAAATTACTGTTCAGATTCATCACTGTGACATACCTTATATTCATACGTAGTCTTGGCGTGTGAAACCCAAGCTCTTTAGTTCAAACTTGGTCAATTCAATCTTACAGTTCATTCGAACTGACACCCTGGTCCGAGCACAGCCCTCTATATTTCTATGGGGGAGCATTCGAATAATGTTGGTATCCACTACGGTTCATTGAGCTGGGAGTCCCTGATTTTTATCACTCCTCGCTGATGTTGGCCCTCAAGGATCACAATGTGTTGCAATAACAAGCCAAACTGAATTCAATAGAGATGAAATAACAACGAAACAGCAGCATTCTTCAGAAGATGACAATTCAGGGGTTGCGCTGGAGCTCTTGGGCGAGCTGTGAACGACGTTCATGGAGTCGCGTCAGAAGAGACATAAGCTAATGCAAATTACCAATTACTTTTAAATTTGATTACGTTAACTCTGTCTTGAAAGTAAGCTTGTTTTGGAGCATAAATAGCATCATATATTTCAGATTAATGCTTACTGCTCACATGAATGCATGTCAGTGCTTGTTCTTGGTGTATTGACTGATCAATTAATTCCGCTCGCTGCGAGAGCTCCATGAATTTCACAAAATAACCTGCCACAAAGGGGTGGTAGTACCTAGTTTGCGATAACGAAGTCAGGGGTGGCTTCTTTAAGCTCTGTTCCCGCAGTGGGGTGTGACATCTGTTCATTCTAGCACCTGCCCACTGATTTGAACTCCAATTCAAACAGTCTTAGTCCCCTTTGAGTTCGAATTAAAGAGCTTGTACTGAAATTTTAAAATGTTTATAACGCACACGATTCTGCGGTCCTCATTTCCCACCTCTCGTTACTGTGCAGCCCGGCCTTGCACCCATTACCAAGAATGCTCCGGAAACCTGCAGTGCCTCGGCGATCGCTGTGGCTGTCCGCGACCGTTCTGGCAGAAGAACCACTTCTGCATCTGTAAGTCACCGGCTGGATACTGCTTGGTGCTACCGGTAGTCGTATATCATGTAGGCGCAAGACCCGGTTTGGTTTTTTATTGCTATAGACAGAATCATGGCTATTCTTTGTTTTATTAAGGGCTGGGTTGGTTCAATTAGTGTCTCAGTTACTACATTGAAGCAAACATTGATAAGTAAGGCAGCATAAAAAACCGCCCAGGAGCGTTTTTTTTTTTTTTCTACCACCACACCATCCTAATTGCTAGATGGGAAAATAAAATTGAATATATACTCACAACTTGAAAAGTCTTATTGCCAGATGTGCTTGTACTAATGAAAACAGGATAGAAGTGAAGCATTAATTAAGCAATGAAATTGTTAGCACTTACATAATTAAGGAGAATGTTGCTTCACCTATGAGAAGCCTAAGGTGTTACTAAATTGTGGGTGTTATGTAGAGGTTGTTGAAAATAATGACATTCGCAGACATCATGAATGAAAGTTGAAGTGCCCTACAGCTTGCAAGTCATCAGTCTGAGTATATCAAGAAATATCGTTGCAGAGTATGTGCATCAGTATTTATAAGATTCACAGAGACGAACAATTCTTTCGTGCCTTGGGGAAACTAATTCTTAATGTTGGCACTTCTAATAGCTACCAGCATACTTGTCATATAGCTATTCCAACACACTTTAGTTGAATAGGTTAAAACGGTAAGTGCAGTTATATTACAGGGGAGTACTACTTAAAGCCAAAGGCATGCCATCACCAAAAAGTATCTATTCACAAACATGTTTATGTTTATGTACTGTGCCTTGTGCGGCTTGTTGAAAAATTTTAGCATTCAGTCTGTCCTGGTGCCTTAACCTATCACTGTCCCCTGTATGTTTTTCATGGTTCAATATTTAGTATTTACCCTTCGGGGCCACTTCTCAGCTGTAGATTTCCTTGCTAGTTTCTCACAAAGCTTGCACGAGCTGACATTGTTGATCTCCAGCCACTGCATTTGTGTTTACAAGGAAAGGCAATAAAATTCATTGCTTGAATTCTGTTTTTTCCTGCTCTTGCAGTGACAAGTGTCAACTGCTCCACGACCAATCCGTGCCCTGAACACCAAGAGTGCGTGTACGAAGGCAGTTACACGGGCTTCTGCGTCTGTCCCAAGGGATTTTCTCTCCTGCCTAATGGAGTGTGCAAAGGTGAGGCAATTGTGCTTGCAAACTCTATGCTAAGAATTACATGGTTACAACTGTGGCATTTCGAGTGAGGTGCTTTTTCTCCGCAATAGCCACATTTGCAGTTCCTCTTTTGTCAATTGTGCTCTCATTTGTGAAAGTGCACCCACCTTTAATTTCAACTTGAAAACAAAAAGCTTGCATGAGCGAAAGTTACACTTTACATTTCCTCCTTGTGGCTTACTGGCAGCAACGTACTAATGCTGCTAAAGACGGCCACAAATTCTTTACTTTCAGCAGTAACAGCTGCATTTCACAGAGGAAAGCATTAAAAAATACACATTAAGTTTGGGAAAATGCTCATCAAAAAACCACTCTATGACCACTTTGGTATCACTCATAGCCCTTAACAGCAATGCTGAAGTTTCTCACTGCACTTGTACAAATAAATCAATTAATCAATCTATTATTTTCTTCCACAGACATTAACGAGTGTGAACAGCATCCGTTCCCATGTGCACACGGTGCCCAGTGTTACAACAATGTAGGCAGCTACCACTGCACCTGCCCGACAGGAACTACAGGAGAGCCCTTCCATGCTGGATGTAAGTGTGAGCTTGTGTCAGAGAAACTGGCATGAATGCTGTAATGAGCAGCAGTTGATCTCTAAAAAAAAAAAAAACAGGAATGCTTATTCATCTATTGTAACTGTGGTTTAGTCAAACTAATATAGGTAAACAACTTCTCTTTGTGTTCTCATTTAACCAGTGGAAATCTGTAGCAGCCGTACTTACTATCTAGGATATTTTGCTGGTGAGAAGAATGTAGTGATATGTTCAACCTGCCAGCTACAGTTTCTGTATTTCACTGTAAAAATGCGCTTTGAAATTTTTGAAATTGGCAGCCCGATTTAGGAGCCCTCTACAGCCATGTTGCTCTCAGGATCACAACACAGCTTCAGGAGAAAGAATGCAATCAGTTCATTAATTAGCTTTGATGTGCAAAACTAACCCGAACACCTTAATTCTCAGTAAATTTGAATGTTTTTTTCTCTTATAATATTGACACTTAGAGAGAAGTAACATTGGTACGACTTGCATGTGCATGATGATAAGAGGTTTTTTTTTTATTGACTGGTTCTTTTTGCATTTTCAGGTGAACCACCAAAAGGAGAATGCACACATGACAATGACTGTCCCAGTAACAAGGCCTGCGACATTCGCATGCTGAAATGTTACGGTGAGTACACTCTTGCAAGGCCAAAGGCCGTCTCTGGTGTTGTTTTTATTAAAGTGACAAGTAATGATTTAATTTTAGATAACTGAGGACAATTTTTATTTGTTAAGCTTGCTACAGCTTATTCAGCACTATTCTAATGCATACTTCAAAAGAGTGCACAGGGTAGATATATCATTGGTGATTTTGTTTCAACCTCGCATATATTCGTCGTATGGTAATGCAACATTACATGACACAGTATGTGTGAAAGCGTGCTAGAAAGCTTGTTTTTGACGTTAAATGATGAATTTGTGATAGTGGTGGCTCACCGTTGAGAACAAGGTCATGTGTTCAGTTCTTAATCACCTCAGCTTCATGCTGATCGGAAGGAAACACAAGAATGCTATTGCGGTGTTGAAAGCTGTTTACACAATGAGACACACTAGGTTGCCAGCTTAATCCAAAGCCCTTTAAAGGAACACCATGTTTCTGATGTAGCTTACGTTTTTCCTTGAGATGCCAGTCTTTCAACAAATGTGAAATGTTGTCACCAGATCCATGCCTGGTGCCTGGAGCCTGCGGAGAACACGCACGTTGCCGAGCGATCAACCACAAAGCTACCTGTGAATGTCCTGCGGGATACACTGGAAACCCACGGGACTACTGCTTCAAATGTGAGGGTCTTCCTAAGGTTTTTCGTGTCTTTGTAATGTAACGAGGTTATTTATGTTGCACTTTTATGAGTTTGTTGTGGTAACCACTCTTGTAATCTTCACATGTGCCAAAACAGCGTTGAATCTGTCTAAAGGTGAAGCTCTTAAAAGCAACAAAAACAATGTAAAGTGTAGTTAGACAGTACTCCTCGCTGAATATAAAATTACTGATGCATCACCTCATTAAAAATTATTCTGTCTGAGAACTTGTTACATGAACAATGAATTAATGTAATCATTCACATTTAATTAATGCAACCCTAAACACGGCACTGCCATCTTTAGTTATTTTGTAATTCCATCACCACTTTTTATGTAGTATTCAGGTGAGATCTGTGCTGTGCCCTCCAGCCTACAAATGATTGAATTGCACAATTGTGCAGACATCAAACTGTGCTAGTGCAATCAGTGCTACGATATTAGTTTTCTTTGCATAACAAAGCAGTTGTTTATGAAAACTTCTTGCTCTCTGTATGTATTCTTTATATGAAAGCAATTACAGCGGCTGTCTGGTAGTGTTGTTACCTTGGAAACAACTCGTGTGCTCACATTCATCATAACCACTCTAACATGAAGGAGAACTGCGTTTTCTATTCCCAGGTTTTAGCATCACCAAAGAATGCAATTGTATGTGAAGGTGTGCTCGTGGATAGCAGTTTCAGATTAGCATAAGTAAACAACAGTTTACAAAGTAGTGACCAACTGCAGTTGCATTCAACAACTGTATGCCACTTTACATTTCCCCAGTGGTTGGATGCCCCCACGAGTTCCACTGCCCTGGAAACCTGCTTTGCATGGACAGCGGCTACTGTGGCTGCCCACCAAATTTCCAGAGGAAATACGACTTCTGCATAGGTAAGCTTGGCCTGCATTATGGTCACACTATGAAATCAATTAACGTTCTGTGCACATCCTATGAAAACTGTAAAACTGTCAATATCGCGGTTGGCTCAGACCTGGTGATATTGTCGTGTGCACCTAATTTCAAATTTAGCATTTCTATTGCATAAACTGTAAGCAGGGCTGCGCTCGCTTATGTGCATGTGGTAGTTCATTTCGTTTCGTTGACGTTAATTTTGTCACTGCGCTTAATCACAAAATTGACAACTGTTGGTTAATTGATCACTCTATTGCTGTATTTCCTTATGTGCATCTAGTCAGTCCAAATAATATTTCCAAATATTCTAAGGTGTTTCATTACACTAATGCACTTAAACCTTATGGAATTGGTGCGCACTTGATTCAGCTTCCATAGCCCAAGGAATTCTTTTATCACTCATTCGTTGTAATCGCTATCTCAGTGTTATTCGAGCTGTGGCACTGCAAAACTACATGCTTGAATGGTCAGCTTCCTTAATCAGGGATCTAGCTTTAGAAGTAAAAATGACAAAACTGCACGCAAGATGGAATCGTTAGTTGTTTTCTCTGCACTGATGCACAAACCCGCGAAAGCCTACTGAAAACACTAATTAAATTTTGTGGATTTCGCAGCTACCAGCCGGAACTGTTCAACAACAAACCCATGCCCACAACACGAAGAGTGCGTCTACACTGGAAGGCAGACGGGATTCTGCGTGTGTCCTCGTGGCTACAGGCTGTTGCCCAACGGTGTCTGCAGAGGTCAGTGCGACTAAGCAATTGCACCATTGGGGGGTAGCTAGTTAATGCACTTTTTGCAACCGCTTTAGTCACTTCCTACATTTTGTGTTTTTGAATATTATCTCAGCACTAATAAGCAATAGCAGAAGGAGGGTCGGCATCGACGGCACAAAGTACGTCATCTTGTCAGCGCCTTTCTTGAGCTGTCCTTGTCTGCTGGCACTGCAACATATTTTCCAAGCTCGAGTACTGATGTGCCCAACATCCAGCGGCACTTTTTAATGTGTGTTACCGCTAACAACCGTGTCATTGCCTCCATATCAACATTAGCTAAAGCTGGCTCTTTACGCACTGTAAAATGTTGTTGCAGTGTGCCTTTCAGCAATAGCAGTATCTTCTTCTGTGTATTAGAGGAGTGATTTGTTCTTGTTCTGTTAGCCAGTCACGAGCAGCTTCCTTTGACTTGCCCTGTACCCATCAGTGCAACTCAGTGGCTATACTGTTTCATTCCAAGCATGGGGTTGCAGTTTCAGTTTGCTGCTGTGGCAGCCGCATTTTGAAGGGGGCAAATTTCAAGGGTGGCAAAAGGCAGAAATGTCCATACACTCACACTTAGGTGCGCGTCGGAAAACCCCAGATGGTCAAAATTAATTTCGTGCTTCCCTACCGCAGGATACCTCAATAACATCTGGTTTTAGCAGGCATTATCGTGCAACTAAATCATTTTCAAATATGATAGGGCTTTGTTTTTCTTTTCTTGACCGCTTCGTCTATTTTGCTCACCTTTATGAATCAAGACATCGACGAGTGCACGGAGCTGACGCCGCCACCGTGCTCCAAGACTGCAAGCTGCATCAACTTGCCAGGAACGTTTGAGTGCCAGTGCCCCGAGCCAACCCATGGCGACCCGTACAGGGGAGACTGCTTGCTCAAGGAGCCATTCAAGCCGATTTGCACCACGGACGAGGACTGCCCCTTGCACGAGGCCTGTGACCTTGGAAAGCAAGATTGCTATGGTAGGGTTTTTCACTTAGGCTGGGGGCCAACACGGCGTTGCTAACAGTCATCAGCCTGAAAAATTAAAAAGGGGGTTGCTCTGGCCTGTCTGTCAAACGTGAAGGACAGATACCTTTGTTTACTGGGTGTTAGCAAGGAGAGCTGTATTTCGAAATGCGTGCTCTTTTTCTTTCCTTCTTTTTGGTACTTTCTTTGTTGAACCACTGGTGGCTGACTATATATGTAGTAAAATAGACTGTCATCTTTAATACTGAAGTAGAATCATTCACTTATTATTACTGCATAAACAACAAACAGAAAGAACTGTACCAGTCAACGTATATGCGCAGGAAGACTGTTCAAATATCAGTGTGCAAGTTTGTGGAGATTATGCGTTGTCAGCAATGCGAGTTGTAAATGACGTGCTCGGGTCAGATGAGGTTGTTTTCCCATTTGGGAGCAATAAATAATTTATTGTGTATGCACAGATACATTGTTCTAAACACTTGTCGCTGAGCTAGTTGGTGCATTGCATCAAGGAAATTTATCCAGCCCAAAATGAACAAACATAGGAAACCGTGCAGGAGCTGCTTTTCCATCTCCTTCACTGTTTCCTGTGTTCATTAATTTTTGGCTAGATAAATTTTCTTGGGGCAGATACATTGCACTCAGACATCCCCATTCTAGTGCATGCATTTTTTTCCAGTTTCCTGATGTTATAAGGGTATCATATACACTCAAACCTCATTATAACAAAGTTGCGTTTTACGTGAAAATAGGTTTGTTATATCAAAACATTCATTGTAAAGTTTTATTTCCAACACTGTATCAATTGCAAAATATCAACACTGTATCAATTGCAAAATATTTTTCATTTACTTCATTATAACATACATTTCGTTATATTCGCGTTTGCTATTTTGAGGTTTGCACGTAGCACTCAATTAGTCTGTCAATGAATTTGTAACTGCGGAATTACAAGAGACTAACATGCAATGGCACTTACTTCTTTTGCCCTCCTTGTTTTTCGTCACAGATCCATGTGTTCAAGATCCCTGCGGGTTCGAAGCTGTCTGCCGAGTTGAGAATCACAAGACTGTATGTGTGTGCCCTCCGGGCTACACTGGCAACCCACTTGTGCGCTGCGTGCGAGGTAATTGACATATTACTTATGCGTATTCTTGGGTACAATTCACTACTTCTATACTCGCAATAAACGCCTCATTCTGCTAGCAATAATTTAGTGGATTCGAACAAAGGTGGAAGTTTTCGGCTAGCCAATTATATATTTTTTCGGGCATATTGAACACAATCACTCGCACTTCTTCAGGATTATTGTAATTTCTCAGCTTGAGAAAATACGTGACAAGGCTGGAGGCTGCGAAAAAAAAAAAAAGCCGATGGGGCCATTCTTGATTTGAAACTCCTCCACGTGTGATGTTAAACTAGTTGTGTTTTGCGAATGGTGCTACTGTAAAATTGTGAAAACTCATCACTTTATGCAGTAATCAAGTCATATGCGCATTGGCTTTGTGTTCCAATTCTGATACAATTTCGTCTTCAAATGCAACCAGGTTTATGTATTTGTGTGTGTAATTACCCATGATTCTGTTTAGGGTTACTCTTTGTTCACCACTGAATGCCTCAAAATTTTAATAGTTGAAGCAAAACTTTGTTGCCTCTAGAAGTTTGGATTTAAGTGAATCGACATTAATTAATTACTTGTACAGGACCTTTTACGTATACTAAATGTGACTATCATTAATTCTTTCTGCCACAGTGGAGGTTTGTGGAGTGGACTACAACTGCCCCGGCAACCTCGTCTGTCTCTCAAGCAGCACCTGTGGATGTCCTCCAAACTATGACCGTGTTGGAGAGTACTGTATCTGTACGTATTTTATCTGATCAATCAGCACTGCATCTATATCTTCGTGTGTGTGCTGTTTTGCACTGTTTTATGTTATGTAATTATCAATCAGTTTCATTACTACTTTTTCTTTTCATCTTTCTACTGATGAGTGCATTTTTTATCAGCTCTATTACTCAATTTATTTGATCTTTTCTATGCCTTCTGCACCATTTCTGCATATAACGCACTATGGTCAGTCAGATTGAGTAGCAAGCCTGACCACATTTAAAAATGTATCACTTCTTTCTTTGCATATGCAACTGGTTTCAGTTAGATTGCTATTTGTGTCTTGATTCTGTTAGCATCTTAATAATATAACCTAAACGAGCCTAAGAGAACCTGCAATAGACTCAAGTGCACTGAAACTCGCTGATACCAAATTGTGACGCGTGCAGTCCTCGCGTTTATTGAAGGTGTTATCTACATGTTCTGAAATGTAAACAAGCCAGTATTCAATACCTTGATCTGTGATCAGAAATTTTACAAGCACAAAAGTTTGTTAAAAGCTCCATTCCTACTGTGTCACTCTGTGCATGAGATCTGTCATATTTTCTTGTCACCCAAATTGCCTTAAGCAAGGCATCCTGTTTTTCTAACACTTCATTGGTCAAGTGTGGGCACCTTTTAGGACATCTAAGTGGAAAATGAAACATTTTTAAATCGCGTTCTCCGACCTCATTTCATTATCTGTATCTTTGTACAACCCGCAGTGACGAGCAGGAACTGCACGACCACCAACCCGTGCTCACAGAACGAAGACTGCATCTATGTCGGCCCACAAGAGGGCTTCTGTGTGTGCCCACGCGGGTACGAGCTCCAGCCTAACGGAGTTTGTCGAGGTGAGTGAGCGAGACAGCCTTCTGCGAACCTCCCAAGGCACTGCACATCCACCAGTGCATGTAGTTGATTCATTTACAAGAAAAAAAGAAAAGAGCAATTCATAAGAAGAATGTATATGTATTGGTGCCTATGCAGAAAAATGTTAATCGTCCGAGACGTAAAGATGCATGGAGACCACCACAGATGTCTCCGTGCATCAAATGATGGCAGCATGGCATATGATAATGAGTGTTGGGCCTTATTGGAAGAAAGTGTCATCGGATTCAAAAATAACTTCTTTCATAAGTACATGTTCTTTACATGCTGAAATCAGTTAAATTCTAAATTTACTTCTCTGCATTCTGATAATTCGTTACATTTAAGATCATTATTCTAGAGTTTTGGTCGTAAATGCACTTTTGGTCAGATGGAATAAGCACATGTGAAATGCAACATTGTTTGATTGAATGACAAAGGCGCAACATATGGGGTTAACACCAAGCTATGCATCAGCTGGAGAAGCTGTAAAAGCAGCTAAATAATATTTAGTAAAATAAGGGCAGAGTTTTGGGACATTATGGCGTGCTGTTAATAATTGTGAAAAACTAGTTTAACTTGTATAGCACTCTTCAGCCACATCTAGCCCTTGCATCAATAAGCTCAAAATTGTCGCAGCCTTGTTGAATGCAATAACTGTACTGTAGTACTATTAAGGTTCTCGCTTTCTTCTGCTATGGTGCGAAGTGAGGAATTTCCAAGACCAATAAAAGATTATGAAGCTACACATCAGCATTTTCCATTGCTCACGTTAACGCATGGCATTTTTCTTGCCCGGTTTTCTCATTTTTCAGACATAAACGAATGTGTCACCATTCACAATCCATGTGCGCCTGGAGCGAAGTGCGTCAACTTGCCAGGAAGCTACGACTGTGTCTGCCCTCCTGGCACTGTTGGCGATCCATTTATCGGTGGATGTAAGTAATCACAGCTATGGAATTCGCTTAATGGCATATATTACATAGGTGGTGCGTTAACGAAGCTACGTCTTTTCCGATTGAATATGGTGACCATTTCTGTGTGAATGTTGCTGAGGGGACACTGTACTGAGCTAACTGACTATGCTTGATCATAACCTTGTTCATTTCTTTCTAGGTAAACGGATCACAGAGGAATGCCAAACTAACGATGATTGTCCATTGGACAAGGAGTGTAACGTCAACACTCATCAATGCATACGTAAGTATCGCCATGTTCTTTCTAGTAACGAGATGAAACCTTGATTTCTTTATCTCATCTCCAGGTGTCGCTCGAGTCAGTTATACACTGGTTCAGAGCACATTGAAATCTGTCGCTGCATGGAAACCACGCTCCTTTATGACTTATTGCATGGATTAACAGAGCAATGTGTTTTACTGAACTACTTGGTCTATTTGGTATGATAATTTTGATTATAAGTGCATAAAAAGAAATGTGAAGTGGTATTACTGTAGTGGCTAGCAGTGAGCTTCACTTATGAAGACTGGAGTTCAGGAAAAGGCATCAAAGTTCACTGAAAATTTTTGCTAGGCCGTAAGCGGCATCCCCACGAGTTTGACGCGAGTAGGCTGCTGCTCCGGGACGTCCGAGCATGCCAGTGTCTCGCTTTAATTTCCCTAACCCTTCCCCCTTTATGCCAGATTGTCGATAAAGTTGTTTCACTCGCTCACTTTTAGGTAAGGAGTATGGGCCAGCTCAACTTATCAATTTGTGTTTCTTTGCTTTTTTTACTTACAGCACCTTGCCACGTTTGTGGCCCAAGTGCACAGTGCACAGTCACAAACCATGTCGCCATATGCGTCTGCCCTCCCGACCTCGTTGGTGACCCATACGACAAGATCCACGGCTGCTACAGAGGTGTGTACAATATCCGGCTGTCAAATCGGCAGCATGTCAAACAGAGACTCTCTGTAGCTCCTGTGTCATGGGCAAAATTTCCCGATAATGTGCTGTGCCTCATTCTGGTGACTGAAAATTATGTGGTCTGTGCTAAGCTTTTGGTAAATGCGCAGTCAAGAGGTTTTGGCTTCGAAGCCCACTTCCAAAAACCTGTTGCCAGAATAGCTTTAATTAGACTCTCACTGAAAAAATATATATTAGCAGTGCTTAAAATAAAGTTTTCTGTTTAAGGTCAAATGCAAAATTAGAGAAATGCAACTTTGAATATTGAGCTGAATGTTAAAACACATTCTTTCATATAAATGAAAAGAAAATGCACTACAGCAGAATTTATACAAACAGATTAATAGTTATCTTCACTGCACATTTTAATAGCTGTAGGCTCATAAAACTAAATAATTTGTAAATTCGGTCAACAGAAAGATTAACTGATATTTTTCTGGTAACGAAGAAGCTGAACGCCGCATGTATAAACCTTTGCTGAAGGCAGGATATCCGAGGAACCACCGAGACCTCCTATGTTTGGCCATAACTTGATTCCTAAAGAAATTTAATGTGAATATTACTGATCAAGCACTTCAATATGAAACATCTCAGCATCGCCTGCGTGTTTTCAAATCCCATCTTTGACTGATCCCCAGTCACCAGTGTAGTACCTTGGCGAGAGACTCAGTATTCAAAGATATCAACTAGGTAACAGCGTTCATTGCCCAAAGCTTACAGACTCATGGTTACATCATAAACAGCGCACTGAGCGCTACCGATAAATAAGCTGTGTGCTCAAGCTTACCAATAGCAGTCTGGCTCTCAGGTGTGCTGTTGTGGACAGGGTGAACACACCTCTCCTTTTTTTACCCTCAGGAGTTCCTCCCCCACCACGGACAGAACCTCCCGGTCCTGATATTCCTCCAGGTGGCCTTGATGGTATGACACCCAGATTCCCATTCCTTGCCTCTTTCACTTGGGTCTTACGATGATGTCTCTCAGGAGCAGCCAAACTGTGGACCTTTCCATGCCTAGTATTTATGGTTTCTGGCCACTGCTACTTTCTCATGCAGTCACTGTCCACTGTCGTTTAAATACGGACGTTTTTTTTTATGCTAGGTTTTGCTTTAACTTGGCTGTTTTCATGAACTTGCACACCTGCCAGTCTTAGAAACAAGAAAATTAGCTTTTTGAAGTAGCGATAACTTTCACATTAATAGACTTCAGATTACTCATCAGTGTGTTAATGACTACTTCTTTGTAGAAGGATGTTCTGCGGGTGCATTTGAAGGAAAAAGGACACCGTAGAAGCCGGTGACTGGCTTGCAGAAGAAAAAGTTCCATTTCCAGCTGGTTTATTGACCCACGAATAATTCTATTTGGAAGGATTTTAGTTCTATAATTCAGCTCATAGCTGATGAATAACCAGCTCAAACCTTGTCAGTTCCTAGATGGAGTTGGACCTTACTCCAGCTGGATATTCATCAACTGCGGGTGGAATTATAGCGTTATACTGCTGCATTATTGAACCAGGTAATCATTTTTTTCCAGCTGGAAATGTGGAACTAGAAAATTTTCGCTGGGGAGATTTCCAGCTGGTAGGGTTCAATAATTTTGCTGAAAATGAAACTTTTTTTCACCCAAGTTTCATTTGTGCGTTCTTCTCGTGACACTGACCATGCGTGCCTTGCTCTGCAGTTATGTGTCTGGCCGATGGAGTTCAAGTGCTGGTTCAGCTGGACAGCTTCAACGGAGTGATCTACGTCAAGGGCCACAGCCAGGACGCCCAGTGCCGCCGCCTCGTGACCAGCAGCGAGCGTGAGACGGTCGACTTCAAGGTGCTCTTCAACACAGTGCGGCCTGGTGCACATCAACGGGGAGGCCTCCTTTGTGCTGGTCATCCAGAAACACCCCAAGCTTGTGACGTACCGCGCCCGGGCGTACCACATCAAGTGTGTCTACAACACCGGTGAAAAGACGGTGACGCTGGGATTCAATGTCAGGTACGTCTTGCTTCTCCTTTTTATCAACTTAAAAAGCACAAAAAGTTCTGGATTCTGTATTCATGGGAAAAATCTGTTCTTAAATTAATTTGTGCACAATTCCCCCAAATAAAAGGCTTGCTTAAATTAGAAGAAATATAATGAACCGAACATTGAAAAACAAATTTCACCGATCAGAGTATTCGATTCGTATTGCTAAGAATACAGAAAAAGAAGACATTGCCTAAAAAGTGTTGCAGTACTTGCTTAGCTTCCCCCATTTAACTGCTTTTTCTTCAACAGCTAGACCCTTTAGTGCTACTATTTCATGCACATTAAGGCCATTTTTCTTTAAAAATTGCGAGCGTCGGTTGAAGCACCTGCAGTAATAGGATCATCTGCTTCTCTGTCATCAGGTTATGATTCCTTTTGATATTGAAGCCACATAAACATATGTATACATTTTAATCTTGTTCTTACAGCATGATTACCACATCTGGAACAATCGCCAACACTGGTCCACCACCAACTTGTCAAATGCAAATCTGCACGGTAGGACGGCAAAGAGGTCAGCAGTGCCGAGATTGGAGACGACCTGCTGCTCAAGGTCACAGTACAGCCACATGGTACGACCTTGCAGAACTATTCATTTGAGCTTGCCATTAATGTAGTGTTAAGCAAACATACCAAGGTAGCTTAACATATCGTACAGGTGTAGAGTGAGGTCTATGACCTTCAAGCTCGAACCTTGATGAGTGCTGTCAAGATTAACGAATAATATATATAAGATCTAGCTGCCCAAGTTTTAATTCGTTCAGTACTCTGCTGCTATCTATCTGTCCAAGCTTTATTTCAATGAGTACTCTACTGCTGCAATAAAACCAGGATCATAACATTCAAGGCAACATCAGTCCCAAGGAAGAGAATGTTGGTATTGAAAAAGCACAAAAGACATCTTGAGAATAGAATTCGCACTTTTATTTTGTCTTTCATATATGCTGTTTTATTATTTACGTACATACTATATAAACTTGTCCAACTTCTCACCTGTAGATAATAAGGCAACACACTGATCTGATATGATTACTGTAATCGAATGGCTGCATATCAAACATGACACAAAGTGCAATGGTGCACGGTTTTTGTGTTTGACTGAAATTACCAGAACACAGCTTTCTAACCTATAGCAAATTTTATTCCATGGATTTACTAGATACATTTGTAATTCATAATGAATATAGTGAGGCATTTTCGTGCTGTGTACTGCACTGCAATAAGCTTCATACTATGGCACAATTTTCCTTTTTGATTACTACCTAGCTCCCCGAGAAAGCATGTCCTGTTGTGGTTGGCAACACAGCTGATTGCTTGAAATGCGGTCTTTTGCAGAGATCTACGGTGGCTTTGCACGTGGCTGCATTGCCAAGACCATGGACAACGAGGAAGAAACGCAGTACGAGGTGACCGACGCTAACGGCTGTGCCACCGACCGGTCAATATTCGACAACTGGGAATATGATCCGGAGAACAAGGTGTTGATGGCGCGCTTTAATGCCTTCAAGTTTCCCAGCAGCAACAACCTGCGATTCCAGTGCAACATTCGAGTCTGCTTCGGATCGTGTCCACCCGTAAGTGTTGGAAATCGCCACACTCAAACGATTGTTTGTGTGGTGTTTCCTACATTGACATGTTTCAGAGCAAGTGAAGTGCCTTGTATGTTTCCCAGAAGTGCATGTTTCAGTCTTTTAGTCTTCGCTGAAACTCCTTATTCATGCATCCAAGTCTTGTCAGTTTAGTGTCCTGTTAAGAAACGTCACGAATCCTACTTATGTTGTGGCATTGCCAAGATGTTCTTGAACTTGGTTAAAGCTTTAAAAGAAGTTGATAGTTTGTCCCATGAGTTATAAAGCTGAACATACATAGATTTACTACTGGTTTGTTCCACTGGCTTGTGGCCTCACACGCTGCAGCAGTTCAAAAGATAGCAATGTTGGCCTGCCACTGTCGTAGTCTTGGTCACTGTTCTTCTTTATTGAATCGACCCCACTTCTTGTGTTCATTTTTTTTATACACTTATGGACTAAGAAACATTACTGACTGCCATAAAAAGAAATCACTACTTTCTGCAATCAGTGGGATGACCGTCAACTTGCGTTTGCTATATTTATCAGGTACACTGCGACGGTGTTGACGCCTTTGGCCGAAGAAGACGTCGACAGGCGCCAGGCACAGACCTGCAAGTGGGCACCTCCTTCCAAGAAGGGCAGCTTCGAGAGGAAATCATGGTGCAGTCGAACGCCATCCTGACCTTTGAGAAGAAGGAGAACCAGGTGGCACCCACTGCTGAAGGTGAGGAACTTGCAGGACTACATAAATGTCAGCAATGCTATAATTATTGATTGTAATTGATGATGTTTTATTGATAAACCACAATGGAGGGCTAATATGATGCTTATGACCAAATGCTTGCATCGTCTCAAGCTGGGGGTGAAATGTGGCAGGTTAAAGGAAGAAGAGGCATATTCGGGTACAACTGGTTTGTTGATTAATTGTTTTGCACTGTGCCTATGCCAGGCCACATCAATGCTGGCAGCAAAAATTAAAAGGCGCGTTGGCTTTTGAACTATTTTTTTATTTCACATTTTTTGGTATTCAACGTTTAGGCTTCAGACATTTAGCAGAAAAAGGAACATTACACTATAAGCGGCACCTGGTCCAAAAACGTGCTTGTAGTATTTCCTGAACGTAGATGAAGAGCTACAAATACCCTAAAAAAATAAGACACACACTTAAACTTACTGGGATTTCTCTCATAACCAGTGTTGCTTGCTACCTTTCTCTTTCTGTAGCTGGTCCTGAAATTGAGGAGATCGACAGCGTCTGCCTGCCCAAGCTCGGTCTGATCATCTCCCTAGTGATCACCACGCTGCTCGCGCTGGTCGCCGTGGCAGTGGCCATTTCCTGCTGGCTCATGGCGTACCGGCGGCGAGCCAAGGCGGAGGGTCCGCTGCCACACCCGCCAGACTTTCCTAACCCGCTGTACACGACGCCAGAGCCTGTGGCGGAGCCCTCGCCCGACTACTACCAGTCGTCGGTGCCACCCAGCTTGAGGTAGGCCCGTCTCGGGGGCTCCCATCTCTACTCGAGAAGGAAGACCCACCTGCGGAAGAGAAGCAAGCAAACTGAGGACCCCCCCCCCCCCCAACTACCCCCTTCCAACCAGGCCAAGTCATTTTTTCATGAACCCCATCCAACACCAGCCCACCCCCATTTTTACATCGTGACTTGCCACAGCGCCTACCTGCTACCCCCACCCACCCCTTTCCTGCTGTAGCAAGAGCAGCACGTACTACACGTTTGGCATCGTTGGGCATTGCTGCTGCTGTGCGCACACTGCCAGTCACCGCCAGTTCGCCGTGGCCCCTCGTCGGCATCGCCAAGAGCTCATTCCTGCAAGTGTTTTTAGCTCTGTGGCAGCCGGACTGCAGTTTGACGAGGTGTTGCACGTGGCATCTTGTTTGTGTTTTCTTTTTTAAGGCGGGACTTATCACAGCAGAGCAGAAACCCTCCTTCCTCCTCTCCTACGACAAGTGGGTGCCAGCTGCACTTGGCCAAGGCAGGTACAGCTGTGGAATCGGTCACGATGCATTAACCTATGACACAGCCAAGCCTGGACAATCCCTGTGCTTTCGTCGACTCATGGCAGCTACCCAGAGCAGCAGCGACAACCTGCGCGTGTGCAGGGATGGACTCTAGAGTTTCTTGTATGTTGTGTGCTGATGATGATTGTAAGTGGCAGTGGCGACGACACCGGTGTCTCGCCCGCCTATAAATGAGACCGCGTGCGGCGCCTGCCAGTGTAACTTTCCGAGTAACTCAGTTTCACAGGATGAGAGTGTGTGCATGGGATTCGCGTGTGTGCATCTTATGTTTTGCAGATGCGGTGCATGCCTGCGGCGGTGTAGCCTCATCTGCATCGGGTTCACTGATGTGCCAAACATCCTTGCTACTACAATAATTGTTTTTGTCCTTATGGTCAGAGGGCATGCAGGCAGCTTAAACGGGCCCTTTGCATTTACAGATAGCAATTATGAGGTGCTGGACATCTTGTAGAAACAATATGCATTTTTTTTTAACTTTGCGTCCACGACTGGTTCACGAGTCTTTTGGTCCTCTTGACGACAATCTGAAGCATGCTAAGTTGTCCTCGGACATGACTGAACCATTTAGTCTCCTGTAGTTTTTTCTTCCCAAGGTATGTTCTTTGATGTAACCGATGCGGCAAGAGTCACTTGGAGCTACCGTAAGTGACGGACATTCTGGTCTCTCCTTTTCCGTGTTGTCCGATAGGATGCGAGCGTGAGTTTGTGAAGCTGAGTTACTCCGGAAATCCTGTGTCATTCTGGTTGGAAGAAAATAACGGAGATGGTGCTTCCTTGTTTCGAGTGTATTCTGGGGACAGGGTGACACTTTCACGTGTTGCGTGCTTCTCTTGTGGTGCTGGCTTTTCGAATGTGGCTTGTCTCCCCTTCATCACGTCAAAAACCATGCCAGCGTAACACCATTTCCTCGTAAGCAGTCACAAGCGCACCGAGCTCCAAGCATTTAAATGACCTTGTAATGGATTTCACTGCACGGCCAATCAATGGCTGCGACATGCAGTCGATCTCTAGGCCTTTCTTTTTTTTTTTTTTTCTTGCGTGTGGTTTAATGCGTGACAAGTCATGCACCGAGCGCACGTATTGCAGGCCTGTCAATAAAGTTTTCGGAGTCGCACTTTGCAGACACTGGAATCTTCCGAGATACCCACAGAATCATTGTCGCATTACTTTCGCCGCAGCATCGACCGCTACGACATAGCCATGTGCACTGCAATCTTCTTTGCTCAGTGGTTATAAATAATGTGCACAACATTATGGGCTTTTGCCATTGCTTGTAAACTTTTCGACTGAAATCGAGGAATTTTGCTTCTTACCACATTGTCACTGTGTCACGTCGGCAGGTTGTTCTGCCAGGGGGACTCAAGCCACATTTGACGCAGCCCGTCGTCTGTTCGTTATAATTGCCATTATGTGTTTACCCCACCTTATTTTTTACTGTGTGTGTGTAAATCGTACTTGCGTGTTTTATTTAAATACTATTTGAGTATATTAACAACAGACGACGACTAGTTACTGTTCCTTGGAAAGACTCCGGTCATACTTTTCCTGTGCGCATTTTTTTTTTTTTTCACTTCCGTCTTGTGTCAAACGTGCACATACAAACAAAAAACGGTGAACAAAACGAAGAAGCATCATAGAGTAAAATGCTATTTTGCTGTGATAAAGGACCCTGTGTTTTCTGCCTTTTTTTTTTCTTCCCCTTTTGTAACGTTTCTCCTTGTCTGCCAACTTCTCGTTTAATTATTCTCGCTTCTACACGGACTCCACAACTGCCAGCTTTCACTTGCAACACTTTCTTGTGTCCTGTTGAAAGCTCTTGTGGTGACTGGGCCACACAATATATGAACAAAGACACATAAAAGGAGCCGGGACTGGTCCCCATCCTTTGGCAGCTATTTTTTGTTTGTATATTGTGGCAAAGTTACCGGTGACTTTTTGCAACGTGCAAGTCATAGGTGCTGAGAGGCTACGAGCACACCTTTGCACAACCCTTTTCTCGTATTACTGTGGTGCCAAAATTGCTTCTTTCTCAAAATTTCGTAGCTTAACAATCCTTTCTTTGTGTGCAGCTTAGGTTGCGCTATGTGCCCAATTTTACACAATCATAAATGCCTTCAATAAAATGCGACATGTTCTTTAGAAGGGTTGTGGAAATGTGTGCTGCACTTCTCAACAATATTCTCATGCTTTTTTTTTTCCCGTCTCTATTTTTTGTGGTGTGTACGATCACGACAGCAATGTTATGTCTCATTTTGTTTTGTTTTTTTCTTGAATATTGAACTCTAACACACTGCCTGAATGCTAGTGCATATCAACTGCTTTAAAAAAATGTCACAGCAGCCTTTTTTTTTTAATAAAGCATCCTTACTGCAATGAAAATGCCATTTTTACATGCCTTAAAACATTTGCTGTTTTACTTTTGACTCCTCTGTGTATTTTCACTTTCTGCAATAAAGCACATAATTTTTATTATGACTTCGCACTCTTCATTATCTCACACTGCCCAGGGAAGGCCAGAACAAAGGGGGCAGAATGTTTGACTTCTGTAACTCAATCTGGCTGCATACAGCAACGGTGACATGCAGCCACAGATCGTGCATGTAGCATACACACTAGCTCTGTTTGACATCTACAGCAAGTTTAAACGATTGAATGAAAAGGTTAAGAATTGCTAGCGTCAGAAAATCTGTACACCCTGCTCAAAAGTATCCACCAATGTGTGGAAACTATTTATTGGTCTTCGTAATAAGCCATCTCTACATGATTAGTGTTGGTCAAAGCATGTATTGAATGTATATATAAGTTTGTGCCAATTAAACTTCGTATGTAAGGAAATAGACATTGTGATATGTCAGCATTATGTCATGTTACAAGCTGTTATATATATATATATATATATATCCATAAATATAATGTGGGCTTGCATTCATGCATGATCAGATGCACTAATACAGAATTGACAAGTTGAGGCCTGATACGGTGGCTTGCTGTAGGCTTCTGTGAATAGAGGTTCGAATCCTGCCGGTGGCAATCAAGTTATCTTTTCATTCCCTTTTCTTTCTTCCCATTTACATTACAATTACTCGTAATACCAATCCTTATACTTTCCCTGGCGTCATTGTTTGTTAGTTCTTATTAAATTTTCTCTAAAAATTAAAAAATGAGCTCATAAAACTTACGCTTTCCTTAACACGTAGTGTGCCTTCATGAGTTCAAAGATTGTTGTGCATTCCACTAGCCCTTATTTACATTTCCAAATGTGTTTCTCTTACTGAGGTATAATTTCAAGTCAAGATTTTCGTTAAATGCAGCACTGTTCGCAATTTTCGGTCATACATCTTGGTGTAAACAACCAAGCAAAGATAGACGAGAGAAAAGGTCGTGGTGTTTGCACCAGAACTATAAAATAAGGAAACAAAAGCAAGCAAATTTCGACATTTCAGCCAGCAGCATAGCTTTGAGGACGCTGCACCGTCATCGTGCCAGCATGCATATGCGCATACTGCCGGCAGAAGGTGCGGCACTAGCGCCATCGATGCGCGCGTCTCTGCTGGAGACACCGCTTGACCCATAATTTTGGTTCAAAAGTTTCAGGCAAAGAACAAATCTTCCTTTTCGCCAGACCCTAGGAGGGAAGAAGTGCCGGGACAGAGTACGGGTGATGATAGCTTGATGAGTTACGTGAGACTCTGGGACAAAGTGCTTCCAGGCGCCGCGTCTCCTTCCTATCTGACAAAGGCAGCAGTGGCTGGTGTGGGAACGGTGCTGCAAACACGTTGTTTTGAAGTAAATGAACAGTTCTAACAGGCTGCTCTGTACCACTTGTACCATTTCACATGCGAAAGGCCAACGGATGCTTCGCTTCCCTAAGAAGAACGAGCAAAGAAAAATATGGTAGGCACAATTATTTAAAATGCGCCCTTCAAGATATGCAAGGGGATTGCTCACTGTCTCCTTGCACTGTGAAAGTCCAGTACGGTTGTGTTGAAACAGCTTTGAGTTTAGATTCCTTGTGTCTGTGAGACGTAGCTGTCATTGTGTGATGTTGCGTTTTTGGTTGCTTCCAATGAACTCCACACATTGTCAAATGTTTGCCGCCTGCAATTCACGCATCGGGAAGTCTGCATGGTCGTGCTGGAATGAACGTCTGTGCATATTCAGCAAACTTTGACACCGCTTTGCTGGTTCGTTCTATTTTTGTCGCTTCATTAGGGTGGTATTCATTCGAGCCGCGCGTTGAATCGAACTGACATGAAGTACAATTTACGTTTGTCACATTCGAAGATGTGCGGTTCCCTTTCACGTGTGCCGCGTGTGTGTTACACTCCGTAGAGCGATTCGAGTGTGCATTTACGTATGCGCTAATTGTGCGAGCTCGTCACGTGCCCACGGTATCACATCGTTCGTGAAATTCGGCACCTCTCACGCTGAGTCGCCTTTGCACAGCGCTGAGTCGCCTTTGCACAGCAGACCTTATACTCCTGTAAAGGAGATATGCTCATAAATGGGAGTGCGAGGACGACGCAAGAATCGAAAAAAAGAATTAACTTGGTTTGCAGCGGTTAAAGTCAATTAAGCAAGCTGATTCGCAGCTAAGTGAGCGGGTGATGCTCCAGTGCGTCCAGTGGCACGTACGGAGGACATATGACTCTAACCTTATCAGTATTTTTAGGGCTGTGACCGTGTCATCTTTCGCGGTTGCTTTTTTTTTGCATGCCGCAAAAGTTCGGTCACGACACTACGCGTCTGTTACTGCCAGTATATGCACATCGAAACAATTAGCAGTCATGTGTTCATTGCCGACAACGTAGAACATTGATCGCGTGCGTGGCCTCATTTCGCAATGCATATAAACCATTAGGTATATTTAACGTATGACAGAAGGAAGTTTTCCTCGACCTATCGTACACGGTAATAGGAAGTTTTAGAATTTTTAGGGAGTTTTAGAATAACATTTGCAGGGGCTGCGGGCATAGGCACCGAACATTGACCAGAGGCAGCTGCGTTGCTCCCCGTCTCAAAGTTTCTGACATTCGCCGTTAGGGGCACGCAGAAAAGAGACACGTGCTCGCGTCCCCAGTGTATCCCGGGCACAATCCGCCGACAGATGCAGGGCGCGAGACGCTCGCGTCGCGTTCCATTTTCACCGATGCCGTCTCAAGGTCTCTTCTTTTATCCGCTAGGCTGTGTAATCTGGCGCTGCAGTCAGACTGGAAAACTCGACGGAACGGTGCCTATAGCGGGCGCCATATGAGTTTTAGAATAATGTTTGCTCCCCCTAGGGAAAATTATAGGGACTTTCGCCCCGACCGCAAACCCAAATGCGCGGAAGCTACTCACAGCACTTCGCGGTCCGCGATCGCCGCACGTTATTTCGGATTTTCTGCGTGCGGGCCGCGAACGCGGGTAGCGACTCGCGTTACGATGCGTGCGCAGTTGCAGTAACCACACCGCAAGGGCTTGTGGTGCGCTATTCTAAAACTCCCGCGAGCCCTTGAAAGCGGTGGCGTGCTTCCTACGGCGGCCTCAATTGGTCTCCCGTTTTCCGGGGATACGAAATTAAAATGAAACTTTGAATGAATCGGTGGTCCCCAGCCGCCATTCCAGCATGACCATAACCTTTAGAACGTATGGGGCATGCATAACACTGATCTCCGCTTTTGGTGCCCCCGCCCCCCAGATAATTAGGCGGGGGGGGGGGGGGGGGGGGGCTGTGTGGGTGCGCAATGACCGCGCGCGGCGTTCCGTGCATGCCGTCAGTAGTGGTATATTTCACTATAGCAATGGTGACAATCCTGGAGCGAAAATGGTGAATGAAGAACGAGCAGCTCATGTCAAACCGGTCAAACGCTGTTTTCCGCGTGGTCCAGCTGCGGCACGCGTGCTCGCGTCGGGTCACGGGTTCGAATGCCGGCTGCGGCGGCAGCATTTCCGATGAAGGCGGAAATGTTGTAGGCCCGTGTGCTCAGATTTGGGTGCACGTTAAAAAACCCCAGGTGGTCGAAATTTTCAGAGCCCTCCACTACAGCGTCTCTCATAATCATATGGTGGTTTTGGGCCGTTAAACCCCAGAAATCAATCAATCAATCTGTCAACACGTGCTCGCGTACGTTTGGCATGCGTTCTGCCAGCGGAAACGTCCAAGTCCGCTCGCTTCTGTTTCCTCTGGGAGTTTTCATTCATATTTTTTTAGTTGTTGGATACCGTGAGCCCAAACAGGCCCATAAAAGAGTGAACAATAAATACGTAGGTCAGTTTCGCCACAGGAAAAACACAGTTATCGCAATTTCGGCACAGTATATTATGCGACGAAGTCATATACATTGATCAATGTGAAAAACATCAGAGACCAACATTTTTACATATAACTCAGCATTACGTACAGCAAATCTCACAGTGTCACGGTGAATTTCGTAATTTAGAAATATACTTAGTCACTTCAACGGTTGTGCGAACACTACGACCCACGGAGTTGTTTTATGTTACGACCTTTTCCCCTGTTTTTCTTCGGCTGAGTCGCCCACGCAGTGATATTGCTGTTCAGATCAAACTGTACTTGTGAACGAAAATCACGAACTGTGCATGCGAATATATATTGTTACGAGATTTCGGCTGACTGAAACAGGGCATAGTGGGACATACCCAAGAAAGGTGCCTCAGACTGAGAGTGAAGATCGAAGTGGACGTTGGCGGTGAGCTGCATTGAGGCTGCGGACTGACAACTCTTATTTCCACGTAACATTTTGGTGGAAGTGCTGGGTGCTCTTCTGACAACGGAGCTACGCAGTGGACGCCTCCTTAAGTCTGCTACCATGGCTCCGGGTGAGGATACGGCTTCGCCACCTACCTCAGCAACGACAGCAACCCGGTACGTCGTCCTAACGCAACCCCGTGATCCCGGTACTTTTACTGGCGAGGAAAACGCGAATGTGGACAAGTGGCTTAGTATGTACGAGCGCGTCAGCAAGCAATATGGCTGGGACCCAACCGTTATGATTGCGAATGTCATTTTCTATCCTGACAAGACCCCTCGCATCTGGTTTGAGACCCACGAGCACGAAATCACAAGCTCGGAAATGTTTAAACAACAGCTCCGCGACCTCTTTGGCAACCCGTTTGGTCAACAGCTTGATGCCCGAAAGCAATTGGCCGTACGTACACAGACGTCCACTGAACCCTACTTGTGTTATATTCAACACGTCTTAGCCTTGTGTCAAAGGGCCGATCCCAACATGACTGAGGCCGACAGAATTTCGCAAGTGTTAAAAGGAATCGCCGACGATGCGTTAAGTCTGCTTGTATTTACCAACGTAACGACCATCGACGCCGTGATCAAAGAGTGTCGCCGTCTCGAGCAGGCGAAGAGTCGACGCATTTTGCAGCAGTTCCAGCGCCTACCGAACACCGCGGCAACGTCGTCTTGCGAAGCCACTCCTTGTCATCCATCTACGACCGAAGACGTGACGCGCATCGTC